GCTCAGAGGCTGCGACAGATATTAGCCAGACAGAGCTTCATAAGCACCTCCGACAGCATGGAGCGGGTTTTGGGCTGCAAGGAACGCAGGATAGTGATAACTTCTCGCTCCCGGCACACGCGGAGGGGGTGCGGCCGCACCCCCCGCACCCCTAGTTCCGACGTCTATGCCCGCAACCCTCTCCTCAACCCCACTACTGCCCTTCCCTCTGGGGCCAGGACTTCCATTAAAAAGAGATTCTGAAATCTCAGTGGGACTTTCCTGGTTAAATTAAGGCAAATTATTAAGTAAATTAGATCTTTATGTAAATATAATATTGTAATAATGTGTCACAGTGTCAGATATTCTCACCAGAGCGAGCAGAAGCATTTTTTTTTTTTTTTTGAATAAGCTTAAATACTTACAAGTTGAAACAATGTTTGAAAATGAATACACTGTAATTAGATAGATATTCTTAGATATAGTTCTCAATGTGTCAATGAGTTCTTATTGGCTGCTCTATGAATTTTGCACGCACCTTTATCTTACAGAAACCCAAATTTAGCACTTGCTTTTGCTTCAGTGTGTATCCTTCCTCTTCAGATGACCAAGCATACTCTTAGATGACATTGCCAGACTCCTGTGGACTCGTATTTGTAAGACTAGTTTTGGCAAGAAACACTATTTTTCGCACATGGACTTGTCCCAACTCTCAAACGTGCCAGATAACAATTTACTACCGAGCCAAGTCTCCAGCCATTAAAAATACAAAACCTAGCGAACATTTTGTTGTTATGAATATGAAGAGGAACAAAATTGCCTGGATGTTGTGTAAATTGCACAAGACGCTGAAGGTATTCAAATCACATGTGTGCTATTTTAGGCCACTGAAGGAGCCCTTTGATGCAGTGTTTTGGGCATTTCCTGTCTGGAGCCGTGGGAATGCTCCAGCTGCATCTTAAGTATGACTCTGGTGAAAGCGATTCTTAAGCTTGATCGTCCCGTTACCGTCTGTCACACGAGGGCATTCGTGCGCTCATGGGTCAGTGGAGGCCTGCCAGCTTAATCCAGATGCTGTGATGATAGTTGTTCAAAAGGAGGAAATAGTAATACATTCAATGCTTAGAACAACCTTGGTTACAAAATACTATGCAAATCTGCTTAATGTATATACAAGCATGCAGCTTTGAAAATGTGTTATTCTAAATACTAAATTACAGACCTGGGAAGATTGCAATTCATGTTTCTCTGCCACCCTCAGTTCCTTCCCCTCCTCCTACTATTATAGACTATTTAGCCTATCATGTGATTTCAGAATTCATGTGAAGTTAACATTTTGTCGGTATATACATGTTTGAAATAAATAAATACAAATACAAAATACAAATATCTAAAAGAATGAGAGTAAAAACCTAATAAAGCTTGGCAATAACAGAGGAAACCATGACATGTTATTCCTAATTTATTCAGAAGCTTAATCTTGACCAATGACCAAAAAAGCCATAACCATATTCAATAAAAATAATCATATGTTCCTTGGTTGGAATGCTTTAAAAAAAAAAAAAAAAACACTTTTAAAACACTGGATATCTCTTGTTTCTCTCTACTTTTAAAATTATGTTGTTTATCAAATAATTGAACTTTCTCTCATATAAGAACATAGCTAACATGTTAAACTAAAAAGTAACCATGGGAAAACTAGTCCAGCCCGCTACACTATAACAGGATCCCAGTGCGGCCACCCCCTGCTGTAATAACTAGATCTGAAAGGCATATGCAAATACTTGATAATTGTGATGAAAAATATGTGTTTGAATCTGCACACGCTTCTTCAACCTCTTCAACTGTGCATATTTGAAGAAAACTCAGGGGAAACAGTAGGGAATAGATCCATACCAGGATAGACATACAGTAAATTAATTGAAAGACAATTATATTCTGGTTGTTGACATTATTTGTGCCACGATATAACACGATAATGACAAAAAAAGTGTATTTGTGAACTTTAGTTTGTTCTGTGGGCTGCATTTTCACAGTGCACCACATTCGCTGTATTTTACACTGCAGAATATGGACTATGTGACTAAAGAGGTGATATATTTCAAATGTGCTAACGTCCAAGTTTCTATTATTAGTTTTTTTATCACTGACATTGAACTCATTTGTCTTTGACTTTGATTCGTGTTTCCTGTTGATTACATTGTCGTTCTGTCCTGCATGTGCCCTGTACTGGTCATAAACATCTCCCGTTAGTACCTCAGGACTACATATATTTTCAGTTTAGAGTCAAGGTTAGGATTTGGCAAATTAAATTCACTTTGTTTACTTTGCATATCATCTTGAAAAGGCATGTCCTGTCTCCACAAATGGATGGAAGTACTTTTTGCATGTATTGTTCTCATAAGCGGTCTCATGAGAACTTTATGGGAATAACTATTTTGCGGTTAGGTGCCACATGTATCTATAGCTCCGCAAGAACCCCCGCAAGAACCCCCGCAAGAACCCCAGCAAACATTGAACATTTTGAATGTAAAGTCTTAAAGCTACATATAACCATCAGAATGCATTAGGATTAAGATTAAGAGATCCATTATTCGTCTCACAGTGGGGAAATTTCAGTGTTGCATAACAAGTTATAGAACAGTAGGAAAGAGGAGCACAAGGCACAAGTTAAGTGAACAATAGCTGTACTAATTAAAATAAAACAAAAACTCTAACTCTAGCATCAAAGTAAAAAATCTCTGTGAATATGAGCAAAAAAAATCTGAAGAAAAATTCAACATCATAGAAATGTTTTGCTCTGTTTTCAATGTTGAACCCCATGTTCAAATATATTTCTCGAAAGCTTAAGATGCCTTCTACAAATTACAAGCAATACAAAATTCGGAAGTGTGTATTTCAGAAATCAAGAATCTGGAATATACAAGTAAACTGAGGTGTATATTGTGAAACAGTAGACAACAGGTAAAGTGGGACGTGTTAAATGGTACTGAATATTCTAGTGCACCTTGGAGCCTTTTACACACTTTCACCTATGAGTTTGTTTTTTTTATTTTCCAAGAGCAAGCTTTAAAACAAGGTAGTGGAGTCCTTCTACTTCGAACTCTTCTTTCTATTCCATCCCTGCCTTTTTTTCAAATCCTAAAAATAAAAAAAACATAACCCATGGAGAAAAGTTTATGCTCAGGTATTTTGTTTCCTCGACCTGACCACCTTCAGCCTTTCTTCCACTTTTATTTCAACCGTTTAAACATATATATATATTAAACCATCAGCAAGTCTACTTTGATTGTATTGTATTTTATTCAGCGCCTACATTAGTTCATTTGGTAGACAGCCCACTTTTTCTCACAGTGTTTTTATTTTGTAAATTATACCAGCCTTTTCAAATCCGCTCTGCTGTCCAACCCATTAGTCATTTTGCAAAACGTCTCGATCCATTTGGGCTCAAACGGCTTGTGAAATGTGTGGAGGGACTGGGCAGTGGTGACACAGATATCACATTCATCTGTTGATGGGTGGGGCAGCTCTTATTTTTAATCCAAGATGTAAGAGCACCCTGCTCATGCACACGCAGGGTGATGTCAGCGTGTACAGTAAACACACTCCCCAAGACTTGTTTTAGCAAAATACACAAGTGTGAAGAGTGCAGGCCCAGTAGGAAGAGAGGAGTAAGAGAGGAAGAGGGAGAAAGCTTTTCCCCAGATTACACAAGTGCAGCAGATTATATGTACTGGATTATGTGGCCTGATCATACAGAAAAAGGAAAAGCAGTTGATAAAATAGACCTGGTCTGTGTCTTTTTTTAGGGTGTGTGTGTGTGTGTGTGTGTGTGTGTGTGGTGTCTGCCGTACTGCTTTAGGCATCAGGGTTATGAGGTCAGGTCTGTGTGCAAATTCACTTCCTCTGTGTTTGAGATGATGGTTTTTTCCAGTGAAATCACGGATACAGATGTCAAAATCAAGACTAGGAACAGAAACAGTAAAAGTGTCTCACAAAAACCGTATATCAGGAGTGGGATGACCGAGTGCTGACGTCACCATAGTGTTTGCCGAACGAGGAAGAAGCTGATTTGGACATTAGCTAGCTGGAGCCAATTTTAATCCAATGACATTTGTTCCGATGTGTGGTGTGTTATGGCTCATATATGGATTTACTAAGGCAATATTAAAATATAAGCCGCCCAGAGTATAGAGAGCGCTAGACTTCAGATTTCTTTAGACCAAAATGAGAGTGTGTGACACATACAGTTACTGAGATAGAGGTGTTTACTCGTCAATGGGAGCCAGACTGAGTTGGAGCAAAACTTTGACCATGAGCACCTCCCTTTTTGAGCTAGGTCGTCTGGTCATTACGCACAACAAGACGTCAAACTTTTGCAATATTTAATTACTTTTTGAAATCCCTATGGGGATTTTGTTCGGATAAGTTTACTTCCTGAACCAACTAAGCTCTGACCACTTCACAGTTACACACTCTACACCAGGGGTCTCCAACCTATAGTTCGGGAGCCACCAGTAGCTCGCCAGCCCCTTTCAGGTAGCTCGCCAAAGGAAATAGAACTTAACAAATGATCTTGAATGAATACTTTTTGAGCCCTTACATATCTATTATAAGTTTAAATATAGGGTTATACAGTATTATGGTGTATTTTACATGTGTTCTCCTTGTTCTGTCATAATTATTAGATAGATTTTTTACGACTGCAAAAAGGAGTAGCTCTCTGCCTCTTCATTTAAAAAAAAAAGTAGCTCTCTGATTGAAAAAGGTTGGAGACCCCTGCTCTACACTAATGTTAAAATGACCATTGTTGGCTTTCAGTCAGCTAGCATCAAATTTAGAGATGCATAAAAAGGCAATAAATAAGACCCAGTTTTAAACACATTTACAAATCGACACACGTCTTGCTCCATCGCTGAAGTTTTCCACCTCTCTTTGGTTTGCAGCTAACTGGGTTGTCTCTAGTCTTCTTTTGGCTTTCAGTAAATTAAAATGTATATGTTTTTTCTCTTTTTTTCTAGAGATCCTTGGAGCAGCAAAGCGGGTTAACGTCAACATCCAGGACCCGGATGGGTGAGAGATAATTTTGTCAATTTCACTTAGCTTTATTAGCGTCATTATTAGCATCTTTTGGTCTATAATCTTCAGAGATGGCGGGGAATGTAAATTGTTGGTGCATTTTATTCTCTCCAATCATTATTTGCTTAAATCTATTTACCTTGAACATGTGAATTATTAGACATGACATAAGCTATACATCACATTGGCCAATAGTTAATAATAATATACTCTAAATGCCAACTAATAAACACAATGGAAAACTACTGTGATGAAAGTACTTTACAAACGTGGGAGAGCGATACACTGTTACAAGTGTTTGTCATGATTTGGCGCACCTCTCTTTTTGGGATTGTTGAGATCATAAACTGCAGAATCATGACTGTAGAATCCAGGTCACTCTTGTGAAATAGATGTTTAATCTCATGGGGTTTTAACCTGGTTACATCAAGGTCAAATACAAAAACATAATCTGGACCCTATGACTCAAATATAGAAATCTTATGTTAGGCGTTATTTTATTATTGTATGTTTTATTTAATCTTAATTTAATCACAAATCCCTTGAGATACTGTTTGTTAATCTGTGATATAGACAGGGGGAATAAAAACAAGCCTGTCTCTGGTTCTTATTGGCAAAAGTGGCCATTAATGACAATAAAAACAATTTACACAGGATGAAATTGTCTGCAGCATCTTGATGTTTATCCATCCATCCATCCATCCATTTTCTACCCTTTAATCCATTTCTGGGTCAGGGGGGTGGCAGTCAGAGATGCCACCCAAGTCTCATAGCACCAGCCCCTCACTGACCCTCTGCAGGTGGTGAGTCCACAGGAGGACGGCTGCTCTCTGAGTGTGAGCATAGCCTTGATCTTTCAGTGGGGGCTTTGGGCAAAGTGGGGTTAAGTGTCTTGCCCAAGGACACAACGACAGCAGTCATCAGTGGGAGTTGGTGGAGAAGGTGCAGAGGTGGGAATGTTTATTCATCAAACTGTAATTTCCCCACTGTGGGACTAATAAAGGCGCATTCATTCATTCATTCATTCATTACAAATAAGTGTATAAATACTAACACCCCATATTTTACTTTTATCAAGAATCACAGGAACAACTAAGCTCGTGCTAATCTTCATAAGGGATGCTTTATTGATCATCATCAAAACCCTGTAATCATTTTCAAATCAAGGCAAAAAATATATTCAAGCATTTCATGGTAAAATAACATTTTAATTTCTTTTCACAAATGCTTTACAATAGACAAGACCTACTGTACCAGCAGTAAATTAGACTCTTAGGGGCAATAATACTCACACTGAGGACTCGCCCAGTGGCATTTTGCAGACTTTGGGGTATATTTATCCATTCATGCACTAAACTGCTTGTGCAAAGTAAAATAGCGTGCACTTTTAGTCGTTTGGGTCTATCTCCATGTGCCTCATTAATCAGTTTGCTCCAAGGGATGCTTATCACTTTTGCACACAAACAAACCCTTGATAAACATACCCCTTAATGTGCTGTTTTTAACTTTTATCTTTCTCCAAATTGTTCAGCAATGGATTCAGTCTATATTCAGCCTGTAGTTAAAGTTTTAATACCACTCATCTTTGATTTGACCCCATTTCACCAGATTTTTTTCTGTTGGTTGTAACAGCACTTTGAACGAAAACTGATGAGTGGTACTTTTGACTTGTATCCACCAGGGATCCATGAGATGCATATACAAGAGTACATGCATGTGTGTGTGTGTGTGGGGGGGGGGGGGGGGGGGGGGGGCTCGGGGGGAGATGGAGATTGCTTATTAATGGAAGTAGGTCATTCCCCCTCCCTCCTGTAGTGGTGTAGAGTCGAGAGGCGGAGCAGTTCCACACTCTGGATTATGACAGAGGAGATTTCCCCGGGTTTGCACACTGACAAATGTGTGCTGCGGGTTATGTGCACTGATTTGTAATTTCAAATGTTCATAAATGTGTGTTTTTGTCCAAGATGTTTTCATTTTACAAAAAAAAACAAAAAAACATGACAGAGTTGAATTTGCCTCTGATAAATCAAGCGTCAGTGTGATCCATTTGTGTATATCGCTGTGCGGTTGGGCATTTGGTCCACCATGATTACGGAGCACATGAATGGTTCTGCTCAGAGGAACTGTAGTAGCTTTACTCGGTCAGTGAGGAGTAACTAAATAATGCATGTTATTGAATAGTGAAGTTGAGTGCTCTACATAGAAAACCACTGAATTCATTTTTTTGCATACTTATTGACTAAACAGTTTGAAATATGACAATAACATGTGTGATTTCCCATTATCTATTTATTTTCAATTAAATTTGAGCAAAGAGACAGTCTATCTGCCAAAAATAAATGCTTTTATCATCTGAAGTGTTTTTGTTTATGGTGAACCTTTATTATTGCCATATATTATTGTATGGTTTACTGTGATTTGAGACAAAATGGTATGACCCAAAATATCACGTTGCTTATATTAGTAATGCTTGGCAATACAATACTGCACTCCAGACAGGGCCTTTCTGTGTGGAGTTAAAAAATTAACCAGTTTTTCCTGTGTCTATGTAAGTTTCCTCCAGGTGCTCCGATTTCTCTTACCGCTATAAACATGGAATAGAGCGTGAGAAAAATGCTTACAATGACACTAGTCACTTTATCTACTTGTTATTCTGTCTCTGTCCTTAGGTTGGTAATACATAAACATTTGCAGCCATCATTTAAAAAATTAGTCAATCATAATAGTATTTTGATTTACAATAATCGCAACTCTAATAATGTGCAATAGTTTTAGTTTAGATTTAGTTAGATTCATTTCCAACCCGCAGAACACAATGCAGGTTGCTATACAGTATATATAGCGACATCCCTACAAGCTACTTTTCTTACTTGCCTTTTGTACACGGATATTTCCCCACTGTGCAGATAAAAGGAATAACGTTTTTTCGATCCGTCTTACTCTGCAGACTAGCACACCTCGCTCCATGTCTGCATCCAACCAAAGACATAAATAACACGTGTCTCTGTCTACAGACTGTCTCCGCTGCACTTTGCTGCTCTGAGTGGGAACAAGGAGCTGATTTCTCTTCTTCTGGAGGCTCAGGCAGCAGTGGACATCAAAGATAACAAAGGTATTATTCCATAGATCGACACATTAGCGTCAACAAGAAGTGTCCACGTGCGAAAAGGAAAGACACTGTTGTATATTGTGTGATGTAAGACGCCCCAGAGCAAAGGGGAACGTGTCGAGGGAAGCGCTGGGATTGGCCGCTTGAACTCTAGCGTTAGAAATGCGCACAAATCCCATAGAATGTGAGCAGAATGGGACATGACGTGATGAAATGTAGCAAAGGGACGTTTGTGTCAACGATCAATGGTTACGACAATACAATATAGAGCTCATGAGGTACAAGAGAGAGTGTAGTGTATGTGTGGTTGTTTGGTTGAATCTTATACTTTATTGTTGAGATTCCGTCCTGAGAACATAGTTAATCTCTCAATAATCTATTAAAATTATACAATTCTCAATATAACATAACAACCTAATAACAAAAGGGTAAAATGTATATATAAAAAAAAACACAGAAAACTACAGAGGACTACAGATGGAGAGTAGCATGGTGCTAAATCTGGTGCATCTTTTTAATGTAACTGCACATTGTCGTCAAAAAATGAAACTTTACACTATAAAACAACCACTGTAGTCATAATGATAACAACAACAATAATCATGACAGTAATAAAATATACAAGATTAATTAACTTAAATCTTCTTGCTTGATGGTTCAAATTGTCTGTATTATTTTCTGAACCTTTTCAGTGTAGGGTTTGAACATTCTTTCTCAATGTTTTGTTTTGCCCATTTCTGAAACATGCAAAATGCTCACCTTCCAGCAGTGTACTCATAATAATTACCGATGGTTAAATATATTAAAAGAACAAAGGAAATTGACAAAATTATGTTGTAAAATGTATTTGTTATCATTTGTTCAAAGTGCATGTGGTGACCCGCTCATTGTGATATGGTCTGATTCCTGCTTCTTGCAATAGAAATGTATTTGCTTTGTAGGTTCCTCAATTATGAAAGAATTTGGTGCTTAAAAAAATACATAAATAGTGAGAAGACTGTCTTCTCCACACATAATGAAGTCACATGTTTGTGTATTGACGATGTGTATAAATTATCCAGACATAACATTTAAAAAGCATTTAAATGAGTGCTAGCATAAAAGGGCCCCCCACCAGGACAGTTTTAGCCTGGCCTAAGCCATCCGTACACTCCGTTCAATCATCAATTCACTGCATGTAACGTCTGGGTCTAGTCCCTGAGTTTGCGATTACAATCGGTTGAATTTCGACCGACCATTCAGAGAGCGCGGAAGGCAGGTGTTGTAGTTAGTTGTGGGTGATGTCAAGAGTTTGCGTCGAACAGGCAGGTTGTAGTTTGGTAATGGCGAAAAATGTGATAGTAAAGTAATCCGGTCTGGTTCTATCAAGGAATTGTAGCTGGAGCAAGAGGAATGTTTAGCAAATTCATCTTTATAATATGTATCACTTACAGGCATTTTTCTGATAAAAATTAAGTTGATAATATATGTAAGTTTGTTCCTTTCCCATCTCAGAAAAATACACCACCAATTCTCTCAAGTATTTGCGACTTAAGCATGGCATGTCAGGATGTCGCCAGCTCCAAAAAATCTAGGGCAGTTTGAAAAATACAAGACACAAATAAGCAGAGACATAAGATCCAGTCAGGGCATTCCCAGGTACTGCATAGAGACCATAGTCCTAAACTGTAATAACATGTTAGCAGGGGTACCTAACTTTCAAACCACAAAAAAAAAAAAACAGTGGAAAATAATGGCAATAATAACCAATGTATATGTAATAGTTTTCTGTATAGTGACATGACAAAATTAAAGAAAACATACTTGGATGTTTGTAAAGGATATATTGATATTTGATTTAATGAATTACCATCAAAATCATATATGGAGCGTCAGGGTGGCAGAACTGCGGTCCGAGCAAGTCTAAAATCATATTTGCGACACAAATGCAGAAACTAGAGAGGATCTGGAAAGCACAGATTTCTCTCAGCAAATATGTGACTGTGCTAAACTCCAGTGCAGAGCGAGGCAGGGCAGATGGGGCTCTAATCCCTGCAGGATGTAGGCCCACATTGGCACCAGCTCCTCACCAGGCAGTCTGTGTCTAAATATACAGAGTTACAGAGCACCGCCAGCACCATGTTCCTCCCAATCACCTGGGTTCAACTGGGATTAATGGTTGGATGTGATTCAAATGTGAGCAATAATGTGGGCAATACAAATATTCCTAATTTTGCAGTAATTATTTTTCCAGATTTTTTCAACCAAACATAACTGAATGTATGATTCAGTCAAAATAATCAAAATAATAATTAAAAAACTAGTGCTGTCAAATTATTAAAATGTTTAATTGCGATTAATGTTATAGTTATCGCAATGAATCACACATTTTTCACTGTTCTGAATGTCCCTTCATTTGAATTGAAAAGGGTATGATGATTTTATTCTGCAATGTTGTTTATGAGAAGACCCGCCTTGGACCTGTGTCAACAACAGTAGGAACAGTTTTTTAGATCCATGCATAGGCCTGTCGCGATAGTCAATAAATCAATTAATCGCACGATAAATAAAATTTGCTCAATAACTTTTCTGGCCGCGATAAATCTCATTTGCAGCTTGTTTGTTTCCCCCGTCTCTCTCTCTCCCCCTCGCTCTCGGGTCAGAGAGCCGCAAAGTGGTCACGGGAACATTAGCGGTCTAGCAAGCAGACGGAAATTACTCAAAAATACAAAATACAGCCAAAACAGGACCTAAACCAGGACTTAACCAGGATTGACAATGGGGGACACAGTAGTTGTGAACATATGCCGGCAGCTGAGTTCTCATTCAGGCTTGATTAGTGACTATAGTAGCGCAGCTAGCGTTAGCGTGTTCGCCGATGCAGAAGTACCGTACCATACCAATAAAATAAACTTATGGCGCACCTCCGTGAACACATACTGCTGTTATATAAAGTCTCTAGAAGGTCTCTGAACACAGAGATGCTGCAGACTTGCATTCTTGGAGTAGAACTTTACACAAAAAACCCGCTAGCTTAGCTGTTAGCATCAAAGCCCGCCCCGCTACTTCCGGTGGGCGCTACCGCAGCAGGACTTCTGTACGCCCCATTGGTGAACCCACATGTCAGTCACTTGTCATTCGCCTGGTGTGTGGGGAGGTGGGACTACTCCTGAGAGATCCTGTCTTAAGCCACACAAAGTCAACATGTTGGTATTTCTTTCTCGTAATCTGCCATAAAGTCTGAGAAATTATTGACATTTGAGGCATCTGTTTCATATTTTCTTTACAAAGGTCCTGGCAGTTTTATTCCTGGTCATTTTTTGTTAAGAGACTGAGTATTTTATTTATTGTTTTTGGTTGTTTGTAAATGTATTGTGTTCTAGCGTTAAATATTCGTTAAAAATAAAAGTTTATTTCTCTTTGAAAAGGTGTACCTGCATGATCATTTTAATCGATGCAAATGATCTCAGAACGACAATATAATCGCTTATCGCAATAATTTCTGAGACAATTAATCGTCCAGCAAAATTTGTTATTGTGACAGGCCTATCCATGCAGTCCTCATAATAAAGCAGTTTGGTTTGGTGCCTAAATCACCGCTATACTTGGCCGCTGTGTTTAAACTGACCCTGATTCCTAAAAAGGACGAGTCAAAATGACACCGCAGCTCTGACAACAACATGTGAATGAAAAAGACAACCCGGGGTTTTGGTCAGTGTGAAAACCCACTGTGTTAAGCCATGAAGAATAACAAATACATTTACAATTAAATCTAATAATGAACCCAAATCATGTCTGATCAACATTTGAGAAGATTTGACAAGTTTTTAGCTTCTTTTAACCTGTCGCTTTGTAAAGTAATGTCAACTTGATTTAGTTTCACCATCCTACAGAGATACAATAATGTAATTTAGCCCCTTTAATTGTTGTTTCTGTGTGAACATGTCAAAGGGAACAGGGTGGTTTCCTGTGAATAAATAGGTACAGGTCGAATATAGACTAGTTTGTACTTGTATGTGCAATAACGCTAAGTTCCCAGTAAAGCCCTGTATTCTCAGGCTCACTGGGAGTCATGACTTGGAACACTCCCTTCTGAATCATGCACCCTCCCTCATGTGGTGTTTCTGCACGATTCTTCATAACATCATATTTCTACAATCTTTTCTGTTTGTTCATTGTGCGTTCCTGTGTTGCGTGCATTTTAAAATGTCTTGTTTACAGAATTGAATGTTGCAGCGACTGAAGAATGAAATACGCATTGCGATTGTCCCTGTGATTTACGTTGGTGTGATTGGACTCTGTTCAAAGTGCACATTTTAAACACAGTAAAGTACTGCATTTTGTGTATAATCAATTGGACCTAATGTGTTGTATTGACAGAGTGCACAGTCCTCCTGCTCCATGCTAATTGAAAGCCAATGCATTCTAAAGTTCAACACAACTTCCTTCATTGATGGAACAGGGAGAACAAAATTAGATTAGCCGCTGCAGGTGTTTCTCGCATTGATCTCTCACTAAAATATGAAAATGAGTTTGTCATTCTGATAATGAATGTTAAAATAAAGTGATGTATTTGGCCATTGTGTCCTGTTGTTGAGGACTATTGCGACATGTTGACTCTAAATATCCATAAATTGCACTGAGCGGGTTGTTTTCTAATATTTGGGGGAAAGGCACAAAATGACAAAAACTACAACATCTTATCTACTGTAGCTATTGTAACCTAAAATGTTGCATTAGAAGAATATTGTTTTTTTTGTTTTTTTTTTTTGACAAATGAACAAAACTGAAACTATAACCGCTGCAGGTGTGGTTGAATAAGCGACCAACCACACCTGCAGCGGTTATACATTAAGTTTTGTTAATTGCATCCCCATTTGCTTCAGCAGCATAACCCCAGGGAGAGTCCCTGGGGTTATTTTAGAAATCAAATATGTACATACACATTGCACAACATTCAAATTGTAAAAAAACACACATTAAAATCAAGTCAAACTTTAGTACTTGACTGGACCATCTGGTAAACTAGTGTAATGGAAAACCCATTAAGCAGAATAAGCAGGGGTGTAGGGCTATATTCTGTGTGCTCTTACTGACTGTCCTGTATGTGCGCTGCTTGCAAGACAGACATTTCCCCACTGTGGAACAAATAAAGGTTCTCTTACTTTCTATTAAGCAGGCCCCAAAATGTTCCCACAAATAGTGCAATAATAATAATCACATTCCAGAATGTTCAGAATAAAGACAAATTTAATACATATTTCTTGAACTTTGAGTTGTATTTTTGTCATATTTAAAGGAAAATATGTGAAAAAGACTTGTTACACCTTTTGTAGTGTTGCGGTTAATTTCCCTTGTCGCTTAACACTTTAAGATGTTGCTGTAAACTAGAACCAGCAAAACAATCGGCTGTAATTTATTCATTTTGATTAAAAAAACAATAACAATCTTATCTTTTAATAATGAAAATAACACAAATATTTAAACATTGTATGTACTGAGCCCTAAAATCTACTGTTCCAGCTCTGTTTGATAGTGTTGTTGTAGTGGTTTTCATGACAGTTGTGTCCACATTGTGTGTCGTAGGGATGCGTCCTCTGCACTATGCTGCCTGGCAGGGGAAGACGGAGCCCATGAAGATGCTGCTGAAGTCGGGTTCATCCGTCAACGGCCCGTCTGAGGAGGGACAGATCCCCCTCCACCTGTCCTCACAGCACGGACACTACGACGGGGTGAGCAACCAGACGGTAGACTGCACCATTCTGGGGATATAGCTAATGATTTTCTACAGCAGATGTTGCAGTTGTGATCACATTTGCGATTTACTTCATGTTTTAGTAGTTGGATTCTGTTCAATCGCAAAAAGATTTTTTTTATATTATTTCTAGTTAAATTGAAATTACTTGAATTTAGGATTGGAATCTTGGTTTCTGTAGATTTTGGCTGGTTTAGTTTTAATTTGTGTATAAATCTAATAACATGCTTTTCAATATATTTGTGAAACTTCTATCTTTCCTGCATTTGAACACAGTGTCACTCATGCTTTACATACTACTGACAATTTGTCTGTGCAAATCTTGTAATGCAGTGGTCTTATGTATGTTTCAGACCGAGATGCTGCTCCAACACCAATCTAACCCCTGTATCTCCGACACCGCAGGGAAAACCCCTCTGGACTTGGCCTGTGAATTTGGACGTGTCGGAGTGAGTTTGACATCATTATAATCAAGGGCTGAATGATTTTAGTTTTTCACAAAATTCAGGGATGTGTTATAAATGTTCAGTCTTGATGAAACTAGATTAGTTATCATGTTAATTCACTTGCCAATGTGTTAAATAAAAAAATCCTTACCTAATTGTCAAATATATTCAAGCAAACTTTTCCTGTAACTATCTTGGTCAATTTTCTAAGGAATCTTCCCTACCTGTGACACATGTTACAGATGCAAACAACCTGCTGGGGTTATAGAAACGATACAAGCTGTGTGTTAGGTATGAATTAGGTATTTGTTTTCCTGGATTCATTACTTTTTTTCGGTGAATTTTGGCAAGAGACTAGTGACCAAAACAGGCTAAATATCACCTGACAAACTGGCAACCCAACTGAGGGACTCATTCTGCTCTTTGATTTGAACATACATATTATGCAAATACAATTTCTACATGTTGACTAATTATCTGGGGAACCAATAAAATAGGTAGATTAAAATGACCTTGACTTAAATTATAATTAAATTAAAAATTCCTTGAAACTCCTGTGTGATTGACAGGTGGTTCAGCTCCTGCTCAGTAGTAACATGTGTGCGACCATGTTGGAACCAAAGCCCTCTGATCCCAACGGAGTGTCACCTCTGCACCTGGCGGCCAAAAACGGGCACATCGACGTCATCAAGTCTGTTTTCTTTGTCAATCCTAAATTACACCTTCATTCAGACTTGTGAGGGATTCATTGTATTGTTTTTTTCTTTCATTGTATTTTGTTCCAGGTTGCTAATCCAAGCTGGCATAGACATCAACAGACAGTCAGAGTCAGGCACGGCACTACATCAAGCTGCCCTCTGTGGGAAGACAGAGGTAGTGCGCTTATTGCTGGATGTGAGTATCCCTCCTCCTTTGGCCACTCTTAAATCAACATTAGTCCAAAATTGAAAGTAATTTTGGATCGGGATGAGTCAAAACGAAACTCTATGAATAACAGCAGACATCCTGTGTGGTTGAACCTCCCCTGTTGTGAGAGCAAGCGTAAATATTTGTGCAGAGATAATCCCAAAGCAAATAGATTTAGTCTAGTGGGGGATGCTACGTTTTCTAAATATGTCACATTGCGCATTTGGAGATGAATATTTCAGCGTGGGTAAACGTCATGCAAATTTAATTGAGTTGGTTTGAGTGTGAAAAGCATATACTATGTTGAAGGTTGTACCCGTACGCAGAGATCACATGTGGCCACGGTTTGTTTCATAGAAGTTGGCTATAGAAATGTTAAATTATTGTACAATTTATTCTAACATGTGCTTTTAATAACTGACTTCTGACAGTTTCTTGCTGTGTTCTGTACTTTCTAATATTGGGGGTTAAAATGATAATGTTACTGTTTGTAGCACTCAGACAGACGAGCAATAAGAGTGTACGGCCCTGAAATGACATATTTTACCATATACTATCTATATCATTATTCTGTTTTATATATTTATTGATAGGCAAACACATATACATTTACTTGCTCAAATATCAAAATGGAACATATTTGCATATACCTTTTTTCCCCACATTTTTTATAAAAAACAATAAAAAGAAAACACAACCTCAGATGTCACAAAGTGCAGTAGATGAGACAAAATATATCGGCCCATACAGCTGATAGACACAACAAAATAATAGATTATAATAGTAAAATAGTCAGCAGTAATACAACCCATTGCACAAAGGTATAAATACAGCAAAAAAAATACCATAATGATAAACGAATAAAAAAAAAAAGTAGAGCAGAACAAGCAAAGAGAAAAAAAAAATAAAAAAAATATATATATATATATATATATATATATATATATATATATATATATGTGTGTGACTATATTCATACATAAAAAATGATAATTAAAAAAATAAATAAAAAAGGGGTGGAGATTAAATCCTGATACATTCAAAATAAATCAATAAACAATTGCCACTCTTTATAAAATCTGTTCAGGCTGCCATGTCTAGAATATCGAATTTTTTCCACCTTTAGAAATGACATCACCTCATTAATCCAGAGATCTATATCATTATTAAAGGTAAAATATTGATTATTAAAATATGTTTTTGGTATGAAGGAACCTGCATTTGTTTGATTTTTACATATTGAGATTATCATGAAAGTAGCAGACTGAAGCTCAATGCTATGTTCTCTTCTTTCATGGTTGTATATATTTACCCTATAACGCAGTAGTTTGAGATCATATTAGAATTGTCAATTTATCTTATGGTTAATAGAGGTTAATATGGACTTGGAAATACTGACCGCAAACTGAAGAATGATTTGCGTTTCATTTGCGATGTTAGGGTAGACGCTAACACTACATTTCCTTCTCTGTCTAAATTACATTTCAGAATGTTGCAACCTCTAACTTGTAACCTCTCACCTTTAACATCTTTTATACCTTTATCACAAACCCAGTGAGAGCAAAACAAATGCAAACTTAATACATTTTCTATCAAATAAATAAATAAAAAGATTAAATAGTGATCTTAAAGCCAACACATAGTCCCAAACCTATTGTGCCGCGAAGGGTGTGGATCTGATCCTTTCTCATGTCAGGGCCGTTCTGTGTGGAATTAGCACGTTTCTCACCCGGGTTTCCTCCGGTGCTCTGGATTATTAGTATTATGAATGCTTATTATGAATAATAATGCATCTCACTATTTTTTGAACACTCAAAGATGCTACAAAATACATACAATAAAAAAGAACAGACAAAGTGAATGATTGATAGTGGTGATGGGAGGGGCTGATGGCACAGACTGCCCCCTTCATTAATGGATAGTGACTTCAAAAATAATACAAATAATTGTTGTTATTATTATTATTATTATTATTATCTAACAAGTTAATTAGTAATGTGTTGACTGCTTTATCCAACTTGACCTGTTTGCCTGTTTCTGTTGTGATTCCAGAGCGGCATCAGTGCAGGGGTGAGGAACACGTTGAGCCAGACAGCGCTGGACATAGTGAATCAGTTCACGACGACGCAGGCCAGCCGCGAGATCAAACAGCTGCTGCGAGGTACAACACTCTCACACACCACAGCACGCACCGCAAAAAGGTCAACCTATCAATATTTATGTGCCGGCTGCCAGTCATTTCAAACATGCGGTGGGCTTTTATTGCACTTAAGTAAGCGCCTGGTGTGTTTGACCTAGAAGATGGATCACTGATGAAGGAGCACAGAATACACCAGTGTCAGCAAATGTATGATGTCATAACATACATTCACACATGTTGTATGACCTAATGAGAATGGATTTCTTCTATATAAATGGCCGTGTCAATCTCAACTACATTATTCTGACCCTCGTTGACAACGCAGAAGGGTCTAAGGACAGTGATGATCCAAGCATTTAAGGATATTTTTCCTGCCCCCTATGGACCCCTATGGCTCTTGTGTGTTTATTAATATTGCATTCCTGTGTTTGAACGATTCATGCTCTGATCTGTTGTTTGTGAATTGTCAACTTTGTACAGTCCTCCAAGACGACTGCTGTTGTGATTTAGGGCTATGCAAAAATACATTAAATTGAATAGATCATTGAGCAACTTTAAAAATGCAGCCTTTTACGGTGCACCCATCCTCAGCTCTTTAGAAATATCTATTATTAATATTACTATTATGAATGATCTATAAACCCGATTAATCATGTTTCTGCTTGAACATTTTTTATATAATGCATAATTCATAGGAAGCATAACAGAAATAGGGAACAAGTTTTCTAGCATGTGGGTGACAAAACATCAATTCACTTTGGGGGATTTCAAGATTTGCCTTAAGATCAAATTGTTTGATTCTCTGACCTGTTGTTGAGGTATCTACAACTTTGTAGAGTCTTCCAAGATGACTGCTGCTGTGATTTAAGGCTACACCAAAAAAAAAATTTAATTGAATAGAACTGAAATGTGATTGTGATGGAGCCAAGTACGGACATGCATGGAGCTGATTGGTTTAGTAAACAGTACTATCAACGTCAAATATGGTGCTTCCTTTCACAAATTACAACACTGCTCTGTTTGTCTTTGTGCTAAAAGATACAAAGCTACAATACTGGATTTTCTGTTCAAGGCTTCTGTTCAAGCCTTGTTAACATAGACACAGGGTTTTCAGATTAAAGGCCTTGAATTATCTAAATTTTACCAATAGCGAACCAAAAAATATTTTGAAATCTGAAGGTTTTTCAAAACAACATAATGAAAAATGAGTTAACCCTAATCCTAAATCCTGAGGTTCCACTTCTGGTCAGCATCTTATTTACAACAAGCAAACCCAACCCCACGCAATTCTGCATTCTATTGTTCTTTCTCAAATTTCACTCTCCATAAATTAAGATCCCTTCCATGTGTGGGCGATGACAGAAATTAATTATTTAAGAAACCATCATATCTATACTGTCTTCCACTAGGGCATGTCTCCATTTTCCATTGCCAGTCAAGACGTAAAATCATATTTTTTCCTCCTTTTTGATGACTACTTTGACTTTTACCTTGCAGATGCGTCGGCGGCCATGCAGGTGCGAGCGCTCAAGGATTACTGCAACAACTATGACCTGACCAGCTTGAACATCAAAGCCGGAGACATTATCACGGTACGGTCACGTGGGCCTATCTCCCCCTCAACCAAAGCCTTGTGGAGCTGTCAGGTCCTCTAAGCCTGTTTCTGTATGCACGCCCCATATGCAGGCAGACAGATGTGGGGAAAGGCCAAGGTGGAACAAATTGTGGGTTTGTTGATTGTGAAAAGGCCATGGTAGAATATAGTGAATTTTATGTGTAAAAAGGTAATTATATATAAATAAAGATTACTTACTTGATTGCATATGCATCTTTAAAGCCCAGATATAATTTAAACATCAATAATGTGGCTTTGTAATAAAGAAGAAATTGTCATGGAAATTTTGATCAGAAAAGGCCTTATATGGTTTGTACATGTGGACCTTGTGACTGCATGCATAGGGACAAAGAAAATAAAATAAAATCTATTTGAAAATCACTTCAAAATATCCCTCTCCTAGAAATTATGTTATTTGTATCAAGAATAAGGACAAACTTTTGAACTTCAGTGATGCTTGTGCTAACAAACAGATCCCTAACCTGACTTTTTCTGTCTCAGGTTTTGGAGCAGCACTCAGACGGCAGATGGAAAGGATGCATACACGACAACCGCACAGGGAATGACCGAGTGGGATACTTCCCCTCCAACATGGTGGAAGTTATCAAGAGGGCAGGTGACCACCAACCAGCAGCTGTTCTGAGGCTGAGAAGCCATTAGCTGTAGCCGCAAACAGCTTCATGTGCCTGTATGAAGTCCATCAGTCTGCCCCAGCTGTCATCACCAAACACACTGTTCCCCTATGGCTGGTTCTGTCTCTACCGCCTTTCCTCCGCCTCTGCTCCATACTGACCCCTTAAGGCAGAGCGCAGTCACTATACACTTCACACTGACCAAATAATCATGGGCACAGTGGCATAAAGACAACCGAAACAGGACGTTAGACAGAAAACACCAACTTTTATACCCTGTTGCTTACATGTGTTAGACCCTAACCCTAACCCAAGTCAGATGAGGGACAATACTTGTAAATGAAGTTAAAGACCTCGCCTTCAAAGTTTTATAAAGTTCCTATAAATATATTTGTTTAAAAATGTGCTGGAAAGTTCCAAATGGATGATAAACTAGAAAATTCTCTTTGATCCTGGGTGTTCACACGGTCACTTTAGAAGACTTTGAAAGTTGTTTTTAGATGTTTTGTTTTCACAGGTCTTCCCTGTGGCGAGAAGCTGTGTTTGGTTTGGTCCTGACCATAGACTGTAAATATCAAGTCCTGACCTTTAATGCCTTTTTAGCCTTTATCTAGTTCCAATGTTGTAGACATTTTAAAAACATTTGCTTGTGTTAAATCTGAAGTATAATTAGTCAGTTAATTGTGAAAAAGAATAAAATTAATTGTATTTGTTAGCTGCACAACTGACCACAGAAGAAAGTATGAATATAAAATAGACATAAATATTTTAAAATATAATAGGACATTTCCTATTTATTGAAGTCATCATGTTTTCCATGGCTGTATGGCACTCGCATATGTGTTAAAATAGTTTTATTATGACGCTATTTGTGTTAGCACCCAGTTTAAATTTTACTTATAATATCCAAAGACATACCTTACTTCCTGTGTGACCAACGATTTACTCTTGACAGTTAAAAATACAGAGCAAAATATACAAATTCAAGTTTTTCACCAGATCACTCATAATAGTTCCTGAAATGACCCAGTTTTTATGGAAGTCACTGCTCTCTGCTTTTTCCTCTCGCCCTCTCACCACCCCCCGCCCTGTTCGGATAAGACGCTTTTGTTCGTTTGCGCATTTGCTTTATTACAACTTTTAAGTACAACCTTTTGACATGTTTATTTGTGATATATATTCCCTGTGGATATATAGATGTGTTCTTTTCTCACATTTTGATTCTTTTTCTTGTAACTGATCAGTTTTGTTGTTGTTTTGCCCAACCTCCCGTCCACTCACGCCCGTATCCCGATGACCCAGGCCACTCCCCCTCCCAGCCGTGCCACACCCTGCTCCTCCGCAGACCCAGCCCCTGCCCCATAGGCTCTCCGAACGGACATCCCCCCTCAAAAGTGCTGCCCCTTCACCTGCCCACCCCTGCCCTGCCCCACACGGCCTCCCTGCCCCCCTTCTCCTCGTTTGGCTACGTTCCCCTGGCCATCTCTCCGCCATCTCTGTCCACTCCTCCGCTGTCCTCCTCTCCTCCTCCTCCCCCTCTTCCTCCTATTCCTCCTCTCTCCACTTCTCAGGAGCAGCAGAGTCAGACAGGTACATGTAGACTCACAATACCCGTAGACTAGAGTAAGACGTAACGTGGTAGAGGTGTCATAAGGTGAATGTCTGTAAGTTTAAATGTCCTTCACCAATGAGCATCTGCCTCCTCGCTCACAAAAACGGCTTAGTTCTCTACACGAAGGCTTAAACCTGTGTTCACTCCACTCAGAGATTGGGAGGAGTGAGCAGGGGTGGAGTTGGTATTTAAAAAATATTATTCTCCCTATTTTTCATTCTTAAGATAATTTATAAACTAACTTTGGTAATAGTATATTATTATTAATATTTATTAGTATTTATGTAATTTTGTCACTGAAGTAGCAGTTGATAATTACATGCATTTTTTATTTTTATTTTTATTTATTTCTATTTCGATACTTTTTCAAAGATTTATCTAAACAAAAAAAGTCTGTGAATGTTCACTCGCGATGATGGCATTTATCCCAATAGATTTCTAGGATAAATTCTGATATTGTTACCTGTCAAAGTTACATAAAGTGTTCACTAACCTTACCTTATAAATATAATCATAATCATGTAACATACTGTATAAATTCATCCTGTGATTGAATTTATACAACACTTATGCACACATGCATCACACTTTATATTTCCTCTTTGCTATAGGCTCTGTCGAACCAAATAGGTTTCTAAATGTTATATTCACATTCCTATATGCTATTCCTTTCACATTTACATTGCATTTGTTTGGAGATAAATTCCAAACATTGTGCTACATTTGTGACACAAAAAACAGTAGTAAAATATACATATTTATTGGTATTTCTTGTATTTCTCCTAGTTATATTTTTTCTTCCATATGCATGGTTAAGCAATAAGCATTTGTGTGGCAGGGACCCGCACGGCGGAGGCCAGTCCTCAGGGCTCTCCCACTCTGGGTCAGCAAAGCAGCACTTGTGAGGACATCTGGGTGCTGCGGAAACCCTTACAAGGTGATGGAAGTGGTGGAGATTTGTCATAACCCCTGTACCCCCATTTGTTGTTTCTTGCTGGTGATAATGAAAAAAAATAATTCACCTATTTGTGCAGGCGGCGACCGCAGCGGCAGTGTGGGCAGCCTGGGCAGTGGCCGCTCTTCCAGCAGCTTGTCCGGGTCTGGAAACACCCACGTTCTGACCACCCCTGCTCCCAGCCCCCTCCCAGCACTCACCCCCGGGGTCAACACCCACGGCCTTAATGCCCCAGGATTGCACGCTCAGTCTGAGGGTGTCAAGGTGCGCACGCTCTTTTGAAGATGTACAATTATTATTGCAAGACTGGCTTGTAAGATCACACAAAAATACTACTACTACTACTTTAAATGGCTCAATCTCAATCTATTACCTTAAATTGAGTATCTACCCTAGAAGTACTGTATGTGTTATTCTAAAATGAGAGTGCTTGGGGATAACTAATACTGGAAATAGTACAGCAACAATCATAATTTGGTTTCTGTTTTTTTGTTGTGACACTGATGTCCTGTAGAGGCATTAGAACAAGCTACAGTGGACACTAATGAGCCACAACAATGCGTCTAATACAGGTCCAGAGAGTGCAGTGAGTCACAGGACCCTGGTGGCATCTCAATGATATACTTAATTCTTAATACTTATTTATGAGTCATCCTCTGCATGTGTGTGTGCTTGTGAACTTGTGCGTCTACTATGCTAATGATGGCCATGCTTGTGTGTGTTTTTCAGCTTCTGGCCACAGTGTTGGCCCAGTCGGTCAAAGCCAAGGAGCATCTCTTGGAGCAGTCACAATCTGTTGAACAATCCGGTGAGTAGAAACCTCTGTGCAGCCAAATGGGTTTTACCCTCAAATGACCTCAAGTTTACAAGATGACAGCTGTAGGATTTAGATAGTGGGTTAGTAATGGGTATACAGATTATAATTCCGACCAAGCAGGAGCAAACCACACTCCACCCATTTCCTCAGGTGAGTCCAGTTTTAACCTGAAGATTGATTTGAATGACTGATTTTCTGTCATAATGCCAAAGCTGTTTAAGCTATAACAGTTGAATTTGACCCATTTTTAATCCGGGGCGTACACATTCTGTGATCCTCCAATATTTTGTACCTAATAATATGGGTTCTGTTAGTGAAAGCAAATGGAATGTGTCATGACATTTATTCAGTGTAAAATTAACAGCCAGACACTTCCCACTCTCACATGACTCACTTGGTAACGCAAGACTGTATAGGTCTAAAACAAAGGCCGACAGATGGATATGCTGCATATAGAACACAACACAATCTATTTAGATCTGGTAGTGTTGCAATTTATATCATAAATATAGAAGAAAAGATACAGAACCTCAACTCAATGCACTTTACTCAGACTGTTTAACAAAACAAAAGACAATGAAGATATAATGGCACTGCCCATGGAAAGAAAGTCTAAACAAGTTTCAAGTTTGTTATTCTTTGGTCAACAACAACAACAAAATAGAGTCACAATTTCAATGACAAGATCTTAGGCTGAACACAAGTGTCTTTAGTTTTCTCTTTAAATGAATTAAAGGTGGGAGCACATTCAGAATTATGTAGAGAATTCCGTTTACAAGTAGCATAATGGGAGATAGTAGCTTATCCAGCCTTCAGTCTAACACAAAGAACTGTAATAAGGTTGAGGTCCGCAGATCTGCACAGGTTCATAAGGCTAAGTTTTATCATCTATGTGTCCATATATTTTACATCTTTGGGCTGTTTTGAAGGTACTTCCAGCCACACAGTGCATGAGCAGCGATCTTTTGAAAAAAAGGCAGAAGAGGATGATGGGAAAGTGAGTCTTGGCTCTATACATTTTTCTCTGTTAGGCCGCAGACACCTATAACCTGTCCTTTATTTTTTAGAAACAAGCTGTGGTGTCCTGGCTGGCTGAATTCCAGCTCCAGTTCTACACCACTCACTTCCTCACAGCGGGATATGATTTGGAGACCATCGGCTGCATGACCCCTGAGGTGAAGTCATGAGCCTTGACCCCTCTCACCCCTCCTATTTGTTAGCCCCAACCTGGTTTCTCCTTGTAAAGCATGTGTATGAACAGAAATGTCACATGGGATTTTCAGACTTTAGAGGTGATGATTCACAGTGTCTGGCTTCAGTTAACTTGGGTGCTATTGATTTTGGAATGTTTTCATATAGATACTGACTTTCTCAATGGCTAAAGTTAAATTAATGAATCACATGAACATTTTACACAAATAAAATCAAGGTTTTAAACATACGTCTTTGCCAAAGTAAAACCGGAGTTGCAGAATCCGGTGCATAGATGGCCATTTAGAAGCTAGTTTCATTATAATTTCCATCTCTTTGCCTTTATCTGTTGCTGGCAGTCTGAGCAGAGACAACCTGACTTTAACATTTCTTTTAAAATCCAAACTAGTGAGTCTGACAGCAGGGGAAACTGAGCAAGGAATTGTAAAATGTATTTACTAGAGTCAGAGTCTGCAGATTTCAAATCTCTATCATAATCACTATTTGGCAAACTGCGCCTCATGGGTAGCAGAGTGATCAATCAGTGAGAATGTATTTATTTTCCCCATAGAGATGAGTGGTTAGTGACTATGAGGAGGTTTGTGTTTATGTTTTGTATACTGAATGAAGTACTGACCCTGGTTGGAAGTCCTGAGACACATCCTGAGTCCTGGTTGTGTCACCACTGGTACAATTCAAACTTACATAGGATGGTTTTGGATTTTGTTTTTTGACGAACCATTGCCATTATGTTTTAAAGCAGCAGACACAAAGAAAACAGTCACAATATACAATGTCTAGTTCTCACTTCATGACATCCAGTGCTCTCTTTGAAGGACCTGACTGCTATTGGGGTCATGAAGCCTGGGCATCGGAAGAAGTTATTATCAGAGATCAGCAGAATAACCTCTACCGACTGGCTCCCTCATCATAAACCTGTGAGCAAGCAGCAATCAAACATCTGAAAAAGAAACCGACCTTACGGAATGTGATGTCACTTTGTTTTCTCTACTCAGGCCAATCTTGCAGAGATGTTGTCTCATCTAGGTCTGAATCAGTGCTACCAAGTTCTGGTCCAGAATGGGTATGAAAACATTGAGTTTGTGTCTGACATCAGCCTGGAGGATCTGCACGAGATTGGCATCACAAAGCTTGGTAAAGAAATACTACAATTACTACTGGTGCTGATACATTTCATATTCATTTCCAGGATCCATTTTCGCATTCACACTTAATCTCAATTGTACCAAGTCTGGATCACTTGGGGAAAAATGCTTCACAGATCTGTTTCAATAGAAGAAAATTACATTAGTGATTTGTGGACACATGTTTACTAACAATAGCTGAGCGCTTAGCAATTTGGTTCTGAGTTAAAATCCCTGTTAGAATTGCACGTCCATTGGAGGTTATACACATCTAGCTCCTGTAGACCAAGCATCAAGTAGTAGTAATCTTTATTTATATACCGCCTTTTCACTGCACATCGGAGTCTCAAAGCGGTTTACAATTGTTATTTTTTGGGAGTGGGGGTGCCAGAACAGGAGGCTCATGCCAGACCTATTGTACATATTTTTAGTGGTAGGGGAAACCGGAGCACCCGGAGGAAACCTACGCAGACACGGGGAGAACATGCAAACTCCACTCAGAATGGCCCTGGTCCAACCGGGATTTGAACCCAGGACCTTCTTGCTGAGAGGCGAGAGTGCTATCCACTCAGCCACCGTGCCGCCCGTGTCAACAGCTGGAGATGGGTCCCTGGGCACCATACTACGGGGACCACTGCTCCTGACAGAGACCCTAGTGGCATTGGACAGATGGGTCAGTCCAGGAGAAAAAAAATCCCCATAGGCAAATTAAAGTATATATCGTGTCATGTCATTTTCTTCTCATTTATTAGTTCTGGGTCGGGGGGGGGATCAGAGCTGCCACCCATTGCTCAAAGCACCAGTCCCTCGCTGATTCTCCTGCAGGTGGTGGGTCCACAGGAACCCACCACCTCCGTCAAATTAACATTTTTGCCCCAAGTGAACTAACATTTGTCTGAAGGAGATAGATACTGCAATTTTTAACCAAATATCACACACAAATAATCATATCCAACAATTATATTTACTTCTAGTGTATGATATTATATTTGACAATATGTATTAATGATTTACTTTGATTGCCACTGGTTTACTGTGCTGTGCAGGCCATCAAAAGAAGCTGATGCTGGGTGTGAAAAGACTGAAAGAGCTCCAGAGAGGAGAGGTGCCCACTGAGCGCTGTGAGAGCCCCCCCACCGCCCTATCCAGCCCAGGAGCTAGCACCGAACCCAGTGCTGAGGTCAGTGCTGAGGCCAGGAGAGAGGCCAGAAGACAGAGGGAAGGAGCCCCCAGCCCCCTGGCCAAACCTCGCCCTGCACCCACAGGCTCACAGACCCCTCCTCTTACCTCCACGCAGACTCCTCCTCAGACCCCCCCTCACAGCAGAACCCAGGTGTCCCCCAGAGCCAGACCACGACCCTCCACCCAGAGCCCGGCAGACGCCCTGCTGCCCCTGCTGCAGCTGCCCAACGAGGAGGAGGAGCGGAGGAGAGCGCACAGCCTGAGCGGCCCAGAGAGAGACTCCAAATACGCCACAGTGTGTCGCAGCTCATCTTCTCGCTCCACCACCAACGATGTCACCGTCAACCGCAGCCAGTCCTCGGTCACGCTCCGCCCGCGCCGCAAAGGCAGGCCCCCTACGCCTCCCAAGAGATCGTGTTCTTCCACGACGGGGGGAGAGGAGGGCGGCGAAGGCCAGGCTGAGGGGCTGTTGATGTTGCCGGCGTATCGGGAGAGACGAGCCAGTGACTGTGAAGTCCTGGGGGCAACTCTAAGAGAACAGGAGTCTGCAGGGCTGGAGCGCTCCGAAGGGGCATCCGGCAGTGTGCGCAGCCTGGCAGCCATGTTGGAGACATCCATGGTCGGAGGGGCCATGACTCTGCCCAGAAACATGGGAAGTACTACCGCACTTCTTCCGGTGTGTAATAGCTTGACCTTTTCTCTGTTCTGAACCTGGTGTCTCTAAGTTGGCAAGAATGGAACTAGTTAATTTTATAGTTTATATGGATTTTATGAGCCTAATTTCACAACAAGGGCTTACATACTAGCAGCCTTCCTAGTTCTTGGATAATGGTATTGGGTATTAGATGCAAAACATTGAAAGCAATTTCTTTTATACTTCAAGAACATAATTGTATTGACTCAACTATTACAACTCACAGTGACTCTGACTGGATAAATCAATAGAATGTATTATTTGTAAAGCACAGTTCATACAGAGTGTAACCTAAAGGGCCATTATTGCTCATTATAAGATGAATGTGTTGTGCAGGTGAGCCCACCCCTGCTCCGCCGTCAGCCCGGGTCAGGAGGTCTCGGCTCTGAAGAAGACGCACTCAGTCGGCGAAGGACCATCAGTGGTACCGACGACCTCCCTGCCGACCAGCAGAGCAACCAGTCTCCACGGCAACCACCCCAACGGCGGCCTGAGCCCCGTCCACGCTCCACCATCCTCTCATCGTCCTCCGAGATTACAGACGGCACGGCTACGCTTCGGCGAAGACCCAAACCCTCCGACACCACTGAGGTCCCAACGACACCCATCGAGGACAGCAGTAAAGCTGAGCAGAACGGGGGCGTGGTCCTGAGGAGGCGACCCACGTCTGAGGCCCCTGAGCGCACAGAGGCCGAGACCTGCGAGTGGATGGAGGCGCGGAAGTCCCTCAAGCCGCCCGTGTCCCCTAAACCTTCTGCGGTGAGGAGGGGCCAGACCGATCCGCCCACGCCCACGCGCAGGGTCCCTCTACCCGGACCTGACAGTGGAGAGCCCGGCATCGCCCAGAGCCCCGGTGAGAGCAAGAGGGTGCAGCTATCTGAGGGGTCAAAAAGAAGTGTTGCATTCATAAAGAAGTGTTGCAAAAGTTGTGGCCCTTAAAATAATGAATACTTCATCACATTGTACTACTATTATATGTTCTGGAATGTTTTGATTACAGAAATATTTCATAAACACAAGATGTTGGGTTTTTCTAGGTTTCTAGGTTATAATCGGCTTTTTGTTAGTATTGAATTTATTGTACATGTAAGAATTTCTCCATTTCAAATATGTATATATTTTTTTATTATTATTTTAAGAGGGAATAAGGGCCACATTTATTATAAGCGGCATGTAAAAATATATTACATTTACTGCTGTATATAGCATAAGTGGTAAATTTTTAGGGGTAGAAAGTAACTAATTACAAACGCTCGCATATTTTAGTAATGTTTTTTATTCTTTTACAAATGACTTTCTATTACATTTTTACATGTAACCCCACATGTAATTTTCAAATTTGATAATATTGTAGCTTTAAAATTGTCACCATGGATTTGTAAATTATTATTGTTATTTGTCTCTTGGTAGAATCCATTGTATACTTGTGGGGGGTGTGACTAGGGGATAGATTTTGATTCCATACTCAGCAACATTCCAGGAGAAACATGAACTATGTGTGTTGACCTACCAGTTGATCTCTAGTCTCTACCTCCTTTCCTTTCAATATGCTGATTTATTCGATTGTATATTTGCATGTCTATTTATTATTATAATTGAGCACCTGCTTAATTTTTGCTATGAGAAATTTAAGAAAAATAGCTAATGTGTTTTAGGAGCACTAATCCCATTATTCAGACTCAAGTAGGACCTTGCGCAGAACATTTCTGACTCCTTCGTTTGTAAGGTTGTTTCTCCAAGTATTTATTTATTTAGAGCGAGGTGGGAGACAACTGCAACATCTAAGGGTGCATTCATACTTGTTGGTCTGGTTCACTTGAACTCGACCATTTTTTTTTCATTTTAGTTATGGCTGTAAAACCACCATAATATGTCACAATATTCTTCCCTAATCAAAACAGACTTTTTAGATTCATCCATGCTAATATGTTACTCTGTCCCTTCTGTCTGAAAGCACCTATCCATATATTTTCTACTGAAGTTATTCTTTTACATTCTGAAATATGAAATGACAAAGTATATAGTCCCATTATCATTGACAAAAGGATGCATAATATGTATTTTTCTTAGTCAGTTTACATAGTTTGAAACGTATCTGTGAAGTATTTTTCCCCAACCAGGCTTGGTCCAGTTAAAGGGAACCAGACTTGGTCCAGTTAAAGTGAGCCAGGTGGAGAAGTGTGAATGAGCTCTAATGAAATATGTCAGAATACACAGCTTTGTCTCCTTTGATTTCTTCTTTGATAAATGAACACATACAAATGATTTGGGTTATTTTTCTAACTTCTTCTCAGTGATAATTTCATACGAGTTTAAACACAACAGCCCAGGTGCAATGTGTTCATATTTATTGCATTCTGATTTTACTTTTCTTTAATTTGCTTACGTCTGCTTTACTTGTTTTGCGCAGAACCCAAACGTATCCCCCCTCCTGTCTCCCCCAAACCCCGTGGACCCCCAACCGCCCCAAAACCTGCCAAAGCCTCTCCTTCCGCCAGCCCGAGCCCCAGCCCTGCACCTACCCCCACCCCACTGCAGACCCCCACCCCACTGCAGACCCCCACCCCACTGCAGACCCCCACCCCGCTGCAGACCCCCACCCCGCTGCAGACTCCCACCCCAGCTCCAAGACCCACCTCTCCCGCGGCTCCCCTGCCTGCCCCGGAGACCCAGTCAGCGGCCTCGCTCTCCCCTGGACCCGCCCTCACCTCTGCCTCTCCCGCCCAGAGCCCGTCCAGCCCCAGCCCTCACCCGATCAAGCCCCCACGCTCCTCCATCGCTGGGCTCTCCATCGACCTGAGCGGGCTGAGGGAGCTGGAAGATCCGGAGCCGGAAAAAGAAGGCGGGCAGCAGCAACCAAAGCCTGCTGAGGCCAACAGGGGGACAGCGGAGGGAGAGGGGCGTCTGGAGGAGACCAGCGCCTCCCTGACCGCTGCACTGGACGCTGTGGAGCAAAAGATCACAGAGGACGACACGCAAAACCAGTGAGTGTGTGTGGGGAACTAGGGGTACTGTTTGTCACTATTGGGCTGAGCTGATTGGCTGAGTGATGGTGGTCCTTTCGTTTTCAGCTTTGGAAAACAATGTAAAAAAAAAAGATGTGATGCAGGCCTAACATACATGCATGTAAAACTAGTGATAGGGCAAACTGTTTTGAGAGCAAGGAACTAGTTTGATGAATTGTTTCACATTATTATGTAGTAAAAAAAAAATCATAAACAATAAACAGTATATTTTAAGATCAACTAGAGGAGATAACACAGTATGTGGGTTATACAAGCTCACGTATTGTTTATGGAGATAAAAGAACTCCAAGGCCCCCCCATAAGCCTTTATTTGAACATGGCTTATATGATTTAAAAACGCACCAATATGTTTCACAAACTTGCCTACCTCAGGGTGCATGAATGAGGCAAGAAGGAACCGTCTCTCAGTACTGTAATGGAGACAAATATATACACAGTTAAAGAAATGCATAATGCCCTTGTGGAGAGATGACATCTATGGCCTTTATCCCCACTGCTGTCAAACTGTACAATAAGTCACTTTAAATGATCACTGTGTGAAAACCTGCACTACTATTGACACTGTTTCCAATTGACACTTGTCACTTTTGTTGCACATAATTATTGTCACTTTATTGTACATATATATCCTGCATGTAACATGTTTGCACATTTCCTCCTTTTGCACAATCTGAGTGTCTCTATCCATGCCAAATGTGACATGTACATTTCTCCTATGTGAGATAAATAAAGCACATCTTATCTTAAAGGGCGACAGTAGCTCAGTTGGTCGAGCATTTGCCTTAAGGCCAGAAGGTCGTGGGTTCAATTCCCACCTCTGCACCTTCTCCATCGACTCCCACTGATGACTGCTGTCGTTGTGTCCTTGGGCAAGACACTTAATCCCACTTTGCCCAAAGCCCCCACTGAAAGATCAAGGCTATGCTCACAGTCAAAGAGCAGCCGTCCTCCTGTGGACTCACCACCTGCAGAGGGTCAGTGAGGGGCTGGTGCTATGAGACTTGGGTGGCATCTCTGACTGCCACCCCCCTGACCCAGAAATGGATTAAAGGGTAGAAAATGGATGGATGGATGGATGGACATCTTATCTTATCTTATCTTATCTCTTATAACATCAATAAAATACATTACTAATGGTGCACAATTATAAGTAGTTTATGTAACTTTTGATAAGGTACATGAACTACTTGTGACTTCCACTACAACCAAAACCTGATAAATTTGGATTATAGTGGAGGTCACACTATAATCTAACATATTTTGAGGCTCCCTATCTGTAGGAGCCATAAATTGAATATAACAGTGGGCAGTGATTTGATTGGGGGATAGGCCGGGTGTGGGTCACGTGGTTACTGGGGCGGTGTCTACTTAGTTCTAACCTCTGTTTTATGAATGAAATCAGTAGTAGGCTGGGTCGCCGTAGTTTTTGTTGACCGTTCGTTCGTGTTTGTTCTTTTTTGTGACTTCGTTTACTCACTGTTTTGTTCAATATCAAGACGTCTACGTTATGTTATCACCTCATCCGTGTTTCTTTTCATTAAAACGCCATCAAACGTAATCCCTGACGAAGTGTGCTCTGTGACAGCCAAGCAGCGTGTCATACAATTAGACGAACCCGGTTTCTCCTCTCCAGCAGCAATAGGCACTAGAGTCGCTACACTCTCTGAACATTAGAACTACAGAGCAGACGAATGAATCACCTGTCCACTTTAGATACTAAAATATGAAATACAAATTCCTAATCTTATAACTTGCGTGCCATTTTACCACTGCAATTCAATATGTTTTCCTCCTTCCAGCTCTTTATCTAGCAAGAAAGCCACTGTATCCATCTTGGACGACATCGGCAGCATGTTCGACGACTTGGCCGACCAGCTGGACGCGATGCTCGATTGACCTGGACATCTTCGTTTTCCCTTTTCTCTGCAACTAAAGGACTTGCCGAGGCCAAGAGGGCTGCTGGTGCCGCACTACGCCTCCGCACAACCGCTGACCTCTGCAGCCGAGCGGGACCGACAAGCACAATCGTTTTAACCCAAGACTCTGGAAAGCACAGAGAAGCTGATAATGCACAGGGGCAAACATATATGGAAAGACTGCTGCACAAAACAAGCACATTTAAATGGACTAGCAGTAATGGGCTTGTGGGAAAACAAAAGTATGCATTTCTGAGCAAAACGTGTCCTGCGTTTCAAAGCGTGCTCTCTCATGTTGTGCTTCTCGTGTTGTCGTTCTGCGTGTGTGTAGTCCTGCAAATGATGTCACTGTGTCCTCCCAGCCCTTACAGTATGTAGTAATCAAACTACCCCAGCAATATATACAAGTGATGTGCGCCCGACATTGACCATAAATTATACGCAAACATTCATTATGAAGCACATGGAGATGTTTTAATCATTATATCAGAAAGTATTCACAGACAGTAGAAGAATAGCTGACAGTCATGGGAGTGTACCTATGTTCCCCAGTATGGGTTAAGTTTTTTGTCAATAATACATTTTTTGTTTGTCCTAAAAGAAACAGTGTGGTAAAAGTAAAATATGGTTAACAAATCAGACCACAATATAGTGTTTTCATCTTCTTAAAAAACATGTTTGTGTAAGAGTGAGAGAGAGTGAAGCACTATTGGACACTTTGGACTTTGAGCATAGTTAATCGATGGAGTGAGGGTGATCTTCTCTTTTTCACTTTTTTGGTCTGAAAAAGCTGATCTAAAGTTTCCACAGAGGCCCAAAAGTACAAAAATGTACATGAAAGCCATTGACAGAATCAAGCTGTTTGAGAACGAGGAACTATGGATTTATTTATTTTTTTAAATATTGGACAACCAGACAAAGGAGAAAGAAACACATTAACATTGAGCACAACAGAACACAGAGTAACAACAAACACATAAGAGATCAAACCAAACAGAAAAAACGTAAAAGATCAGACGAATAAATTGTATATAGAAATAATATACTAACTACTTTTACATAAAAAACATACAACTCCATTACGTACTTTTTCATATTTCTCACTTTCTTTCAGTCATTATTATTACTATGCTTGTTTTTTTTTCTCATAATAATTTGATAAATATTTTACTATTTTTGACTTCAGTTAGTTCAAAATAATTTCAATAATTTCTGCTAATAATGTCAACTATGGATTTCTTTACATAAATTCATGTACTTGTGGTTTGACCCCAGCTTTAACCCTGCCCTCACATTCATTATCTAAACCCGACAACAGAAGAGAAAATCTGAACACAAAGCCATAGTCGCATAGAGCTTGCAGACCTCAAGGGAGCTGTCGGCTGTGCTCAGTGGCATAGTAGAAATTTGTTTTCTAGTCGCTATAACTGTAGTAGTCTCATTTTTCATGCAGTGATTGTGTGAGCGTGAATGCAACATCAGCCCGTCTAATGCAGAAAGTGAATTGGCAAACCGTCCATACATAGTCATCGATAAAGAGGCGTCTAAACAATGAGCAATCTGGAACCAGGTGTTGTTCTTGATCCTATTCTTCTACTGTCTTTAATCCATCCCGCCCTCACGCGACCTGATCGACATTATACATACATCAAAACAAGCACATCCATGTACCCTTTGTCCTGCTGCAGTGATACGTATTTGAAAAGATAATCCTATATTTCCATGTTTTTTATAGTGCAAACAGTATACATATGGAGTTCAGATTATACCTGGGTATTTGAGCTCCCTCCATGTGTTGCGTAGTGGAACAGCCCCCTGTCTCCCCCTCCTGGTTTCTCTCCCTCGTGAATATTTTTGTTTTATGTTTCCGTGCCTTTAGTGTTCATTAATGTATATTTAATTTACTATTCATTATTTATTTTGACTCTTTTCTGTTCCGATGTTTCTGCATTACCCTCATGTGTGCGTAAAATAAAATAGCTTTAGGCCATTGCAATTCATATGTAACCAGTAACAATGAAGGAGCAATTTTCACTGGTTAAAGACAGTGGAGGATAAAGCAGTGTTCACCCCCTGTCGAGCGTCCACATGTATTTTTATGAGTATGAAAACAAAGCTATATTTGAGAGACTTAAAAACAGTGTGGGAGGTGAATGCGTTGTGGATGTATTGTGCCATGTTCGGGTTTAAGGTTGTGTTTTCGCTGTGATGATACATTCCTGTACAGATCGGAATAAATGTATGAGAAAACACACGCCCATCGAGATGTACATGTCTCATTTCATTTATTGGACTTTTACAAACAGATGGAAGATTGTGACATAGACGCACAGCACATGACCAGGATGTCACATAGTGTTTGGGGCCTCCACACAGTAGGACATGCCCTTGACACTTCTTGATTTGAATCACATGAAATATATATGTGATTATCCATTTATGTGGCTGAACTTTGCAGTCATCCTTAACACGGCGAGGCCTGGAATATATTATGATATATGGTACATTCATTTAAAGTAGGAATATGTCAAATGTTCATGTCAAGTCATCATTAAATGGCCCTTATATACCAAAAGGCATAAATAAACCATGATCTTTTCGAATACTTCTTTAACTGATAACAGCAGATTAGCCGAGATATATTATATTTAATTTTTTTAAATTAGTTTTACAGCCCTTTTATTTATTTCATTTATTGTCTCCTGAGGGAAATAATTTTCACAGGCATTGTCACATACATAGAATCGAGAGGAAGGAGGTCACAATACACACTAGATACCCTAAATACACAGAAAGAAATAGATGCAAAACAGGAACAAGGACAACATAACAGACTGTTAAAAGCAGCTATGGCTGAAGGGTCAAAGGAGACCACGGGTAAAGATGTCACACTAGGCTGCATGGAGCCATTATAATAAGGGGAGGGCTGGAGCTGCAAAGTGCTAAATTGTCGTTGTGTCCTGAGGCAAGACACTTCACCCACGTTGTCTAGTATGGGTCGGAAATGTGCGGGAAGGATTGGTGGTCAGAGGGGCTGATGGAGAAGAGTCTTACCAAAAAAACACTATATCTGTTTGTTTGATGCATTATTAATGTCTTTAGACGATTGTTTTCAAGAGAAACATGGTTGCAAATAACATCATATCCTCAATATTATCCTTTTCAGGCGTCACATAAAGAATAACGTGAAAATGTAAACAGTGTAAGATTGTGCTTTGCTATTTTTTGCATGTACACTGACATTTTTATAGATCCATGGTACACTGACTATAGGCCCCTCTGACCATTGCTATAATCCCCCAAACCTATAGAGGGCAGAGTCAACGTATCGCCCCTTTATGAACCTCCCCCACGCCCTTCGCTACTATAAAGAAGAGACTGGCTGCATTCATTCATTCTTCCTCTGATCCTACTGGCAACATCTTGCTCCACTGCTGTAAGATGATCCACGCTGAGTTTAGCCGTTTAGATCTAATGCTGCGTAAATGTAGCTGGGATTTTGTTGTAGGGAAATCTTCCAACAAAAGTGATTCCAGAGAAAAGATGAGTATCACATGAGAAGCAGAGCGCGTGCTGTTGCTAACGTGCTGTTGCTAACGTGCTAGGAGCAACACGTGGCTCCAAGACCCAAGCATGGCTGTACCAAGGTAACTATTTCACCCACGGATCTATACTAGTAAATGGTGAACTTGTGATACATGCATATTGGACATGCCTGACTCCTATTTATAATCTTATTTCAGATCCAGTTGACTCATGCTGCAGAGGAACTCGAGGCCAGATCTTCGCAAGCGCCATGTAGGATCTGTACATGGTAATAAGAATTTCTCTTTACTGCAATTATTAATTTTTATTTGCCGATGATGATAAACATTTTCTGACACCTCATATGAGAGCCAATCATGGCTCCTGATTTTAACTTAGGAACTGAGGCTTTGTTATATATATTTACCTAATATTTTGTAGTTTACATTAATATTTTATTAGTGTTAATCTTTTTTTTCTAAATTAGGAGGGTGACCATGTGAGCCGACTGCAACGTGTTGATGCTGTTTCCTCTAGGTGTCGCTGGTGAGTCTCCTCAAATCTTCACATTTAAACTTCATTTGCCAGTGATGACATCTCTTAATATTTTCTGACACCTCGTATGAAAGCTGGTAACAGCTTTTGATTCGACTGCTTTTCACTGAGGCTTTTTAGACATTTTGAATTGTATCTAAAGTTCTTTAGCACACACTAACATGCAAACTGTCTTGTAGGGGTTTCCTAAGGACCTGGTGCAGGAGCAGTGAGGTAAGCAGTATGAACTTTTAGTGTTGTCAGTGTTATCAATAATTTGTGGTTTTTAATTGGTGTTTTTGCTTGCAGGACTATCGTGACCACATGCCTCAAAGCGATGGTTGATGAATTTGTTAATTTATAACATTCTTAAATAAAATTTGTATTCAAATGCCTGTCTTTAATTGTAATTGGTTTGTAAGTGGATCAGTTCATTTGTCTTTTCTCCTATGGACTTATTTTGAGGGATTCTTGGGACTGATATTACATGAGAAAAAAATATTAGTTTGCTCTACCAACCTCTAACCAACTGGGTTGACTTGCCACGATTCCTAGTTCATTGGCGACCTGGGGACATCAGGTGGCGTGGGTTTGAAGTGTCCTAAAGGTCTTGAGTGGTGTTAATGTCTAACTGGTTGGCCATTACTGTTAAGCAACAAGGTGTAATGGAAAAAATGGCTATTTTCAATTCTACATTTTGGGCAGCTATAAGCTCAACCTAGGTCTCCCAACCATGCCCTGCTTAGCTTCTGGTAAAGACATCCATACCGGTGAAAGTCGAAATTTCCTTAAGCCATAAATTTAATGGATTTCCGTCAGACTGCATGCATCGTTTATGTAATGTACGCTATATAAAGCGAGCCTATGTCTTGTTCCCTTTTAAAATGCGGTATAGTTTAGTATTGCACCCACTACACTCCCGTCAGAGCCCCTAGTACACCCTCCCATTTCAGCAGACACTCCCTCTGCCTTGGCCAACGCTTTCCCTGCGGAGCGAGCGCGTCCTCATTTGCGTGGCCCTTTCCTCTCCATCCGCACGTTTGACAGTCAAAGCAGCCCACACCCGTGTCCCCGCCTCCCGTGACCACCATCAGACAGAGGGGAGTGCTGGACATCCTCTCACTGAGCCGACATCGTGACTTGATCCGCGGGGGAAGCTCCATCACTACTGCGCCGATCCTCGCTCCAGAACCACACGCACCTCCAGCTACAACCAGCGACTCCCAGCGCAACACCTACGGTAATGGCACATTTTCGCTTCTTTTTGACATGAACTACAGTTTTGTCGTCGTGCATCTTTAAATAGCATCCTGTTTACAGTTCACAGTCACGAAACATCTACAACTACTCAGTGATAGCTTGATGGGAGCCATGTTATTTCATATTTGCGCGCAGAAGCTGTGCGTAAATAGACGTTTTTAAAGATTTTTTTTTCTTTTTCTTTTGGCGCAACATCTGGGCCGGAGGAGGGATACAGGCAGCCCCGACCTACATAGAGCCATTAGTGCGATGAGAGACGGCTCCAGAGCGGGGGAGGGGTGCACCGCGCAGGGCCTGAAGTGCCGCTCCGTGCGCGCTTGTCTCCAGTGGTGGTGGTTACTCCTGACTAATGGGCTTTTGATGGATCAGGGCGGGGCAGCTCACTTAGGGCACATTTGGGACGATGGGAGTACAGGCAGGGCCGGTTCTAGGCACTTGGCTTCTCGAAGCAAGGCTCCCCAAATACACGACTATAACCAAGTCAAGAGATCTATTCTAGTGGATAAGGCCACAATTTTCCTCAGCGTACAAGTTAAATTTTTATAGAGATAAAAAATACATTTCTGATGACCTAGTCTTAAATTTGACTTTATTTCTACACAATAAGATATGAGGTAGTAATAACTTTAATTATCTTAATTTGAGTACAATGGGACAAGTCATTTCAAGGATGGAAAAACATGCTTGATTCCATCTGAAGTCCCAAAGCAGGCAACATCCTGTATACACAATTGCAAACACAAAGGTCAGAGTTTAAAGTGTTTAGACTTCTTTAGACCACAGTTTAAGATGATTAGTTGCAGATCTATGGAGGTGCATAAATAAGGCTTGGGGGTTGAAATTTGTACAATCACATTTTAGTTGCAGATGATATGAAAAAAATGGCGTTTGTGTGTCGTGCAGAGAAGGAATAGATCACACATCAAATTTATTGGAAGATATGTAAACAATTTACTGCACCAGAGTCTTCATGAGGGGGAAGGACACCACTACTTTGCCTTAGATTTCCATTTAAAATGATCCAGACTCAGATTTCCATTTTAAATGGAAATTTGAACTTGATTTACTAAGTATTTGCATTTTGGGAGGAGCGCAATTCAGGTAATATTCCACTTTCCGGTTTACACACTAAGTTTTGTGATTACAATAAATAGAAAACAAAACACTAACCCTTTTTTAGGACACTCAAAGACACTTCAGATGTCTTTATTCTTTCACTCACACGGTGATGATAAACTTCAACTGTAACCACACTGACAGAAACAAGGCTACCAGTATGTACCATCGCCTCCTTTGACCAGCAATCAACTATTCACACACACCACTCATTCTAGGTAATGTGGGTGACGGGTCTTGCCTAAGGACACAGCAGTTTGGCACTTTACAGCCGCCCCAATGTGGCACCTGGTATTCCCAGAGGTCTCCCATCACAGTGGCTTTAGCACTTGCTCAAGTGGAGCAGTTCAAATTTCAAGGGGTCTTGTTCACAAGTGAGGGGAGAATGGAGTGTGAGATTGACAGGCGGATCGGTGCAGCTTGTGCAGTGATGCGGTCGCTGTAATAGACTGTTGTTGTGAAGAGGGAGCCGAGCCGAAAGGAAAAGCTCTCGATTTACTGGTCAATCTAAATTTCCACCCTCACCTATGGCCGTGAGCTTTTGGTTATGACCGAAAGTACAAAGATGGGTGCACAGTCACATGGAGCTCAGGGTAAACCTGCTGCTCCTCCATCTGTGAAACCCTGGGAGAGAAGTTTAGGGCTCTCTGCTTAGACTGTTGCCTCTACTTCCCGGCAGTGGATAAAGCGCAAGAAAATGGATGGATGAAAGTGTGTGGCTTTTGACTTCAGCCTTTTAAGCACGAATTGCTGCTTTTAGAATTATTTGAATAATAGTGGATTTGAACAATGATTTTTTTTTTTGTGTGTGTTTGCAGAACCATGGAGGAAATGGACGTACCACAGATGAGGAGAGAGGTGGAGAGCCTTCAGTACCAGCTGGCCATCAACCGAGAGAAGTCTTCCATAACGGTCACCGAGTGAGTCCAACAAACCAATTCACACATATTGATTATAGCCAGGCTCTTAATGCTTGAACGAAGAGTGAAAAATAGGAGCTCAGTGATGTAATCTGAAAACTGCTAAACGTTCTTCCTTTTTGGCATAATATACTTTTTTTTACACTTAAATCTGGGGTACCTAACATTATAGATTATTTGTCTAAACAGAAAGTCTTGTAAAATGTTGTAAACAAATCAGATGAACTGCTATCTTTATCTTATTAGAAAACCCTAACCTTAACCTTTGCGTACAGATAAGAAGGAACCCCATGATGCTTTGAGATTATATTTCGTCTCTACATCTAATTCAAAGATGTGAGAGAGGCCAAACATAAATGGATGTGAAAACTAGAATCATTTTTTGATAACTGCTTTGTGAGCGAGGAATCACATGAATTTTATTAGTTGAATTTTTGATCCGTTGGAATTCAGGTACCCCAGCTTTAAATGATTCACTAGAAAATTGTAATGTAGACTATGAAAGTAAATCTTCTCTGTACATTGGAGGAGTTTTGGTGATGTCATCATTTAAGAACCAGGAAGCAAAATGTCATGATAAATATTGACTACAAATGTAATTCTAGTTTTAATATTCAGAGTTTTGAGAAAATTCTTAAATAATTATTTCATGAAAAGTCAAACGTAAACTGTCGTGATTATGCACTTTTAACTTAGTCCTTGGTTTGCCCCTGCAGGCTGGTGAAGTGGATTGAGGGCTGTGTGTGCGAGGACCCCTTTCTGAACCCGGAGCTGATGCGAGCCAACCCCTGGGTGGAGAAGGGAAAATGTGTGATCCTCTGATGACCCCACACCCCCAAACATATGCACAATAGGAACTATACAATCATGCACTAAACACTAGAATTATCTTTTCAGCTATTTATTTAGACTGTGAATGCTTTTATTTATGTGTGAGTGTCCTGCGGCAGTACCAGGTAGCTTTTAGGAGGACTGATGTGAAGGACTGCGGAGAATTTGTCACATTTTTATTGGCTCTTTACACTGTCAATCACAATAAAGACTGTTTTGAATTTAACTGGAACAGTGAGTAGTAAATTTGTACAAAAATACAATACATTTGGCCGTAGTTCTGCAGGGGGTTAGAGCAGCTCTCGAATGTAGACGTTTCTCCTGACGGCGTTGGACATACCCTCGTTGAACCGGAACCACACGTCACTGTTGCCCACAGCGGTTCCCATGGCCTCCACAACGTCCACCTCTCCTGAACAACAAAATGGACTGTATAATAGCAAAATACTACTTGACTTTCTGTAGGGCTGGAATGATTAATAAAATTGATAAAATTACTTTAAAAAAAAAAAAGCTTTGCTAACAATTCCTTTGCCTAAATCTTTTTAAAACAACTTAACAAGTTCGAAATTGTTTCACATATTGTAATTTTTTCTTATAAACATGTGAATATATTTTTAATAAAATATTATTGCAATTGACACATGTAGGGTGGAAAAAATTAATAGAATATTTGATTACTAAAGTATCCTATAGCAGTAGTCCTTACAAGAACCTGTAAGAAAAGACCAAGAACATTTTCTTTCTCTGTATGAAATGCCTCTTGGCTACATTCTTGTTTTCTAGTATGTCACTTTGTCAGGTCTCAGTGACCTGGTTATCACCGTCCTGTGCTTGAGATGGCAGTACCAGAGACTGTACACCTTCATACCTACACACTATACTATACCTAGTGTCACATTTTGAAGCCGTTATGCAGTCTTCAATGACAAAACACTCCAGACATTTCCTTAACATCGCTCTTTGCTGTATTTCACCGAAGAAAATTCAGCTGTTTTACAAACTATAAAAAGTTCTATCATGCAGGTTTTGTAATAATAAAATATATTTTCAATTGCTTAAAGTAAGTATAAATGATCACAAACAGTTTTTTGAAAAGCACAGAGTGGTGATGCTTTTGAGTTTTGAAAAATCAAAGACTTCATGAGAAATAGAGGAAAGTGTCTGGCCCCGACATAAGCAGTCACCAGGTGGCAGTGTGCACATGGGATTAGCTTTCCCTTCACTTTGGTTCATGATGTGAAAAAGAGAGAGCTTGTTAAAGGTGATCATGAACAGTTTTTCACTCTTCACACAATGTGCAACTTAAAAGGTAAATAGGAGGATTTTCCCAAACTTCCCAAGAACCGCCCTCTCCGCTTTTATGTTCAATTTTCTTGAACAAAACTCCCTGGTCTTATTTGACGAGCATGTTTCACCAGAATGTTGGAGGACCAATAGTCTTAACAATCCACCCGGAAGTAAAAAATCCTATATACCTTTAAGAGACCAATGCAATCGTGATACTTTATGATGTGAAGGAGTTCGAGAGCTGTGCGAGTTTCCCTTTGGTCTCATATTGTACCTGATTCTGTGAATCCCTTCCTTTTCTCCTGCTTGGGGGCCACTGTTCTGCCAAAGAAATCCACCTCTGGCTGTAGGATAAAGGACCCAATAAAATACATTTAAAGCCAACCCATTGCAGAAAATCTGTTAAAAAAAGTAACAAATTCACAAAAGCACAGAGTTATTAGCCTGGTTTGTGGCTTCTCTTTGTCCTCATTTGTCTCCCTGGAGGAACTGTTCTACTTCTTAAGACACCTGTCAATCAGCAGCATGAAGCGTGGTCGTTCCAGAAAGGGCAGTGTGGCTGCAGGTTTTCAATACAACCAAGTGCACACCTGACTTGATGAAATGAGTGGTGTCTGGTGAGTACATGGTTGGAATAAAGAACTGCAGCCACAATGCCCTTTCTGAAACAAGATTGACGCCCCCAATAGAGGCAACTACTATATAATAAAAAATATAAATTAAATTAAATTCATGCAACACAACGCAAAACACATACACACACATACTCACTCAACACAACACACAAGCCCAATCACTCTCTGACCCTTCACCTCTCTCCCTCTACTAGTGGTCAGTGTCTTACCCTGGTCTCCACTGTGGTCTGTTTGACAATGTTCTCCAGTCTCTGCTGATGATTTTTTGTTGTTGTGAAAGTTTCAGCCTTTTTTCCCTTTTCTCCCTCTCTCTGCATAAAAAAACAAAAACATATGCATACATGAATATACTTTTTAATAACAAAGCAGGTCAGCCTGTCAAGATTATCCCTATGTGTAACGACTGCGGTTACGTCTTAGTCTTTCAGAAATTATTAGTATTATGGTTATTCTCCAAGAAAGACATTTGATTTGTGACATTAGTTTGAGTAACAGATTACTCTAAACATGTCATTTGTTAGTGTCATTTGCCAAGTACATTTTATTTCTAGTTATTTATGCAAAGCCCACCGGTGCAGGGTTCCTCCTCTGCATCAGCAGCTCAGCCCTCCTCATCTTCTCCTGCTCCATCTCTCTGCTGACCGTCTGCTTGGCCTGGTAAGTAAGCTGTCGACGAGGAGGCAGACCGGGGAACTTCACCACCTCCTCCACACGCCTGCAAATATAACACACACATATTATATATATTTTGTTACACACAACAGATATATTAAGGGAAGGTATTCCTGACCAAACTCAACATCCAGAGTTGGCTTCACCAGGTGCTCCACTGCAAACAGTGGCACCGAAGAACGGGTCAAAGGCAGAGAACAAATCTGGCCGCGACATTCCGTCTTTATTCTCTTAGACATGACTGATCTTTTGCATACCATGTGTAAAAAGTGTGAGCTAAAAGGAAATGAAAAGTGTCCCCAGGACTATAAACCCGGGCTGAGGGGGATTTTTTTTTACTCACACCTGGGATTCTGTGCTGAAGAAGTGTGCATGCCAGGTACAAAAGAAAAAAAAAATCAATCAGAAGTAAGTAATCTTTATTTATATTGCGCATGTTTACCGAACAAGGTCACCCAAAGTGATTTACAATGTTCAGAGTTCAGACATTGTTTCATTCTCTCCACATGGTGATGACGGAAGCAAGACGCCGAACACACTGGCAAATCAAAGCCCCAACCAACACCATCCATTCACCCAACTGTTACATTAAAACCTATTGAGCATGTTTTTAGTGGTAGGAGAAAATCTATTTCACATGATTGAATTGACCCAGAGGATTAAAAGGCCTTGACCACAATAACCCGAGACATGCCATAGAGCTCCTTCCTTTTAATGAATACAGATAAGGATGAGAAACAGCCCGCGTGCTATCGCAATCTCTCAGCAATAACTGCAGTCCTATAGTGACTCTTTAAAGGGAACAGCAATAGACACAGTGAGAGTCAAGCACTGTTTGAAAACAAAGACAACACAAACCCACACCTCAGGGGCGAAAGTTCACATTAATAAAAGCTGGAATCTGTCATGGACTAAAACCTTAATCCTCTTAATGCTGAGCTCCATCAGTAAGTGATCATACCGTGGCATTGTGGTACAGCACTTACACCACACCGGATATGGAAGAGATAGAGAAGACTGTGTGGGAGAAGAACTCAAAACTGCAAATATTATGATATCTGAACATCAGTGCAACTACATTCTAGTACTAGGGCTGAACAATGAAGAAAAAGAAAAAAGAAAAATAGAAATTTGTATGACAACTAAGGCCATTAGATTTGCAAACCTACATTTCTGATGCATGAAATTGTGCAAAAGACTTGTTATTTTTAAAATTAATCTTACAATCAGACTGTACAATAAGAACTGCTGAGCCTGTAATTTTCATTCATCTGTAAATAAGTAAATTCTTAAATCATGTGCAATGTGAAATACTGCGACTTCAGAATGTCACAGAACAATGTCACTTTACTTATCTACTTATTATCCTGCACTATATGTACAGTATATAACTCTGCACTACTACATGTATATTTTTTGACTGGTATTGAAGCATTTTCAGCATCTACAGCCAGTTATGCTAGCTAAGAAACATAGCTACTACGTATTTCGTATATAATGTGTGCTCCCTGTGTGGTCTCACTACTGTCCTATATGTACGCTGCAACAACAAAATTTCCCCACTGTGGGACGAATAAAGGAACTCTTATCTTGTCAATGTGAAACAGTATATATAACAATATATGACAGACTAAATACACTCACAGTGAGATATATCAAGCCTTTGTTTGTTATAATGTTGGTATTTGACTCACAGCTGTAAAAACTCAAAATTAAACATAATTTTTTGAAAAGGGACTTTATGTCAATTTGTATGTAATGAGTCTTTATCCATCCATCCATTTTCTTCCCCTTAATCCATTTCTGGGTCTGGCAGTCAGAGCTGCACCCAGCTCACAGAGCACCAGCCCCTCACAGATCCTCCTGCAGGTGGTGAGTACACAGGAGCAGATATGAGTCTATATCATACACTTATTTTCACATTTTAAGCTGAAATATAGAAAATAGAAAATACTTATTAGGATATAAAAAATGTTCACCTGTAAACAGGATGATAATCAGTTGCAGAACAAAATTGGATCCGTTTTTTGCTGGTATTAAGTATTAAAATTGGTATCAGACCTGGATTAGCAGAATCAGTGCATCCCCACTAAATCTGAATGATTTATGAGTTCATGTTGTTATAAACATTTAAGACAATAGATGAATACATTCGCATGAGCCCTCTGGGGAAGACTGCCATCAATACATCTAACCACACAAGAAATTGTATGTTTTTGATTATTTGAGTGTCTGGATATGGATAAATTCACATGTCAAGGCTTGACATGGTTTGTCAAGTTCGCGCTGGAGACAAAGATGCACACAAACAACATTCTGGACTTTTGTATAAGCTGTAGCCTTAACATTGGAGAGGTAGTTCAGTCTAGGATAATGTTCTAAAGTTTTGAACTCTATCCAAAACTCAACATTTCACATATTTAATTTAGTGTAATTTTGAACAGTTGTCGAGATAGATCAGTTGAATAGATACAAAACATTTTTCAGAGATAAAAAAGTGAACTGTGTTTGATCATCAATTTGTAATTCTTCTGACAAATGTTGCGATTGTGATCAAATTTACAAGGGGGGGCGGCAATATTTAGATTGTCTATTATCCAAATATCTAAAACATCTAAAGTATTTCTGTTTTGTTTAATGTTGTATGAAATATAAGTTTGAAATGAATACTAACACTACTACCAAATCAATACGCTGCCAAACTCCATCGCTGCCGTCTCATTCCACATTCCATCTCCCACAATACAAGGTGCATTAAAACATTCACCAGCAGTTGGTTGAGTTCCTCACATCCACAGTGCACGTTCCTGGGTTTCTTAATAGTCGGTGGTGTTGAGATGGGCTCGTGACGGCAGGTAGAGGAAGGTGTAGACCAGCGCCAGCAGCACCAGAGCTACCACTAGCGGCAGACACCAGTCGGAGGTAAACAGGACCTCATCACAGCGCGCCTGCAGGAACGAGCCGTCTTGTGGGATCAGGGGCTCCTCGTCTTCAGCCCGAACACGCATAGACAGCATGCTTCTGTCCAAAAAAAAAAACAAGCCTCCGAGAAGCCCTGGGGTTCGAGGCAAATGGAGTTGAGGGTTCTTGCTTGTGTGGTGTGTCTTCAGTGAAGTTACCTGAACCCCGCTGCTGGGCTTATTCCTCTATTCCGTCACAAACCAGGTGTTAAGGGGATTATGCTCTAAGCTCTAGATGTACAGAACTGAAGCAGTGACCTTCAAAAACGGACCTGAGCCACTGGGCAATAAGGCAAGAAAATAGTATTAAATGAGATGAAATATAATCGTATCATTGTCTGGAATGATTCGTATCATTTTCAAAGCAGCAGAATGTACTGGAGGGTTTGTTTGACGGTTTGTGCTTCTGGAGCTTTGAGGTGGGCAGATGTTGTAGATTCTGCACAAAATGAGCTCAACACGAGTCTGTGTCTCAGTCCAGACCATGTTGTAGACCAGGGAGGTCCAGCTGGTTCAGAAGGAGGTGTGGCTAAGGTCTCAGTCCAAAAAGGCAGGACCAGACTTCAGGCTCGACCTGAAGACCTGATGAAATGAGTGTAGTCCGGATTGTTCCCGTTTGGTTGGAACTTTAGGAAAACCTTAGTGGGACCACTGGAGAACCAGTCTGTCCTCCTGGTGTAGATCATTTAGGGTGAAGCGACAGCCTGAGTTTGCTGTTCTTACGTGTGAGCTGTAAGAATGTTTAGATCCGTGTCGTGGATCTAAACTAGATCTAAGTATGGATCAGCCAGTACATTTAGAGAAAGGGGGCGAGATAGAGGGCGCCTATAAATTACTTTGGGCGGCACGTGGCCGAGTGGTTAGCACTCGAGCTTCTCAACAAGGAGGTCATGGGCTTGAATCCCGGTCAGAACAGGGCCCTTCTGAGTAGAGTTTGCATGTTCTCTCCGTGCCTGCGTAGGTTTCTTCCTGATGCTCCGGTTTCCCCTACCACTAAAAACACGTACAATAGCTCCCTTCCCTGAGGGACCAGGACTCCCCTTATAAAGAGCATTCGAGCGTTCCATTTGCTGAGAGTGTCAGCAAATGGAGCCATGAGGGTTGCCAGGTTGGGTTTGGGTCGTCCACAATAAGCTTTAAGAAGATGCGAAGCAGCAGAATGTTCTGGAGGGTTTGTTCAACTGTTTGTGCTTCTGGAGCTTTGAGGTTGGTAACAAACACCTGCAGATGTTGTAGATTCTACACAAAATGACCTCAACACAAGTCTGTGTCTCAGTCCAGACCATGTTGTAGACCAGGGATGTCCAGCTGGTTCAGAAGGAGGTGTGGCTGAGGTCTCAGTCCAACAAGGCAGGACCAGACTCCTCATGGCCCCGGGTCCAGGCTCAACCTGAAGACCTGAGGAAATGAGTGTAGTCTGCAGTGTTCCTGTTCGGAAGGAAAACCTCAGTGGGACCTCTGGAGAACCAGTCCGTCCTGCTGGTGTAGATCATTCAGGGTGAAGCAACAGCCTCCGTTTGCTCGTCTGACTTTTTCTAGCGTGTGATCTGAATCTTCTGATCTGAACCTTCTGTAAGAAGGTTCAGATCAGAAGACACGGATCTGAACCTGATCTAAATCTGCTATTAGGTTTAACACAGCGGCGTAGACTTAGTAAGAGGTTATGAGGCTGTTTTTAGGTTTAACAAGTGTTGCTATACTAATGCACTTGTGTTGGACGGACATCTCTGGAATTAAGTAGATTCCAAATAAAGACAATGGGCCTCATTCACGAACGGTTCTTAGGAACAGATGTGTACGTAAATCCTACTTACACGGTTTTTACGAAGAAAGTGGCATTCACGAATATTTCTCGTAACCAGAATTTCTCTTGGGCAAGTACAAATCCTACGAGTCCTCAGGAGCACTCGTACGCATTCAGTGCCGACATGTTCACACGCCGGGGTTGTCCTCTTTGGTGAAGTTGAATAAAAATACAACATTCCATGTGATATGTCCGTCATATCGATGTATGTATTTATTTATTTGTAGTAATCTTTATTAGTAATCTTTATTTATATACCGCCTTTTTCACTGCAGATCTGGCCTACTTTTTAATTCATTTTGAAATGAAATGTGCCAACGCTTTATCAAATACATTGGAAATCTTGCCGTGTATTAGTGACCCCTTCCTATTTATAGGGGGCATTTCTTTATCCACGGGCCACAGAACAACGGCATATATACTGCTGCTGCAGGAGGTTACTGGGTCCGCGCTGAGTCTCTGCGCTGGTCTCTCCTATGGATCTATACGGGTCTGCACTGGTCTCTCCCATGGATCTATACGGGTCTGCACTGGTCTCTCCCATGGATCTATACGGGTCTGCACTGGTCTCTCCCATGGATCTATACTGGTCTGCACTGGTCTCTCCCATGGATCTAGACGGGTCTGCACTGGTCTCTCCCATATACGGGTCTGCACTGGTCTCTCTCCATACGGGTCTGCACTGGTCTCTCTCCATACGGGTCCGTGCTGCATGCTCCTGGATCCATACGGGTCCGCGCTGGTCTCTCAAGTCTGGTCTATGCGGTCTATCTTCGGTCCGCGCTGGTCTTTGCGCACCGGTCTCTCCAGTCAGGTCACTCCAGTCTATGCGGTCTCTCCTATAGGTCCGCGCTGGTTTCTGTGTGCTGGTCACTCCAGTCTCTCCTCGGGTCTGCATTGGTCTCAGCGCTGGTCCGCGCTGGATCTCCTCCCAGGGTCCAAAATATTTTGAGATTAATCTCAAAACATTTTGAGATTCATCTTTAAAATGATACATAATATATTTTTAAATTAAGCTCATAACATTTTGAGATTAATCTCATCATATTCTTAGATTAATCTCATAATTTTGCTAGTTCGACTTTATTATCATAATATTTCGACTTTTAAGTCAACATTTTATAACTTTATTCTCAGTCTGGTAAAAGAAGAAAAAAGGGTGACTCTTTTGCTCCGTGGCCTGTTGCTTTAGGCCTGTTGCTGTTTCCTCTGCCGTCTGCACACGGCCCTGCAGTCCCTTATATGGGCATTAGTGGGCGGTTACTTATGCTAAGTACCTATGCTAATGAAGCACCTGGCACGCGCGCTGTACTTACGGAAATGGGATTCATCAATCTGAGAGAACAGCTGCGAACAATTCAGCGCCTTACGAGTGCGTTGATGAATCCCACGTGGGGACTTCTTAGAAATCTACTTAAGGACAACTTGAGAAGAAAGTTGAGTAGTTTCTTACGAAGTTATTCATGAATGAGGCCCAATAAATTTAAATATTGACTCAGATTCCTTTATCTTTTGTCAAACGGCCCTCGCCACACCACGCAAAGGAGGGAGCGCCGCCGCGCCATTATTTGCTCGCGTAGCGTAGGTTCGCAAAATGGAATGAATATGATCAGTTGGTTTGGATCCCCATGTAAAACTTTGGTTCTGTCTGTAGGGGCGCTAAAGAGCCGATTTAATATTTCACACCTTCAGGTGACCTAGACCAAGTGTAGTACAAATCAGACTTTGTATCTGTAAACAGGAGTATGTATAATCTGTGTGTCCATATATATACATTCTCCATTGGATGACCATGTGACTAATCAAAATTATATGAATAACTATTGATGGTACATGTGTTGAGATGTGAATGATGGTAAAATCCCTATTTTTTGATTCGGTTGAAACAATTATAGGTTACATGTAAGGCAATTGTGTATGAAGACAATGACTACTCACGGCTCCAGAACATATGTGTACTGGCCCTCCGGTGTTCGGTCCTGCCTGTAAGCGAGGTTGTAGGCCAGCATGGTGTCAATGAGCTCCTTCAGCTGCTCTTTCTCTCTGCTACTGAACAGCTGTGGATTTACCTAGATTTGAAAGCACAAAAGAAAATGAAACACAAGTTTCCATTCCCATATGGATCCAGCTTCAGTTTAGTCGTACCGGTCGCAGTTTGGGGCAGATGATGTCGAGTAGAAGCGAGAGGATATCAAGGGTGAGGTTGAGCTGGCTGATCCTTGTCCTGATGCATGCTGGAATATCGGATAGCATTGAAGACAGAGCGTTTTTACTGCCAAGGATACGGGTTAACGCCTGGAGGAAACAAAAAGCATAATATATATCTTGCAGCGGTTTTTAGCTTACTGTTATTTACTGCTTCTCCACAATAACAAACCAACAACGTGTGACTTTCCCTAACCAAAGTGAAACGTGCTGGTACCTCATGCTGGCTGTGTGGGTAGCTGAGGCGTGGCACGTGGCTATGAGCGAACAGGAAGTGGAAAGCGACGGACAGGAAGGGCAGATATCTCATGAGGGTGAAGTTCTGTCCGTGCAGAATGACCTGGTTAAGCCGGTCAGAGAAGGAGAGCCACTCCAGGGCCTCGCACACGCTGTGGAGGTTAGGGTCCCGCACTCGCATCGACAGGAAGTTATCATACAGCCCCTGAGATGTGAATAAAAAAAGAGAGGGCTTTGAGGGCTCTCGTTTGTAACTGCAAGGTTTAGATGAATAAACAGTTCATTTAGTCATTTTTGTTTTGTGAGTCGAAGTAGTAAAGCAATATTATTTGTAAATAATACATGGGTTAAAGTTGAAAAAATTCCTGAGCCTGAACCATCTATATGAATCATAGAATGATCACTAATAAGCGTTTTTTATAAGCGCCTTTATACGCTCATACATATAATTTATATCTATTTATTGCCAACAAATGATGTTTATTATAAACATCAGTTGTTGGCAATAAATACATCATCTGACTATTGAATTGTTACTTAAATGTAAAGCCTCACCTTGCCAAGACCTTTCTGCAAGTACCCCTAGTTTGGATTTGTGTGATAATGTAAAAAAAAAAAAAAACATACCACATCACAGTAAGTGAATATACTATTTTCTTTTTTTTAATTATTATTGATGTTATTACTAACATTTTATGTGTAAACTGTAAACTGATTAAACATCCAAACTAGACATCAGATATGACATACAAAAACTAAAAACACTGGATCAGGCAACAAGAACACTTCCAGATTCAACCTTAAATATATAAATAAACCTTAACTTTTAAATTCTACTTATTAAACATTTAGCTTTCAACACAAATAAATGAAACTAAAGTGCAAATGAGCTTTGTGCTGTGTGTCTTCATAAAGCACCTGTGTTAACTTTCAATAGACTTTGATTTGGTAAAACATTACAAAACAACACAAATGCTAACAGTACTGTTTGAAATATTCATTTAGTTTTCTTTTGTTTAGGGTGTGAATTATCTGTATGCTTTCTTTTTAACATGTTGGGCGGAGGGTTTAATGAGGAGGCTACTTTGTCTGAACAATTAAATAGAGGGAAAAAACCGCATGGTCCAGAGGAGGAAGCAGCTGGTGCAGAGGAGAGTTGTCTGGCTGGTCCAGAGGAGGAGGCAGCTGGTGCAGAGGAGAGTTGTCTGGCTGGTCCAGAGGAGGAGGCAGCTGGTGCAGAGGAGGAGGCAGCTGGTGCAGAGGAGAGTTGTCTGGTTGTCTGGCTGGTCCAGAGGAGGAGGCAGCTGGTGCAGAGGAGAGTTGTCTGGCTGTCTGGCTGGTCCAGAGGAGGAGGCAGCTGGTGCAGAGGAGAGTTGTCTGGCTGGTCCAGAGGAGGAGGCAGCTGGTGGAGAGGAGGAGGCAGCTGGTGCAGAGGAGAGTTGTCTGGCTGGTCCAGAGGAGGAGGCAGCTGGTGCAGAGGAGAGTTGTCTGGCTGGTCCAGAGGAGGAGGCAGCTGGTGCAGAGGAGAGTTGTCTGGCTGGTCCAGAGGAGGAGGGCAGCTGGTGCAGAGGAGAGTTGTCTGGCTGGTCCAGAGGAGTGGGCAGCTGGTGCAGAGGAGGAGGCAGCTGGTGCAGAGGAGAGTTGTCTGGCTGGTCCAGAGGAGGAGGCAGCTGGTGCAGAGGAGGAGGCAGCTGGTGCAGAGGAGAGTTGTCTGGCTGGTCCAGAGGAGGAGGCAGCTGGTCCAGAGGAGGAGGCAGCTGGTGCAGAGGAGAGTTGTCTGGCTGGTCCAGAGGAGGAGGCAGCTGGTGGAGAGGAGGAGGCAGCTGGTGCAGAGGAGAGTTGTCTGGCTGGTCCAGAGGAGGAGGCAGCTGGTGCAGAGGAGAGTTGTCTGGCTGGTCCAGAGGAGGAGGCAGCTGGTGCAGAGGAGAGTTGTCTGGCTGGTCCAGAGGAGGAGGGCAGCTGGTGCAGAGGAGAGTTGTCTGGCTGGTGCGGTGGGGCTGCAGCCTTTTTATCATCTCCTCTGGACCAGCCAGACAACTCTCCTCTGCACCAGCTGCCTCCTCCTCTGGACCAGCCAGACAACTCTCCTCTGCACCAGCTGCCTCCTCCTCTGGACCAGCCAGACAACTCTCCTCTGCACCAGCTGCCTCCTCCTCTGGACCAGCCAGACAACTCTCCTCTGCACCAGCTGCCTCCTCCTCTGCACCAGCTGCCTCCTCCTCTGGACCAGCCAGACAACTCTCCTCTGCACCAGCTGCCTCCTCCTCTGGACCAGCCAGACAACTCTCCTCTGCACCAGCTGCCTCCTCCTCTGGACCAGCCAGACAACTCTCCTCTGCACCAGCTGCCTCCTCCTCTGGACCAGCCAGACAACTCTCCTCTGCACCAGCTGCTTCCTCCTCTGGACCAGCCAGACAACTCTCCTCTGCACCAGCTGCTTCCTCCTCTGGACCATGCGGTTTTTTCCCTCTATTTAATTGTTCAGACAAAGTAGCCTCCTCATTAAACCCTCCGCCCAACATGTTAAAAAGGACATTCAAAATTCTGTCCACATTTGTTTGTGGACACTCAATGTTTAAGAAAAAGGTTTCCCTATCAACTTGGTGCTAGTGCACAGCGCAGTTTTATCAACTGCAAATGATTAATGATAATTAAATCTACCAGCGGTAGTGATGGTTCTGAACGACAGGTTATTTTCTGCGATAAAGCCACAGATAGTTTTAGGTCACAGACACAGTCCACCAGAGCAAGCCTAGTCTCAGTTGTCGCTGAATCTGATGCACCAGGTAAAGAAGTGTGGGAAAGTGCACGGACAGCTGCCAAGTGCGCAGTTTTGAGCTGGTGGTGAATCCAAAGCTGTTTGATTTGTTTTCTCATTACTCCCATATAAAAAAATAATAATAGCGAAGTACGAACAAGCACCGGACACCTTCATCTTTTTGCACCAGGAAGCAACAGAATCCCATCGTCTCCACCTCATCCAGCCATGCCCACCTCCATTTATTTTTCACTGTTATCAACAGCAACTTATACTGCTCCTTCTTCCATAAACAATCAGAATCAGAATCAGAATCAGAATCAGAATCATTTTTATTGCCAACGTAAGTAACGGGAGGTCACAGACTTGGAAATTGCTTTGGCTCAGTGCAACAGTCAAAAAGAGATAATAAAAATAAGAATAAAAAACACTTCTAAAGAATAAATTTAAATTTAAAATAGAGTTACAGTTACTATTTACAATATACAAGTGCACATGGTGCACACAATGTAAGGTGACAGCAGTACAGTGAAGTAAAGTGACGTATGATGGGCAGTAAAGTGACTTTATAAAGGGCGGGGGGACAGGTTAAGAAGTGTTCAAGAGTCCAACAGCAGAGGGGAAGAAACTGTTCTTGTGGCGGGAGGTTCTAGTCCTGATGGACCGCAGCCTCCTGCCTGAGGGGAGTGGTTGGAATAGTCCATGTGCAGGGTGAGAGGGGTCGGCTGTGATACGACCAGCCCGGCCTCGAGCTCGGGCGACGTACAGGTCCTGCAGCGATGGAAGGCTGCGGCCGATCACTTCCTCTGCAGAGCGCACAATGCGCTGTAGTCTCTGTTTGTCCCTGACTGTGGCTCCAGCGAACCACACGGTGATGGAGGAGGTGAGGATGGACTCGATGATGGCCGTGTAGAACTGCACCAACATCTGTGCAGGCAGCTTGGCTTTCCTGAGCTGCCGCAGGAAGTACATCCTCTGCTGGGCCTTCTTGATGAGGGAGCTGATGGTCGGCTCCCACTTGAGGTCCTGGGTGATGGTGGTGCCCAGGAAACGGAAGGACTCCACAGAGGTGATGGGGGAGTCCATCACGGAGGGTGGGGGCGGGGGGACAGTGCTCTTCCTGAAGTCCACAATCATCTCCACTGTCTTCTGGGCGTTCAGCTCCAGGTTGTTACCACTGCACCAGGACACCAGCCGGTCCACCTCCCTCCTGTAGGCGGACTCATCGTTGTTGGAGATGAGTCCAATGAGGGTGGTGTCGTCCGCGAACTTGATCAGCTTCACGGAGTCGTGGCTGGAGGTGCAGTGGTTGGTGTACAGGGAGAAGAGCAGGGGAGAAAGAACACAGCCCTGTGGGGCTCCTGTATTTATAATCCGAGAGTCCGAGACATTCTTCCCCAGACGCACTCGCTGCTTCCTGTCCGTCAGGAAGTCAGTGATCCACCTGCAGGTGGAATCGGGCACGTTGAGCTGGGAGAGCTTGTCCTGGAGCAGGGATGGCAGGATTGTGTTGAAGGCAGAGCTGAAGTCCACGAACAGGACCCTGGCGTAGGTCCCCGGGGAGTCCAGGTGCTGTAGGATGTGGTGGAGGGCCAGGTTAATGGCGTCGTCTACAGATCTGTTGGCTCTGTAGGCGAACTGCAGGGGGTCCAGGAGGGGGGAGGTGAGGGACTTGAGATGGGAGAGAACCAGGCGTTCAAATGACTTCATGACGACAGACGTAAGTGCTACAGGTCTGTAGTCATTGAGTCCTGTGATCCTGGGCTTCTTCGGGACGGGGACAATGATGGAGGATTTGAAGCAGGCCGGGACATGGCAGGACTGCAGAGAGGTGTTGAAAATGTCCGTGAACACAGGAGTAAGCTCACTGGCGCAGTGTCTCAGAGTGGCCGGAGACACGTGGTCCGGGCCAGGAGCTTTGCGGGGGTGCAGCCTCAGGAAGAGTTGTTTAATCTCTTTAGCGGCTATTGTTAGGCTGGGGGCAGGGCTGATGGGTGGGTCGTTAGAGTAGTGGGGGGTGGGGGAGGGAGAGGTGTCAGGGGCAGCATCAAAGCGACTGAAAAATAAGTTCAGATCGTCAGCTAGCTTGTGGTCATCAGCACAGGGGGGGGCTTTGGGTTTGTAGTTGGTGATCTCCCGTAGGCCCCTCCAGACAGAAGCAGTATCGTTGTTACCAAACTGCTCCTGTAGTCGTTCTCTGTGCCGGGACTTGGCTGCTTTCAGTTCTTTCCTGAACTGATATTTAGCTGCTTTGTAGCCGCTGCGGTCCCCCTCCCTGAAAGCAGACTCCTTTGCTTTCCTGAGCTGCCGGAGTTTAGCAGTGAACCAGGGTTTGTCGTTGTTATAGATGACCCTGGTCCTTGTTGGAATGATGCTATCCTCACAGAAGTGGATGTATGACGTCACAGTGTCCGTATATTCATCCAAGCTGTCTGTGGCAGCTCTGAAAAGGTCCCAGTCTGTAGATTCCATGCATGCGCGTAGCTCTTCCACAGCTTCATCAGACCACACTTTGGAGCTCCTCACTGCAGGTTTCGAGAGCTTTAGTCTCTGTCTGTAAGCAGGAACCAGATGTATCATGGAGTGATCTGAGAAGCCGAGGGCTGGCTTGGGAACAGCGCGAAAAGCTCCGCGCACGGTGGTGTAACAGTGATCCAGAGTGTTCTCCTCTCTGGTCGGGCATTTGATAAACTGTCTGTATTTGGGTAATTCCTGGCTCAAGTTTCCCTTATTAAAATCCCCCAGGATAATAATCAGAGAGTCCGGGTATAAGCGTTCCATACACAGTACTTGCTCTGCGAGTGCGCGCTGAGCCTCGCGCGCGTCCGCGCATGGCGGTATGTAAACAGAGGCAAGAATGAATGAAACAATTTCCCGCGGGGAGTAATATGGTTTACAATGAATGAAAAGATATTCCAGAGCAGGAGAGCAACGATCCATGATTGTGATTGTGCGTGCATGCTAGGCTAGCTTTGATGAATGAATATAAGACCTGCTAACACACACCTTTCTTCAGCGAGTTTCTTCCGTTCGCTCTCGTTGATTGGCTCTTTTTATCACGCAGTTTTGCATGCGGATCGCCACCAAGATATTATCAAAAGCTCACAAAGACATGCTTGTCCCCATTCCCAGTCACAGCAAAGTACATATTGTACATTCCGTTAAATAAAAAAGCATTGCGTTTGGTAAACGTTAATTATGTCCTACCTTTCCTCTGATAACGCGCCCAGTTTACCGGTCCGCGGGCTGCTGGCTGTTATTGCTCCGTTCGGGATTACATTTTCCTTGTCCTCTTCTCCTTTTCAAAAGCTCCGTGCACTTTTCAGAAACTTTCACCTCCGTGTTACCATCGCTAACTTGGCTACGTCCCATTGCCTTGAATCATTTACGGAGCGCTCATGTAGCTAGCCACGGCACGTTCAAGGCCCACTCGTGATTATATTACTTTTTATTTCTATATACATATAAATACAATTATATTCAAATTATTAATATATATCTAGATATATACAACAGATTCACACGTATTACTATATATTTTGTTATAATTAACCATTTAATTGTGTGTATTATATTATTATTATATATTTTGTTTTTTTTTCAGACCAATTTCATTTGACGGAAATCCGTCACTTAGACGGAACTCTTTAATCCCTGCGCTATACACATGAAATCCTTTCATACAATTGGTAGAACACACTTGAACCTTTTTCAAATGACAGCAATCATTATTTATTTATATATATATTAAAAAAAAAAAAAAAAGTGATTTTTTTTTTTTTTTTTCCTCACGCCGGATTTCCGGCACGGTGCCGGAAAACTTTAAGCCCTGATAATACCAGCAAAGGAACAGGTCACCTACCCTACAGGGCATTCATTGATTACAAGATTATAGAGTGACAGGAAAGGGGGCTTAATCAAATCTACGCATCAATAGCCAGCAAATCTGGAGATAGGGAAAACAGCAGCCCAATTATTGTTAAAGGAAATGACAAGTTTTCAAAATGTGAAGATGGACAGGCTTTTTTTTATACCAGCACCAAATAGACCCACCCTCACAGGCCCCCTCACCATTGGTCTAATTATTGTCCTGCAGCAAATACTGGGGATGCTTATTCCAAAAAGAGGAATAGTTTGAAATGTATTCATTTTTAACAAGACTTAACACAGAGGATACGTTTGATGTTGCATATATCACCTTTGACATGGCAATAATATAGGCAGGATTACTGGACCATGTACCATAGTAAAGGATATTGAACTAAGTAATAAAACTGAAATAAAGTAAGAGGTTTCTTACTTGTGCCACTTTCTCATACTCCCCACTAGAAGAAGCCAGAAGCAGGATGTGTTGAAACCTCTGAGCCCCTCCTCCTGACACTGCAGTCTCCTCAAAGCCTTCGCCAATACGTTTTCTAAACATACAAGATTTCACCATGAATAAGGCATAATTGCATGTTGTTAATAATTTCATTATGTAAAATTTATACAATACAAAAATCAACACAATAAACTCTGAGGTGGTAAACATTAGCTCATGTTAGCATGCTTACAAAACTGTCAGCCTCCATGTCAGGACTTGTATGTCTTGACAATAAACGTGCATCCTAAAGCTACTAAAAACTCCATAAACTCTGTGATAACAGCCCAACTCTACATAGATAGACAAAGACATTGAGACCTTACATTGGCAGCATGGCTAGACAGGCTGCAGTATTCAAAGAACTTGAGAAAGGTAGCTGCATATAGTCCGGCAATTACAGTAAGTACTAAAATCAACTTTAAAAAAAGGATTGATAACGTCTTTTTAACGTTGTTTGAAGATCTGTTGAAGTACCGTTTTACACGTGGAAGCTGAAAGGTCTCCTGCCACAGATGAAATAAGCCCTTGTTCTGGTCCTTCTGTCCCACTGAAACGCTCTGGACTGTCCTGGAGTCCAGCTGTTTGTGTCCGCGACCAAAGAGGAACTAGACAGGATGTACAGATACAATTAAGTACAAGGGTGAATTGGGCTTGTGTGAATTTTACAAAGCTATAACACTACTCACCTGTAGAGTATTTATACATGATCGGATGTCATTGTCGGTCTTCTCGCACAGAGCCATCAGCGTACCGGTGTCTGCTTTCATACCCTGCCGCACTGCAATCTGTGAAACAAAAAGCAATCTGTGAAACAATGCTACAACAACATACTTAACCCATATTTAAGACATACTCAGTAATAACTACGGTTTTTGAAGGGCGATAACACACTACTTCTTCGTTCTTTGAATCCTGCCGTCTATATAGCGATGGTCAGTGTATTGTTATTGTGGTAGAGTTGGGCAGAGAAGAGTTTATGGACATAATATATATATATATATATATATATATATATATATAAAATGGTAACTGCGTCCTGCTGCACCCAGTGGCTACTCCACCTCTGCTGCCGTGACCCAGCCTGCTCCACCCAGCGGCTTCTCCACCTCTACTGCTGTGACCCGTCCTGCTCCATCCAGAGGCAACTCCACCTCTGCTGCTGTGACCCGTCCTGCTCCATCCAGAGGCAACTCCACCTCTGCTGCTGTGACCCGACCTGCTCCACCCAGTGGCTATTCCACCTTCGCTACAATGACCCGTCCTGCTCCACCCAGAGGCTACTCTTAAGGGGATCAATGAAGTATCTATCTATCCATCTGACATGGAAGTTAACAGTTATGGTAACATATGAGTTTGCCTCCACAGAATTCATGGTGTTTTTTACAAAGCTTTGTCCATCACGAGTCAACATTGCATTAACACCTCATCAAATAATGTTGTAGTTAAAGTTGTCATCTATCAGAAATTTTTTAATCGTTCAGCTGTTCTTTAAATGTTACATTACAACATGAAAACATGTCGAGCCTATATATGGACAAAAATTACTTTTCTTCCAAATGAAGCAGGTGTGGTTTGTATACAAAAACATGTTGGTAATAAAAGATACAAGTCTATTTTCCCCAAACTATTTATACATAAACTACAGTTAGACAAAAATACCCAGATTATCTGAACCTTTGTCGTTCACCCACCTCTGCTAATCTTTGAGCCAGTCGCGAAGGCTGCGTCTGAGGGAAATTTAGTAGGAACGCCAGTTGCCTGAGCGGTCTGAGAGCTGGAACATAGCTGAAACAAAAAAAACAAAATAGAATAACCAGGAACCATATTCTGTCAATATAATGTTTTGTTGATACTCAAACATTTTAAATTTTAAAATATGATCATGTTTTAATTTCTTACAGGTCGTTACAGATGCAGATGATGGGTCTCAACAGTATGGACTCTTTCTTTTTCTTCTTCTTTGCAGTCTCTCCTTCACCACCATGTCCATCTTTCCTGTTTATTGTAGTTAACAAGATATTGATGGCAGCCTGCACATAACACATGTATGCTACAGTTATCATAGCAGGAATCATATTCATTCATTATTATTTATAGAACAAATTATAGGACATTCAAACAGAAATATCTGAAATTGGATTTACATATTATGTTCAAATTCCTGCACATTTCTGGTAAGTTTGACATTTTCCCTAAAATTTTAACTTCAACCGCCATATTTAGAAGTAGATTTATGACATGACAGAGCACTACAACATTACAGTGAGAATTCAGTTATAAAATGACAAAAATAAATATTAGATACCGCATACGTTTTTATATCACCCACCCCCAGTCATTTTTCTTACAATTAAAAAATTTAGTGATGTAAACTTACAGCTGGTGCCCCATCAATCTCATCAATAATGAGACAGTTGGGCCTCTCGTTGGCTCCTAACACAGACTTCATCTGAGTGGCCGTGTCTATGCGCTTCTGGAAAACCTCTGCGCTGCGGTCATCACTGAAGAAATGAAATACAGGGGAACAATGTTTAAGATTTGGATTATTTAATTTAACTTGTAATGATCTTGTTAAAATGACCTGGCATTGATTTCCACCACGTTGTACCCAGCATGCTTTGCAATGACGTGTGCAAGTGTTGTTTTTCCTAAACCAGGAGGCCCTGATAATAATGCCACCTAGAAAGACAACCAAACTCATGTTAAACTCAATGAAAGTAATGTAATGTCACAAATATAATATATATGATTCTACTTTATATTTGGGTCGTTTATACTGGTCCAATTCAGCCTCCAGAAGCTCCTCTGTTATTTCCACTTTGGATTTGAAGCGGTTTGCATTCTGGTTGTTTTGGTTGGGTTTAAACGAGGGCTGGTTGGAAGTCTGTTGAGTGCGGACTGTGCGGACTTTTCTCTCTCTTCCGAATACAACAGTGTCCCATGATTTGAGCCATTTGAGCAGGCAGCGATTTGTGAACTGCAACAAAGCCAACGAACTAATGTTAGCAAGATATTGCAGAGATCATTCACAAGTCTATTTGTTGTCTTACATCGTCGCTGAGGAGTTCGGTGTAGTGTCGTGGAGAGAATCGGTCTACCCAGAGACGAGAAGCCACCTCTTCAGAATTCTCAGGCTCTTGATTTTCCTTGTCTTCTTGTTCCAAGAACATGTCATTGACGCTGTTCACATTACTGAATTTCAAAATCAGAACAATCACATTTTAAGTGCATATGACACGTAAGAGAGGCAACATTTAAACTTTGCTTCTAAAACACTAAGATTTGAGTTTTATTTAAGTTTATAATTGCTGCTAGATGATAAAGACAAATGCAACATGGGTATTAAAGGTGCTTTAACACCAGAAATGTCCCCACTGAGGATAAATAACCTATTATATCTTCTTATTTACCATAACTATCAGTAGCCATTATATTTGTGTTTCCCTAAAAAAGGAATGCTTGAAACTTTCCTACATTGTTTTTTGGGGAGATAGTTGAAAATTACAGTAAAGAGTCTAATTATAATAATTGAATACTCCTGAATTGCATGTCTTTTTTACAGCCACAAATGCCTGGGACAAACATCAAACTGACAGATAAGGCTTTCTCCACTAGCAACATCGCTAACCACCTCCACTTGATATTACACATTCAAGGTTGGGGTAAACTCCCACTGATGTCCGCTGTCGTTGTGTCCTTGGGCAAGACACTTAACCCCACTTAGCCTGAAGCCCCCGCTGAAAGATCACAGCTCCTGTGGACTCACCACCTGCAGGAGGATCAGTGAGAGGCTGGTGCTCTGTGTACTGGGTGCAGCTCTGACTGCCACCCCCCGACCCAGAAATGTATTAAGGGGAAGAAAATGGATGGATGGAGGTTGAGGTAAAGTGCCTTGCTTAAGGACACATTGGCAGTCGTTCCATTGAAGAATTAGTGAGTGCCTCGAGTGTAAAACATTTACCTGACCAGCAGCTCTGAAATACGCTGAGATTCCTCCACAATATGTTGATGGCGCTGAACATTTAAAGAAATATATTTTCAGATAGAGGTGAAAACAATGATGAATAGATTTAAACAATAAAGAATAAGATTTCCACCTTTTCTGCTTCCAGTTCTCTGAGCTCACGGATAGGCACTGCCAGCAGTCCCAGACCCCCAAAGACATCAGGCACCATTCTGGACTCTTCTACCTGAAAGATACACCATATACATCCCTTTTCCTCTGCTTTATCTGGGACAGACTTCCCATGTCCCCATTTAATGATTTCCTAATTAATATCCTCAAACCTTTTCTTCCACATCCTCTTTTTGCCTGAGGTAGACTCTGGTTCCGACAGCGTCTGTGACAGTGACGTACTCCCCCTCTAAAGGCGGCCTCTTCAGGACATTGGATGAAGCCTGAGTCTGAACTACAGCAGGACGAATGGGGGTCTCTGGGATGGGCACAAATCCACTGATGTCCAGCGATGATGCTACAGGTCTAAAATGCAACAAAAAGAGATGGTTGAATTATTTCTTGCATTACATGAAGAAATACTTTCAGGATCACTAGCAGTACCTGGACCTCGAGGAGTGGGTGGAGGTGTATTCTTCTGGAGATGATGGAGGTGTGATGTCATTCGTCTGAATCGTATCAAACAGTTTCTTGACTACTGTATCCTGCTTTAGGCGCTTTGCTTTTGGAGCTAGAATTACAAAATACTTTAAGAAGAAGTTGGTGATGATGACACATATCAGTTGAGATTTTTTTCAATAATATTGATACACCACAGCCATTTGGTTACTCATACATTGTGATAAAACAAGGATGAATTACAAAACTAAGCCCAATACTAATATACTTTTATGTAGCCAACCTTTCACTATTATTAATCAACTCCTTTGCTATTTGCAGCAATTCTGTTGGTCATTATTTAGAATAAATAACGTTTTCTCAATATAGAAGTGTCCATTATTTATCATTAATAATGAGTTATTAACAAGCACTACAAGGCTTATACACTTACTTGTTGGCTCCTCATCGAGCAGGTGAGCAACATCTGAAATGTCACTTCCAAGGCCTTGCTTTGGCTTTTGTTTACCTTGGATTGAAGTCTCGTCTGATTTGAATCATGTAGTAAGACAAAAAGGAAACGATATATTCATTTGATTTTGATATAAAAGTGCCACTTTATTAGAAACCAACGAGTTTGTTTACTCCTCACCCTCATCCATCTGCGCCATTGCGTCCAGTTCATCCGCAAACTGCGCCTCAAAGTCATCTTCAATCCCGAACATCTCGTCATATTCATCCATATTACCTACAACAAGTCGATTACGCAGACACTTGAGGAGAATAAAATTAAAACCCAGCAAAAATCATTAGTTTCTGAGCCCAGACCGTGGCTTTTCCTTTCAGCTGAGAGTTCCCGGTATTTTTTTGTTGTGGAACTACTATTTCCGGGTTACACACGTGTCGCCTCTGTGATTGGGTATTGTCAATAGCAATGCGCGCGACATAAACTTTTTTCTCTCGTGTTCTATCAATACAGTCTATGGTTCTGTCTATGGTTCTATCTATCCGATGATTATATCCAAAATAGTTTGTTAAATTCCCAAAAAAAACGACTTAACATTTTCATTGCAATATATTGAAACATGTTATGTAATGAAGATAAGTCACCAGTGGTTGGCGCCAAATGTAAGTCAATTAATTTTAATTTCTAACCCGCTAATATAATACACCCATGGTGCTGCTGACCATAGTGCTTACCATAGACTGAAATAAATTAACTGCATACCAATTGCTGACAAAAACCATGGATTCATAGCTTCGACATAAGATACACCCTGTCTGTGAAGTGTGAGCTATTAGTATTAGATAGCAATATGGCCTACGTGCAGGACTGTACAAGGACTCTACAAGGACTCCATGTTATGACTATGATTTGACTGTCTCTTTGTGACACGTATGTCTTTCGATGTGTGACGTGACAATGACTATATAAACTGTGTACTGCCTTTATTCTGTCTGAGAGAAAGAAACAGAGTAAACCAGTGGAACTTGAGAGAAACTTAAATAAACTTCCGGAGTTTGGCACACCACGATCCGTCTCTGTCTGCTTAATCCTGATCTAGATAAATGTGTACAAAATTAAAAAGCATTCATAATAAAACATTTTGAATATACAATGTAAAAAATAAATCGTGCAAAATGTCTTCTTTCAAAAGCAAAAGCAGGTTATTTGTTTTCAAGGCAGGTGATCTGAGGTCAGGGAGTCTGGAGGGTTCTCATGGAAACAACCGGGTTTGATGGCAGTCTCCATTGTGGAGCATGCTATGGACAGTTCCATATAAATAATGTCAACAAAAGTCACAATCCAATAATATTCGAACACATTTTGTTTACAATGTTGTAGCATTACTAGTCTACTGTTCCATTTGTGAAAGAAAGGGTGACAGTGTGTGTGTTGACAGATTGGAGCGTCTCTGTTTGCGAGCTCTGAGGGGTCAGGTCTGTTCATCGGTCTGGCGGGGACGGGGGCTGCAGGAGGAATCGCGGTTGCAGGTTTTGAATGGAACGTAAGTACGTTTCACATGTGCTCTCCTCTGAACCCAAGGAATAAAACATTGCTAGTTTGTTAATCCGTCAGAGAGCGCTGTATGCAAAATGGAGCAAATATGGATATGTTTATGTGCGACAAGTGAGATACATCCATTTCTATCAGATTTCTGTTCATCGCTTTTAATCACAAGCACAAGTTTGAATTTGGCAAATTTCCATCAGGATAGTAATAGTCGACTCAATTAACAACCTTTAAAATGTGTTGTCCTCCAGTGTTTTTATCTTGGACTGTTTGAAAAGTCAAAAATTATGTGTATATATTATTTCAGCTGTTTGGATACACTTTTCAAAATATTGTTGTCATTACTCAGACATAGACTTTCTGAAACCAGCAGATGGCACCAGTACAGGGTTATTCTTACCTGATGTCTCTCCCACAGGCCACGTATGTGCTGCTGGCTCTGGCCTGGGTCTTTGTCCCTGTCTACATCTCCTCAGGGGTTGGTCTCATACACATTACTCACTCACATGACAAATTGGAGCAGGTTCAGCAGGTACTTGAGTTAAGGGAATGCCAAACACATTCCCTTAACTCTACCCTCCACCTAAAGAATTATCCAAAGGCGTGTTTCCCTTTGTCACGTTCTGCTTCTTGTAAACATTACATAAAACGTTTAGAATATATCTTGAAATCAGTGTGAGGTACTTCACTTTGTTAATTAAGTAAACATAAATGGTCAGCTAAAATACAAATAAGGACAAACCTGACATTTAAAGCTAGGCCTAGTCAGAGAACTACTGCTTCAATTATGTGACAGCTTTATAAAATGCCAAATATATCTATTATATGAAATACAATTGCAAAAGAATATTAGCATTTATAATTGTATTACATAATTACTATTTATATTAAGTAGAACATATTAGAAGAAAAGCTGTTGGAGTCTGAGAAATACTTAAGATTGGAATGGAGGTTTAACTTTCATCAGGAGTGGACAATTTCCCTAAACATTAAGCCTTTACAATCTTATTAATGTGTTAGAATCGCCCAGTCAAAGTCCAGACCTAAATTCAATTGAGAATCTGTGACGACGTCTAAAAACTGCTGTTTACAAGTTTGACAGTGCATGAGCTCCTTTGTAAGTCATTTCAGGCACTAGATGTGACAGACAGAAGACATGCCTCAAAACAAAGACATTATTTTTCTATAAATTCACATATATTCTTAATAAAACTTTGTGTATGTGATTAGTATCTGTGTGGAAAAGTAAACTTTGTCGATAGCACTGTGCTCTCAAAGTGCATTATATAAGCTAGGCAAGTATATTTGTCGAGCACAATTCATACACAGGGAAGCTTGAGCTGAGCAGAACCAAAGGCTCTCTAATCTTTCATTGCACCGGTGTTTAAAATGCATGGACAAATAATCACATTCACAAAGTATTTTTTAATCTCTGGTATTAATAACATATACTACTCAAGTTGAATTAAAAGCATTGTTTTATGTTGCTAAAGAATTGCTCTAATTGCCCCTTTTTGAACAATTTTATGTTTTTCAGATTGTCACGATGCCAGAGTATCTGGGTCGCCGGTTTGGAGGAGAGAGGATCCGCACCTACCTGGCAGTTCTCTCCCTGCTGCTGTCTGTTTTCACCAAAATATCAGTACGAAATGAACCAGTATCTTGCCTTTTGAATGTTTTAAATGATGTAGCAAGTAAATGTTTCTATTCTTTTAGACTGACCTGTATTCTGGAGCTCTCTTTGTTCAAGTGTGTTTGGGCTGGAACCTCTATCTATCCACTATTCTCATGCTGGTCGTCACTGCCCTATACACTATTGCAGGTAAAAGAATAAGATTTATATTTTAAATGGTTTAAAACTATGTCCATGTATGTGTCAATGATTGATGAATAAAAGGACAGGGAAAACAAATGAGATTATTGACTTTAAAGTATAAGTAGTACTGTAGGCAGAGCTGTTAAAGCACTGGGAATACTTCTAAATCTATTTTTGTTTTAATCCAGGAGTTTCAAGGGTATGTTTCGATTTGCTCTCATGGCATTTAATAAACTATAACAAATAACCTCTCAGTAAAAAGTATAAATAGCCTTACATAGGCAAAGTGTGATGTTTAAACTGGCTACATTCCACATATGTACCACTGTTTTAACACAATGCATTACCACAGACATGACATTTTTGTGACTGATCAGTGAAGGTTTTATAGAATTTCTTTGTGCACACAGTAGTAATGCACTTTGTACCAATATTCGTTACAATAACACACCCTCGCTATACCACTATATTTAGTAATGACTATTATCAAACTAGACATTACAATTTGTAACAATAGAATAATTTGAGGCGCCAACTGTTACTCAGTTGGTGATGTCAATAGGAAAACATTTGGCATCCGTACATTCTGTTGTTTTTGTTTTGGAATACGAAATCATTCAAGTCTAAAAAATTATCTCATGCAATATCACAAAGGCATGTGTTGCAAATGAAGTGTATTAATCTATCTGTACTGAGACAGCGTGCAATAAAGTATGTTGTAGGACATTTATTTTGCTAATCTGACAGTGTTAGCGTTCTCTCTTTTTGACTGAAATGGGAAATTAACCACATATTTCCACTTTTATAGGTGGTCTTGCTGCTGTCATCTACACAGACACTTTACAGACGTTCGTCATGATCATAGGAGCCATTATTTTGACAATTACTGGTGCGTATCTTGTCTTTTATCGCCACATAACAGTCTTGCATAAACATAAAAGTGAGTAATATTGACAAAAATAGATATTTATAGTATATTTCATGATATGCAAGCAATATCTTTTGTAAGTCATCAACTGTGTTATACACCATGGCTGTATTATGTCTTGAATTAGAATAACATTTATTGTTATAAGTCTACAAATTGCTCTCCACACAATACAATAAATCACCTCTTTCTCCTTTCATCTGCAGCTTTTAATAAAATTGGGGGCTATGGAAACCTGGCACAGGCATACAGCATTGCCATCCCAAAAAAGATTATTCCAAACAGCACGTGTCACCTCCCCCGTGCAGACGCCATGCACCTTTTCAGGGACGCCGTCACAGGAGACCTGCCCTGGCCCGGGATGACTCTGGGACTCAGCATTCTGGCCACATGGTACTGGTGCACTGACCAGGTGGGTGCGTGACCGGCATTATACAACTGTTTTACACAAACAAAATAAATGCAAAACGACACTTTACATAAGTTCAATTAGGTACAGTAATTGCCTGACTATAACCCGCTACTTTTTTCCAATTCTTTGAAACCTGCGGCCAGTAATACAATGTATGTATTATTATTGCTGCTTTGGGCTGATGTCAGAGCAGTTTATTGACTCATTAGGACTAAACTGAATAAATGTTAGTCGCGATAGGATGCTCGTTTGTGTTAAAAATATATTGGTAAATGAGTCATGGAAAATGTAAACTGTAAATGTCTAAATAAACAAACTAATGATGATTATGGAGAGGTATAAGAACAGCAAAAAGCAAAACAACCAACCATTAGCAACAAAAAAAGTGTAGCGCATACACTCAAGTGTTGTTACAATGCTGCTTTATAGTCAATGTATTGTGGAGAAAACTGAGATTCAGATTCCTCCAAGTTGAGAACCGTGGAGTTTGTAAATATCAGAACATAACTTATGAGACACAGTAGGTAACTCAATATTTTGCTACATATTTTTTTGTTTTTTTGTAATTTAGGCCCTCAGCTCTGTCACATTGCCTTTATATGTTGGTTCAGTTATTATGTCATCTGCTGTTCCAAATGATTTGATTATTATTCTTCAGCATTGTGTGGAACTTGTGACTAGTTTTATTTCATCAAAGCAGAAACAAAATGTCCACAGAAGTCAAAAACAAACTCCTGCTTTGGGCTGTTTAACGTTGAATCACAAAGTCAACAATAGCGTGTTCTCTTTATTTACATTTCACGTTAAACAACTTCGCAAATACTGTACATATATTGCAAGTGTGTACACTTCTTAATTGCATTTTTTTTCCGAATTTGTACACAATATAATATTACAATGAATAACCCCTTATAAACATCCCCAAAAACAAATTAGAACACTGTCAGCAGAGGCTCATATCTTGATATTAAAAAAATTATAGAAAACATTCAGGGTAAACTTTTACAAATAGATAAATGCAAAGTGCCTAAAATAAAGTCACAAAACAGTTGCTAAAACGTGTGTAAACATTCTAATGGTTGTGGTCCGTTTAGTAGTAAGTGGCTGGATGGACTCATTTTTAAGTTTTGGAAGATGCGAGACAGCTGAAGACCAGCCTTGTCTATTTATAGTGCAGTCTATGGGGGAAAAACGCTCAGTAACTTTTGTAATCCACTAAGTTTGAATAACGGAGGAGTGGAACATCTGATCAAAAGTTTAGGACCACTTGAAAAAAACACATTACTGCATAACTGCATGCAATAATTAATAACTAATAATAATTAATAACTGCTGTTTAGAATCAACCCTGATGGTTTCCAACGTTTCTGTGGACAGCCAGAGATATTTTCTGCACAGCACAGTGTAGGAGGCATAATGAACTGGGGTTCTTTTTCCTTCAGTGGAACAATAGAGCTTCAGGAGGTGCAGATGTTTCAGAAAGAATCCTGACTCGTCGTCTGTCTGGTAACGACTGGGTTTTCAGATTTACAGTTCCAGATAGTAGATGTCCTCCGTGAATGCTCTCATGAAGCGTAGTGCAACAAATATTTTAAAGTGAATCTATCTAACAGTGTTAGACACATATCATAGACATTTTTCGGAAGTGTGGTCCTTTACTTTTGATCATCCGTTTGATTTTGTTGTTTTCAATAAATTCCTTGCTCAGATTTAGTTTTTCTATTGTTGCATGTGGAAGCTATACTTAGTGGTCCTAAACTTTTGATTGAGACGGTACATCCAATAATCATGTAATCTCAAAACAACAACAAAACAGTTTTGACAAGTGTATTAAAATTAAGTCATTGTTAAGTAACAAATTGAAAACCCCTGTAAACTACAAACAATCAACATGTTTTGTTCTTGTCAGTTCAGATTACCAGAAGTAGACTCTAAATAGTCTCATGTTTAATTGGCCAAATGTGCCATCTCTTCTTAAGCAGCTATCTATTGGCCTTGTTCATTTGAGGCACTTTTTTCTGTGATGCTCCGGCCCGTGCCTTTAAGTGTTTTAAGTTGCTGAGTTTGGAGAAGGAGACCCCCAAAAGTCCTGAGGGGTTTGCAGGGGGCTGCTCCGTGGACTGCTGCCCCTTCCTGTATCCTGGGCTGTGGCGTCGCGGTGATCGTCCAGAGCGCGCTTGAGAGTCGGTGTGCGATGAAACTGGTTGTGACATCTGAGTTTGCCAGTATCTGTGTCCACCAATCACAGGCGCCGCTGCTCTGGACGGACGGTGGAAGCTCCCGGGCTTCGCTATGATGACTTTAGCCCGACCCGGGGATCTAGAGGAGCTGAATAACTGGGCACAAAAACAACAAAAGAATGTTTGTGACTTTCGAATGCAGTGTATCATATTGAAAACAACTGAAGATATTTTGTTGAATGAGTAAGAAAGACTCACCCCATTGGCATTGTAAAGTCTGTATAATGTTATTAATGGAGGAATAACATAAAATAGGCTACAGTAATAATTAATTATTAAATAATCTTAAAAGTGATTAATTGTACACATTAATGGCAAATCCCTGTTTTTACTACTACAGATTTTACCCACAGTTAATTTTGATCAGTTATTTTGGCATGAATCGGTGAGCCTGCTTGTCTGTTGTTATGATAAGCGTAATTTAACAGATTAAATCTTCCCAACCCTTGATTCAAAGTCGAGATACCCAACTTTCAAACCGCAACCTTTTTTTACTTCATAAAAGCCTTCATAAAAGCAAAAAGTTTCTTGCTCTCACAACAGTTTGGCTCGATCACTAGTTTTCACATGCCTGCATTTTTGGCCTCTGATACATATTTAGACAAGCTTTCTCTGACGGAAAAGGGAAACAGAGAGGACCACATTCACTCAGGCCAATCAACTCTCAGCCCAAAGCGTCAAATAGTGACTCATAGGGCTCCTTCTCAAAAGTATTCTAAAGATAACATGTTTTGTAATGAGATGGAAGATGGCACAGTGTGATCTGATTTGTTCATCTCAATTTTACAAGACTGTTGGGGCAAACAGGTACCTCAGCTTTAAATCCTACAGTATATGAACAGCATTATTGTGTAACTCTTGTCAATAGTTTGGCCTCATTTTTGATGTCAGCCCGGTTATGAAAAAGTCCTCATACATGTTTTTGTGTCCATAGGTGATTGTCCAGAGGTCCTTGTCTGCTAAAAACATGAGTCACGTGAAAGGAGCCTCTATCCTCGCCGCGTATCTGAAATTCCTGCCCTTTATTTTCATCATCCTGCCGGGCATGATCAGCCGAGCGCTTTATCCAGGTGGGTTCTTCTGAAACAATCCTTGCACACATGCAGCGACTCGTCTGACACCAGAGAAAAAACACACCCAATAGTTTGAGGCTTGTGCTTTTCCGGTTGCACTGACTCAGCAGCACCGAGGTCTGATGTGGCTTCCTCTCAGTCTGGGAACTTCCACTCTTGTTTAACTGTGTTTTCTGTTAGTATCTTAATTAATCACCATTTTAATACGGTTGGTCCTGTTATTTTCAGGTTGTGGGGCCTTGAATAACATTTGTTCACATTTAGATGAGTCTCCGTTTTGCTATTAATAACTTCATAAAGTACATATTTACATGTTACACAATATCTCCAGCTGCGCAAAGGGCCCAGTAAACACACATATCTTTGTTGTACTTAAAGCTGGGGTACTTTTTTTTGTTTCATAAATAACATTGTTGCATAATAATAATAATAATAATAATAATGCATTGGTTTTATATAGTGCTTTTTTGGACACTCAAAGACGCTTTACATGCCATTATTCTTTCACTCCATACATACACGGTGGTGATAAACTACTACTGTAGCCACAGCTGCCCTGGGGCACACTGACAGAAGCGAGGCAACCAGTATGTGCCCCTCCGACCACCACCAACAATTCACACACACACCAGACTCATTCTAGGCAATGGGTGTGAAGTGTCTTGCCAAGGACAGAACGACATCAGACAGTGGGAGTCGATGGTGAAAGTTTTGAGGTGGGCTCGAACCCACAACCTTCTGGCTCAAAGGCCAATGGTCTACCAACTGAGATACTGTTGCCCTAAAAGTTAAATGAGAACAAATCTAACCCCAACATGCGGTCTTCATCTTCATTCATCTTCTATAAAATGCAATATTTTACAGACTTGTAAGAAAGAGCCCTGTAAGGCACTAGTTGTCTCTTTGGGGCGAGATCATTCGCTGTGTGAGGGTTTTTCTTTTTTCAGTCTGAATAAGCAGAGGTAAAGATGTGAAAAAGTAAAGATAGAACTGAATTGTTTTAGAGCCAGGAACTAGTGACGTGGATTTCATTGAATCGTTTTTTTGTGGTTTGAAAGTAGTTTCAAACTTCAGTTTCAGTAATTCAATTTGCAAGTGTCCCGAGTTTGCAATAATAACATTGTACCAGAGTCTGTACAAAACGGCTACAGTCGTTTTCAGGTACTGACAAACAGTAAACATACTTTCCTTTTAATGTAATCAGCTCTTACTTTGTGGGTAAATATTTGCAACAAGTTTGAACAGAACTATTGCCCCACAATATTAATAATGACAGTTACGTACTAATTTAACCGTGCGCCACAAGCCCTTTTGTGGTTTGCTTGTCCGCAGCAGGGTTTCACTATTGTTTTGAAAAGCCAGATTTGTCTTGTAAATCCTATTCAGAATATTTGATTATCAAATGGTAGGTAAAATGGCAGAAACATAATGCTCCCGATAAATTCATGTGTTTTGCCAGAATACTTTTAAGTTCTTTCAACCCCTTGGTTTTTCATAGTCCACGTCAAAACAAACATGGCTCAACAATACTCATAATAATCATACAAAACAACCCCACTAAATAATACAAGAATGGTTGTTGATTTTATACGTTTTTAATTTTACTTGAGGGTTTATTAACTCAATTCATTTCAATGTATTCTTGTATAGCCCTAAATCACAACAGTTATCTCTGGGGACTTCACAAAATTGTCAAATTCCAAAACTCCTAATATAGCATTACAATTTTGGTGAATTTTGTTTTTTTCCCCACCATTTTTTATTACAAACTGCCTATTGCATTGACAATAAATGCAATAGGGATAGTCTATCCCTATTGCATTTAGGATAGACTAATAATTTGAATTAATGTTATCACTGTACTGTAAAAACACAAATCGTACACTCACCTGTCCGATGTGCCTGTGTGGGGACGGAAAGTTCTGCCGGCGCATCTGCTGAGACTGGCGGATGAGGGCCAGACTGTCCTCAGTCTGGGTGGGCTCCCTTAGGTCCAGCATGCTCTGAGAGAAGCGGGCCATCACATTCAGACCGTCCCCCTGCCTTTGCCCCTTGTTTGAGCCCGTCGTCACCCCGTTCACGTGCGGCTGCTTCTGCTGATCCGCTCGGGCGTCGTAGAACTCCTCATCTGAGCCGGTGGAGTTGCTGGACGGGGCTTCGGTAACGCCTCGGTCGCAGATGACCTTGGTGCTGTCCTGACTGCCGTCCTCGTTGCTCACGGAATCGCTCTCCTCTCGCTGCGACTGGAGCCGATGTCGGGTCATTTTAAACTTCGGTTGAGAGTTTTCGTCAGGTACATCGCAGTTGGCTTGGTCCATTTTTACCATCGTCACCTGAGCTTGTGCTGGCTTCTCTGAGGTGGCCGTGTCTATTACTAGCTGCAAAGTGCGCCGCTTGGGGACAGGAGGTGGTGGGCTTGGCGATTCTACTTCCTTGTTAGAAAGGTCCATCGGTTGTTGAGTATCAGCAACCATTTCCTGGGTAGAAACATTGTTGCTCGTTTGTTTGCCATCCTTTTGAGTCTTTTGAGGCTCCACTTTGCTATCTACTTGGTCGTTACTTGCAAGAACTACAGTTTTTACCTCTGTTGGGTTTGGAACTTCAATATTCTCTGCTTTTTCAACATTGTCTGTATTTTCAGCGGGAGTTGAAGCTGGCTTTTCTTCTTTTTTTGCCGGTGCGAATAGCGGTGAACTGAAGCGAATGGCTTGGCTCACCTCAAATCTTTCCGATCTTTGCAAGTGCACCTGATTGGCCCTTTTATCATCTCGAATGTTTATGAAGCCAATCACGTCACTCGGAGGATCTGGCTCGGGCCACGTGGGCAGATAAGGAATTAAATATGCTTTCTCTAGATGCGCTAATCCTGGATGTAAAGGCGGCTCCTCCCAAATCTCCTTAATGCGACCTTTCATTATTTTCATTCCTGCTGGAAGTTGAGAGCTTGAATTCTGTTTGCTGGAGTTTTGGTCAGAAGAGGTGGGGCTTATGTGGCTTCCTGCGGCGACCAGTGCGTACTTGGGGTTGATGAGTTTACGGGCCACAGCCGCAGAGACGGGGACTGGGGCGGCTTGTGGAACAGGGTCAGGGACAGGCTCGTCGGCCATGGGTATTTTGTTGAGAGACACGCCTCGAGACTGAAGGTAGAGGTCACGGAACTGCAGATCAAAGGTCTCCACGGCTTGCCCTGTGATGAGTGTGATGACATTTCGATCTAAGCGAGATGACGACCAGGTGTAGCTGGAAAATGCAGAAACACAAGTTAAAGGCATTGAGATGATCGCTGGGAGATAGTAAAACTGTCTCACATAGTAGACTAAAACTGTGGTAAGCTCAAGAATAACTAGAAAAAGTAACCGTCTCTTTCAATAAAATTTTTTTATGAGGTACCTATGCAAAAATACTGATTCCAAAGTAAAGAATACCATTGTTGTTCATTTTTCTTTTGACACTATTCCTAATGGGGGCTCCATCACTTTTTATATCACTAGGACTTTCTATCAATCTTTCAATAGTATTGTGTACATTGCTAAAATGCGGCTTGTTTAGATTAAAATGATATAATCACTGCATTAAGAAAGTAGTAAGTAATGTTTATTTATATAGAGCATTTTACAGACCAAGGTCACCCAAAGCGTTTTACAATCAGTGTTTTTAAATACTACTAAAATGTTAATTTTATATTTTAATATTATGAGTTCAAGCTGGGGTACCTGACTTTTTTCTCATAAATAATGCATTGTGTTTGTCCCAATGTCACCGTTTTGCAAAAGTAAAAAGTTGTGGACAAATCAATCCGCAACACTGTCTTCATCTTATTAGAATACATGTCATCTTTTTGCATACTTCCAAGAAAGAGCCCTGGGAGTCACTATGAGACTCTTTAGTGAAAAATCTAATAAAGATTCCGATAAAGAGTTTTGAGAGCAAGGAACTAGTTGGAACTAGATAAGCATTGTGAATCACATTAAATCATCAAGATCCTAAAAAGCGACTAATCAGCACCAGACAGAACTATCGAATGACGCACAGTTACTCTTTTTACTGCTGCATTTAGTCAGCAACTTGTGAATTCTGATCGCCTCACACGATTGTTGAATGTGCTTCCTTGTTTTAAGGCGATGAATAGCACAGTCAGCATGGGCACGGTTACAGTGCTGTGTGGAATGCAGTAAAAAGGGAAAGTGCAACGGCCAATGCAGACTTAGGCCAATGCAGACTTAGGCCAATGCAGACTTAGGCCAATGCAGACTTAGGCCAATGCAGACTTAGGCCAATGCAAACTTAGGCCAATGCAGACTTAGGCCAATGCAGACTTAGGCCAATGCAGACTTAGGCCAATGCAGACTTAGGCCAATGCAGACTTAGGCCAATGCAGACTTAGGCCAATGCAGACTTAGGCCAATGCAGACTTAGGCCAATGCAGACTTAGGCCAATGCAGACTTAGGCCAATGCTTTGACTTCAAATGGATCCATCTTAAAAACTGCAAATACAAAAATTAGTCAAATAAAAATGTGCTCCAATTGCTGCTATATTTTCTATGAATACTGATCCTGCTTACAGGCGCATTTACCAAATTAGTGAACACATTCCCCTCATTTTTTTTTGAGGTGAAAACAATTGAATTACTCACCTATATGACCCGCAGATAGCTCTATCTCCATCCACCAGGAGGAACTTCTCTTTCAAAGATCCTTGCATTTTTTGAGCAGAGCGCGTCAGAAACTCCACACCTCCACAACTGCGCACTCGTAAATTCTGAAAGTTTATGGAGAAAAAGAACGTCAGAATAACTGATAATTGGTGTGATGTGGAAATACATGGACAATGCTGTTTCTGTATATAATGCCATTGCATAGTTGGCAGACGAGGTTGGGGCCGAGGCAGAAAAGGTGCTTGCCCTAATGGCACACCCTGTCGTTTGTCTTTTGCCCTGTGATAAGGGTGTGGTTTCAGGTTATAGATTCTGTGCTAAATCTCACAGGAGGCGCGAACCATTGAGGCCATACACACTTTTAAAATCTAGATTTCAGATAACAAAAATGAGAGCTAACAAACGAAGAGGGAAAGGAGAAAGAGAACAACAAACTGCATAAGTAAAAAGAGGAAAACTGCTCCGAGCTCTAATTGTTTTCTGTCACTACCAAACCAGCTTAAAAGGATAACAAAGAGATTCCAGAGTCTCAACTAGCTGGTGCTTGCACCGTTTCCAGTCGTGCCTGCAAAAACCTGTTCAACAAAGGCCGATGAGGACTATACATATACATGCATTGTAGGTATAAGAGAGATGGACAAAAATCCATGTGCCCAAGGATTAACAAACTTTGCTACAGCTATTTGAAAATCTGCTCTACACCAGTGTGAATAGTTCAACTATCTAAACATCAACATGGGTGTGTGTCTGTTTGTGTTTCTACCTTTATGTGCCCACGGTGCATATCAGCTCTGCCACACATGGACAGGAAGCTGGGGACCGAGGCTGTGTCGATGATAATGTACACAGGGATTCTGCGTTTGTAACAAGCATCCAGCAAGTCCCGAAAGATATCCACATCTGTGAAAACGTCCATGACCACAGCAATGACCTACAACACAAAGGTTGTATAGCCCTAAATTAGATAACAGATAAGAGAGTCAAACAGTTCGAACACTGGAAATGCAATTATAACAAACACTTAGGAGCCATTGGTCCATGGTAGTGGGATGACCAATGTTCATGGGCTCCCACTACCATGGACCAACCTTCTCAAAAGGTTCAACGTTTGAAAGATTTCAAGGATATTGGTAGATTGGCGTCTAAAAACTGTAGGTATAGATCAATTAATCTATATTTAAATATTCTGATTTATAACACATTGCACAAATAAGTTGTTAAAAGTACACAACATATTTGTTTCTTATTGTATATAGTGTAGACCATTAGAATGTTTGTAATGGCAATGTATTTTTTTATTTTATTTTTTTATTATAAAAAAGGTACTTTCTGGTCTTACGTGGATAATGTATACAGATAATGTATTGTTAAAAAGTATTGAGCAGTATCTGTGTTTTGATATATGCATTTTTCCAAGTTCTTCACGATAAAGTGCTGTTTTATACATAAGTGATATTTTGAGTGCACCCCAAGCATAAAGACGACAAATAGCCTTAACCCATTTTTGACGCACTGTGTAGAATAAACTTATTCCGAGAGGCAGTACGTAGAAGTTCAGACCTAAGGTTCAGTCCAGTGACAGTCTTCTGAGTCCAGTCTCAGTCTAGTCTCTGCTATACTAATAACTAATACGCCATGAAGTGTCCTTGGTGCACTTTTCTCCTTCACATACATTGCATTTTTAGAGAGAGAAAAGACAACAGGCCAGCACAATTTGCAATAATGCTACGGGTCAGGCTAGTTGTGTTTTTAAAGTTTAGAGCTTCCATGTCGTTAATTTGGGTTTGGCATTTCACACGTCTGTTGACGTGAGCGCGGCTTCATTAAAGTTGAGTGATGTGCATGTGCAGGGCTGGCACATGCAGCAGATGTAGGGCAAGAGGAACACCTGGAATGTGCACAAGTCTGTGAAGTAGGGGTGTGACGATATATCGATTTTTCTATATATCGCGATACTTTCTCCCGCGATTCGATTATTGATATGCATTTGCCAAGTATCAATATCAATTTTGAAAAAAAAATGGCTACATTACGCATCTCCTTTCTATTTATCATGAAATAAAGAGTATTTTTTCTTGTATTTTTGCCATAAATTGGCATATTGTATATTTCTGACCAATATATCAATAATCGTCATATCGTGATGAAATCGTTATCGTGATATTGTTATCGTGATATTATCGTTATCATGAGTTTTGTATCGTGTATCGTATCGTGAGGTATCCTTAGGTTCCCACCCCTACTGTGAAGTGAAGACACATGATGGAGAATTCTGCTGCTGCTTCTTGACCTTTTGGCTTTTGACGGATTTACGACTAACAACAGTTTGTGCACAAGGGTTGTTCATGTATTTTAATGGTTAAATGAATTATGCCCCTTGTGCTTTGGTTTAGCCTTTGTGTATTGTTGATAGGCATTGGACAGTAACAAATAATGGACTGACTGTAACTAGCCGTTGACTAAAATAAATCACTGACCAAAACAGACTCTAAAACACACAAACCTTTGACCAAAAATTGATTTGTTAGAATAAAAATCTAAAAATAGATTTAATTGTATCAATGAAATTAAGTTGTTATCATTATTACTTATTAACCAACTCCCTAGTTATGAGTGTGGATGTTCATTAACAATAGAACTGTAATGATTAATCAACTAATCAAGACTTTAGTAATTGATTATTCATCAACTGCTCTATATACAGACTCGAACACATTAAAGTGGTGTGAGGATTTTCAGACTCAAACAAGAAAAGGAATAGTAGGATTTTCTTTGGTGGCTTCACTTCAGCTCCATCTTTCTCAAATTGACATCAAATCTCACACTGACATTCTACAACTAAAAGATGAATCAAAGAATAATCGTTAGATAAATTCGATCATAAAAATTCGATCATAATAATTCGTCATCTGTAGCAGATCTCTGCAGACAGAGCAGAGTGAGTGTTTTGTCTGTTTTGTCTTTGTTTTGTGTTGGACTTTGACAGTTTCCAGGGCTGTTATTTGTCTGAAGTCATGTGTTGCATATTGATTGAGTACCCATCGCCTGACCACCATATACCTTCTGTGCTGATGCGATGCTTTTGCGCACCACCTCTTTGATGTGCGTCTGTCCATCTGTGGGGGGCTGAGTGTGCACGGTCACGCGCGTCACCCCACGGTAGGACGAGGCTTCAGGCCAGCCCAGGTCCAGTTCTGCCACGGAGAACTCTGAGCGGTCAGGCCAGTACTGCAGAGAGATCTCCCCGTCTCCCCCCACGTCCTCCCCGCCCCCTGGGCTGATGCCGCCCGGGCCTGGGGTCATGGGGGTGTCTGGTCTCTGGTGGTGCTCGTGTCCGGGCCGGTACAGCTCCACGTAGTTTTCGATGCTGTCCAGCTCCACATCTGAGAGGAACTGACGCACGCCGTGTGTCTTGATGAAGTCCTCGAAGGCATCACGCCCGCTGTTGATGAGCATCTCCACCGCCAGACGCTGGTCTTCGCTGTAGAAGAACTCAGCTTTGCTCTCGTTTACGCGCCAGTTCACGTGGTGGTCATCCAGACACTGGACCTGCGACAGCGCCATGGTCCCAGGGCAAAACTACAGTCTGGTCCACTTCAAACAATCCACAAGGTCAGCGTATGTTGGGGACAGTCATGAGCTCTGCCAAAGCGTCCGCGTGACCTGGGCTCTTGCGCGTAAACAAAAAAGTTTCATCAGAAATCTACAGCATTAGATCAGCTCCATAAGCTCCAGTCCCGCTCTTCTGTCTGTGCCACAAACCTGAGGGAGGAGGAGGAGGTCACGCAGCTCGTCCCCGCGACACGCCTTCACCTGACGCTCACGGGACAATTACCTGCACAGCCCAATGTGGCCCCGGGGCCCTGCGCACTGGCACTGCGCCCAGACAGCGTGTTTACTCTTCTAGCGTTTACTGCACGGGCCTCAGCAAATAAAAAATTCAGGCCTGGATCTAGTGTGAAAAACAGAATAAGTCTCGCGTAGAGGCTGTGAGACTGAGCATGAGTCGCTGACGAGTCACTCTTCCTCCTTTGTCTGTGCCTTGGGCTGAGCAGCTGTTCACGCGTCAAGATGGAAACTTGTTGCCTCCCCCCAAAGAGACAAAACCTCCATATAGTCCATAGTGTGTCCCGAGTACTCCATTTTACCCTCCAGGCTCTTACATCTCTTTTGGGTCTAATGGGCAGAAGTCTGCTTGTACCAGGAATTTGTCAACGGAAGCTCGATTACCGGGGGCAGGAGGAGGAGTGTCGGTCAGGAAAAGGGGGTTAACTCCACCCTCCTGCCCGGACACGAGAGGGCGAGACATGCAGTGGTTTCTCACAGTTTTTGTGTGTGTGTGGAGGCTATTTAGTCTACCCCCTGGAGTACAAAAGTTACAAAAGCAACTCGGAAATAGCAGGAGAAAGTTGAACAAAACTCATGATTACAAAAAGTTCCACCTTTTATAATACATAACAGCATCACTGGAAAGACCACGTTTCCTGATCACACAGAATACTCATGTGTCACAGGCTGCTGGATCATGTTACTCAGGAGTACAGTATATCTATAGAATGTGTTTATACTTTAGGCTGCCCTGTGTTTGTTTGCATATTTATCAACCCTATTAGGTTCCCAAACTAACCACCATGGCAGCAAAGTGAATACAACACAATGCTGATCTTTTAAAACAGTAAAAACATGCTAAATTGTTTTCTATACAAGTGAACATTTTCAACTTCGGGAGGCACTTTTAATGAATTTTGGTGCATGGTTCTTATCTTATCTCACTTGTCTCTGCTGGTAAAGGTGGAGTAGAATACTTTTCAAAAATAACACAGAAGAGACGATTGTAAAAAACGTCTGTGTTAATAATGTAAAAGTAATGTTGTGAACAAGTTAGACCACTACTTGTAAGAATGAGCCCCGTGAGTCCCTATATTGATAGCAAGAAACTAGTAGCTGGATGTATTTTATTACATCGTGAAATCTAGTTAGAAATTTACTGTAGATATCCCAGCTATAAAGTTATGATTGAGGGTTTCACAGTTTGAAATTCAACATTTTTGTTTTTACAGACACAGTCGGATGTGTGGATCCCGAAGAGTGTGTCCGTGTGTGTGGAGCAGAGGTGGGATGTTCCAACATAGCTTTTCCCAAACTGGTCATTGAACTCATGCCGAGCGGTGAGCATCATTTTCATTTAGTTTTAGCCTCAGCATAAGTCTTGGCAAATCAAACTTGTTGGATTCTTGGCCTGCATGTTAGTGACAGTATTTCTTCTGTTTCAACACAAGTTACCCTAGCGAGAATTCTACAGTTCATTGTCACTATTTACTCTCATCGGCCTGACTTTAACGTCAATCATTGAGCAACATGATGATGACAGCAAATATTTGTCCCAATTACATGCGAACATGGAAGTAAATAAGAGTGCTAAATAAATGTCAAATATGTATTCCAATGTTCAATGTTAAAGCCAAACATCCATCCATCCATTTTCTTCCCCTTAATCCATTTCTGGGTTGGGGTGGATGGCAGTTAGTGTTGCACCCAATTCACATAGCACCAGCCTGATCCTCCTGCAGGTGCTGAGTCCACAGGAACATGGATCTTTCAGCAGGGGCTTCAGGCAAAGTGGGGTTGCCCAAGGACACAACAACAGCAGACATCAGTGGGAGTTGTGAAGTAGGCCAATCAATTAGGATTAATCTGTTTAGGCTTAGAATTATGAGTCCTGGATCGACTTGGACATAGATCCTAGATTCTTGTTTACATGGTTATATAAGATTGTGTCCAAAAATATACATTAAAAAGCTCATAGACTCATTTAGATAGATAGATAGATGTACATGCATAGACACATACAGTAGATAGATACATAGATACTGTAGATAAATAGATACATACTTGATTGTAATAATGTAGAATGGATAGCATATAAAATCCAGTACATACTGTCTGCAGGTCTGAGGGGGTTGATGATTGCTGTGATGATGGCCGCTCTCATGTCCTCCTTGACGTCCATCTTTAACAGCAGCTCCACATTATTTACAATGGACATATGGAAGAAGCACCGCCCCGCTGCCTCAGAGAAAGAGCTACTGCTGGTGGGAAGGTAGAAAACTAAACTACCTTGATTAGGAATACCAAACGTTACTGTATACTAATTTGTTTTGAGCATTGAGATTACAATACATTTGTCGGTCTGTCTTTTTACAATGAAATAGATTATCACTTTTGTTGTAGCAGCATAAGATGCATTTAAGATGCCACTTTTAATTCTTAGCAGAAAAAGGAAAAGATGCAATACTATTTAATTTAGGTGAGTTCTGTTCAGACCTTATAAAATCCTAACAGTTGCAATGTATGTTTGTAGTTAACAATTGACAACTAGAGTCATTCTGAACAAAGGAGCAGTGTCTACAGTACATCCAAATAGTACCAATAAAACATTACTAACATTAATTTTTTTATATATAAAAGGGAACCATATAATGAAGGCCTCTTCTTTATCTACTTTAAAGATGATAATAAAAAAGAAACAAAGCTGTATGGTATTAATGTCCTTTGTTATATGTAGTGTCCAGACAAGTGAAAAATGAATGGGAAGTTAAATTACTTTTACAATTACTCACAACCTTTCAGATCAGATTTTAGTCATTTGAATGTGTGTAATGTGTGCAGTGTTCGACTCACACTGAGCTATGAATGAGACCTATAGTGAGGTCTATAGGAGGTCAGACTTGTTCACACTGCAGCGATAGATACTATGCATGTGTTGTGTGCTCCAGGATTGTGACGGTCATCCTGGTGGTGGTGAGTGTGGTGTGGATCCCCATCCTGCAGTCGGCCAACAGCGGACAGCTCTATGTGTACATCCAGTCTGTGACCAGCTACCTGGCCCCGCCGGTCACTGCCATCTTTACGCTCGCCGTGTTCTGGAAGAGGACCAATGAACAGGTCACACTTTTAAGATAAGACGAGTGCTCTATGCAAAGATTCAAATAGGATTATTTACTTATAATGGCTATGTACATTTCAATGGACTTGAATTGAATTTAATAAATGGAGGAGTACGTGATGTAAAGCTGGGGTACCTGACCTTTTTCATAGATCATTTTTTGTTTGTCCAAAAATAGACCAGGAAAATATGAGATTTTATAACCGTTGTTCTAAATTACCACATCCCCAGTGGGGCACCACTTTTAATTTAAGAAGTGAACTAATAACTTCATGTATGTACTTTTAAAAGTCTCAATAACTTTCTGTTGCGTTAACTAGAATATCTGCATCTTTTTTAGCATATTCAAGTATATTCAAAGAATATCAATTCAACAACAAGTAGACTTTGTTTATATTGGTTGGTTTAGCAAGTGTTGTCATTGCGGGAAGTCCAGATTTGAGTTCAGCAGTAAAGCCATACAATATTTTTCTATTTTTTATCTATCTATTTGACAGGGACATTGCACAATAAATGTATTATTCAGACTGGACAGAGCTACAAGCTAATTTCCATCGTGAGTTCCAGCCCTCTGCTTTGACTGAGAAGCTGTTCTGTCCAAATGAGGAGGACCTAAAGTTCACATAACAGTCTCCTCTGGACGTGGCTCTGGTGGATCTGATTCACACCTCCCCACACCTTCTGACAAAAATAGATAGATACTTTATTGATCCCCCTTAGGATAAATTCAGGTGTCCAGTAGCAGCAGAAACACATCCATCCACAGTAGAACAAATAAATGTATCACTCAAAAAAGCTAACAATAGTAATAATAAGCAACAGCCCTTCAGGTCACAGCAGCAGAGGTGGAGTCGCCGCTTGGTTCAGACTGTTTTCTCTGCTCTAGTCCAAAGTAAAATCTAAATCTCATTAGATTAAAAAAAGTTAGCATTCCTCCGGTGGATTTTTGCCTGATCCGCTTGGTTCAGCCCATGAATCCTCTCTGCTCTGGTCTGGAACAGTGTAAAACCATGAACACTGTACTGCAGCAACATCTCAGGTAGAAAAAAGCAAGAAAATAACAATTGTAAAGCACAAAACAACAACTGTTTCAGAGCTACTTAGTACTTGCAGCCGTTTCCAGCGTATTCAAAAGTAAACAATATTTAGTTCAATAATTGTCCTGACCATAACCAAAAAGACAGCACAACCTTTGCTGTAGCTTGACCATAACCTGCGAAATATATTCAATATTACACGTCAGCAATTGACTGCTTTATGCCCCTGAAGATTTACACCCAATTTAGAAGCTGTGTTTTGCACGTTGGTGTAATGCTATATTAGCATCACAAGTCATGGGTCTGTCTGCCAATACTGCCACTGTTCGCTCAGTGTCAGAGTGTGACACATTCCCCATCCATTATCTCATGTGTGCACGTAAATGCACCGCACTTTCACTAAAGCCACATGTTTTATCAGATAAGAAGGGAGCAGGCAGTGTGAAAGTAGAAACAGATTATAGAGCAAATTGTGGGCTGTAGTATTAGCTCACAGATAATCCTTGATATGTGTTGACACATCTTAGCGGCAAGTAACGACTAGTTCTGAGGAATGTGGTGATAGGAGCATTTTATGGGTGGAGGGTGTGTCCCGCCCCTGCTGCCGGCGTGTTGTTTCAATACCAACAACGCCGAAGGCCTATGGTCTCTTTTGGAAACTAGGCTGCACAAAAATACACGATTTCTCATATTACCTGAACACTTGCTTTAGTAATGGACTTTTTAGACTTACCTCACAAACATTGTTTTTTTCTTAATTTGTGTGTGTGGTCATTAATGGTATGTGGTTTATGTTAGCATACAGTTCAAATAATTGAGTGACTTGTTAAGACATAAGCCTTTCTTCTTTTATGACATTGTTTTGGACCAATATTATATTTAAAATGTTCTGGTGTCTGTATGAGTGATGTGTCAGAGGAGTCGATAGCACAAACTTCGCTTCCGTCAGTCTGTCCCAGGGCTGCGCTACGGCGACCACTGCTCCTGACTGGTTGTCTCTGTGTTATTGCAAGATGCGTCAAATAGAGGAGACACATTTCCTCACAGGGGAAATAAGGTATACCTTAAACAGAACATTACACAAACAATGCGCCAGTGAGTTGACAAAGTTGAACAGCAAAAATCTTAAACAACAAATAATGTTCATCACCGTAATTATAACTCACTTTATGACCTCTAACATAACTGCTTTTTGAAGTTCCTAATTAGATATCAAAGTGATCAGGTGTAAACATGTGAGCTGTCTTAGCCTCATTGAACTTTGGACTACGCACTTGCTCGGTGAAATTAAGGGTGGGGCAAAAATCACACAGAGGTGCCACTTGTATAGACGCTGTATATCAACCATAGCATACTGCGGTGCATACACCTGTGGGCTAATCCACAGAAAATTCAAAGTGAGTTTGTTAAACATTATAAACATTGCATGAGGATTTTCATCCAAGTCAAATAGGTTTCTGAATAATGTAAAAGGAGGACTGTTGTCATATACACTGTAGATTCACAATCATCCATCCATCCATTTTCTTCCCCTTAATCCTTTTCTACACAATCAAATTACACAATTTTAGTACCCCAGCTTGGAGCTGCAATAACAAAAAAAGATGTGGAACAACCTGATAAAACTTTTGCTAAACAGTTTGAATACTGTACAAATGCTTGTGGAAGTTTAGTACAGTACTGGACTATAATAAGCCGCTATGTCTTTCAACTACTATGAACTCTGCAGGCTTTTTAGCAATGAGGCCAATGTTTGTATTGTTATTTCTTTAGCACGCCATGGGAGCACAGGAACGAATGTGGACACAGCTCTATCACCTGCAGAGCTTCAGAGCTGATAATGTAGCGTGTGTGTTTATGTGAACATGTTTGTATATTAGAGCTGTAGTCAAAGCAGAGTTAATGGAGTTATTTCTTTGACTTCAACTATGGGTTAAATGTTACATTACAACATGAAAACCTAATATTTAAGTGCAGCCAATATGTGAATAAGATATACTTTCTTTTCAAATGTAGCTGTGTGGTTTATATACAGATGCGCTTAAGTCCAGCTAGTACTTTTTTTTGCTTTTCAGATATCAATAGGTTTAACAATAAGCGAGAGTGTTCTGAGATGTATTTACACACTCCCTCTAAATACTAAATACCACTCCAGTGTCAGTCATATGTCCGTATGTGTCCACAGGGAGCCTTCTGGGGGCTGATGGTAGGGCTGGTGGTGGGGGTTTGTCGGATGGTGCTGGAGTTCGCCTTCCCTCCTCTCAGATGTGGCTTGGAGGACTCTGCTCCGGCCGTGCTCCGAGACATACATTACCTGCACTTCGCCATCCTCCTGTGTGGCCTCACCGCCATGGTCGTGGTCACAGTGTCACTGGTGACTCCACCCCCCAGCCAGGAGCAGGTGTGCAAATGCAATGACAATATTTTTAACCAATCATTTTCTTAAACTCAAGAGGCATATGGTATTTAAACTGTTTAAACAATAATTCAAGTGCATGTAATGCCTCCTGGTCCAGGAGTGGGCTTTTATTATTATTAAAAAGAAACGTTATTGGCATTGATGATGGTTTTGTAAGAGCGGTTGTTGCTTTCCTGCCCTTCAAGACACACACACACACACACACACACTGTTTGTTTGTTTACTTAACTTGACTACAAACTCTTGTCTAACCTGTAATTTATTAGACATACATACATTCCTTGATGGTAGGAGGCTGAGCATAATTTAATCTGTATTTACTAAAATATCTTGTATTACTATTTTGCTTACTTAAAGGCCTTATTGTGGTGACATATGCTAATGTGCTGTGGAAATCCCTTTTGAAAACTGCTGGCAGGAACATGGAGCCACATGTTAGCAGTATATATAATTGCTCCATTCTCCTGGAGACGATGTAGTGTGCACTACAGAACCTCAGTGTTAGCACAGCTGTGACTTTATCAATAGAAACAACACAGTGATAAAAAGCTAACATTGCGTTGCCCCATTTAAGGTAACAAGTATTTTTAAATCCAAGTATGCGCTTTGTAAGCTTTTCAAAAACAAAAAAACACTGTCATATGACATGACTCATGGATGATGTTAAAATGGACTCTTATGATGATGTCACACACATAGCTGTGTGCTTAACTTAAGGCAAGTTAAACCTGATGGGAGTGTACATGGTATTTGCTCAGTATTAGGCCCTTTTATAGCTTTGTCACTGCTGAATCTTTTTAAAGTAAGATACTAGGTAAAATGTTTTAGAGCTTTTTTTCATTTTAATTTATAATTAAAGCAACATCAAATTAGGATCAAATAGATTGTATATGATGGGCCTTAAAGCCAGGTGAAAGTAGTTCTCTGGATTCAAAAGGTGAATGCAAATGAATACTGCGCTGTACAGTGTTGGCAGTACTTTGTGTCATATCAGGTTACTACACACTAGCAGGCAGTACAATTGGAAACTCACTTCCTCTGCGCGGTTCCTGTTTCACAAACTGGTTTGAAGTCAGTTTACTCTGATAAAGTCATTACAGGGCAGTGCAGAGATAGAAAGAAACATGCTATGATGAATGCAGCAGCCTCCAAGGACGTCATCTCATCAATTTGACTGTTTTATTGCAATTAATCATTATACAATAGATTTCACATATTGCAAACTTTGTACATTTAATGTTTTTAGAATATACAAATAATTTAATCAATAATGATATAGTTCCTAGAGTTTATGTTTGACCAGTAAATATAATGGGTCATCATCTAGTAGTTATTTTCCCTACATTTGACTCATCCTTCAACAGCTCCTGAAGGCAATGTGTGAGGAGTAGTCAGTAAATACTTTCTATATTATAGTGAAATAAAGACCCTGATGATTTTGCACTTGGATGTGTAACATTCCTTGTCAGAAGCTTATGTTTTTAATTTATATTTTTTACATAATGAAAATATAGACTCTTGACATAAGAAATACCATGCTATTTCTTTAATCAATTCAAGCAATCAATAGTTTGGACCCGGAGGTGCACTTGATAGATGGTGCACAGGATACATGGTGTAAGTAAGTAATGTTTATAAATATAGTGCATTTTACAGACCAAGGTCTCCCAAAGCACTTTACAATGTTCAGAGTTCAGATATTGTTTCAATCATTCTACACACAGTGATGATGGAAGCGAGTCGCCAAACACACTGCCGCATCAGCCCCCAACCAACACCATCCATTCACTTTTTCATTTACAGTCATGGCTATTATGCATGGTTTTAGTGATAGGGGAAACCGGAGCACCCGGAGGAAACCTACGCAGACATGGGGAGAACACGCAAACTCCACTCAGAAAGGCCCTGTTCCGACAGGGATTTGAACCTTCTGGATAGGTGGTGCTAAACAATTCTTGTATTCCTCCATCCCATAAACAGTCCCTTCCATGGATTTATGAAATTAACCTGAACTTTTCTTCATTTGTCGTAGCTGTACAATCTGACATGGTGGACCATCAGTGAGCCGCCACCGAGAGACATCCCCATGCAGAAAGTGTCCTCTGTCAGCCACCGTGGCTCTCAGGGTAAGTCTGGATACTCACATGGTTTCATATATGTGGTCTAGTCTATGCTCTGACCTCCTGTGATGTCCAGACCCAGTGCGGCGGGGCGCGTGCGTACAGGTGCCCGCTCTGTGCATGGCTCTGGGGAGAGGCCTCAGCTCGTCGACGCCGCCCCCCCGTGTTCCCAGCGTGAGGGAGAGCGTCTTCTGGTCCCGCTTCTGCTGCGCTAACGCCATCCTCCTGGTCAGCATCAACATATTTCTCTACGGTTACTTCGCCTGACAACAAGGACACACCAGGCGAGAAGGACACGTCAGACGGCAGTTTTTAAAAAGGTGATAATTGGTGCATTTTTTGTGTTTATGTCAGGACTGTTGCATACACAATTATTCAGATAATTATATTCAATTGTATACTTTAAAGCTCGCAATTAGACTTATTTAGTAGAAGTTTTTTTTTTCTTAATTTTTACTAGGTTTCAATATGCCTTACCATTTTCTGTGGTGATATTGTGTGTGGTTAGTTTGAGAACCTCTGTTGTATAAGTTAAGAGAACCATTGGGGAAATGGTGTGTGATATTATAATATAACTATAATAATACTATAAACGATAGACCGTGGGAAATCAGTCTGAAGGAGACCACCCCTAAGCTCTATTTACGTTTTTCTCGTAAAAAACCTATAACCTCTGTTATATTACGCTTATTATGCTGTTATATTACATTTGAAGGCCTTCTTCTTTAGGGCCCCAAAATCCCTGGAGCTGGCCTTGTCTAGTCACTTCTTGGAAACCAGTGTTGCGTCATGATCAGCATTTGTCAAAGACTGATAGGAGACATTTTATTTAGATGTTTTCAGAGATTCCCCAGACTGGAGACGGAGGAGAGACTTATTAAGCCTGAGCGGAATAGACACAGCGGTATCTCTAAAAGGAAGTACACGCCTGCCAAAAAGTGGGGAGAAAATATCTGCTACACCCAAGAAGAAAGAAAACACACACACACACACACACATACTTGAGGCACTGCACATTCCTGAACAGTTCCAGAAACCAAATAGATATGCCTTCAACAGGAGGGACTAGAGCAAATATACTTTGACCTAGTTCTTGTTCCATGAATTGATATCCGGTGCTGTGCCCTTTAACTAATCCTTAGGCAAATGCATGGATTATATCTTTATAACGTGAATTGAGGAAACAAAACATGTTTATTAGTTAATGTGCTAAAGTGGGGCTGCAACAATTTAACCCATTAACTATGTTTTTTTCATCAACAATGGTGAAATCATTTAATGTCACTCTTGCTGATCCAGTTCTTGTCATTAAATGACATGACACTAGGTATGATGTGGCGCAACTTACAATAGTAATACACACATGAAAGACTGAAATTAAATATATATCTTTTAAATTAGTATTTAATAAGTCAAGAATAAAGAATATGTTAATACATACATACATAATAACACTTTTGGATTAATTGTATCTCCCTAGTGTGATGTCATCAAAAAACTACAAGGTTTTACTACCTATAATTTTCAACAAAAGAGGGCCACTATTGCTAATCCAATCAGCTTAGCATCAAATAGTGACTCTGAGGCCTCTTTCTTACAAGTAAGCAAAATATTTGATATATTCTAAGAAGATGAAGACAGCCTGTTGTGGTCTGATTAGTCAGGTTTCTTTTATAAGACTCTTTCTGTTGAAACAAACAATATGTGTTATTTATGAAACCGAAAGGTTAGGTCCCTCGCTTTAATCCACCATTATGAGTCAAAATTAAACACATTTGACAAAAAATAGGTTAATGTGAAGACCACCACAATTTCTTTGTCATACTGATAGATTGTGTTTAAGAGCAGCATTAGCAGCAGGCGGAGCTAAAATAAGCAGTTAAGGACTAAATAAATAGTGCTGACTGTAACATTTACGCGAGGATCTGAACGGGGCACTTCTTTCACACAGACTTGTAAATGACTTTCCACAGGCAGTCAGTGTTTGGGCCATTCAACACTCCCTCCTGCATTATACATTTGTATTCTGTTATGCTTTGGAAATACTTATTTTTGTGTGTGTCACTAAGTCCAAATATTGCACCACATTCCATAAATTCCAGATAAGACATTCCAGATGTTGTCAAAGTTGAGCTCAGAAACATCTGGGCAACAGTGCACTCGGTTCTGTGTTGTGTTGGGAAAGGATTTTGGGTTGAATGTATTTGTGTTTTTAATGTTTTTTTAATGCATCTTAATTGCATGTACGTCGTAAAAGTATTAAAACAATGTGTAACGCCCTTCTGTTTTCACCTGTGTTTAGTTTGTATTATAAAATAAACAATACATCATATAATTTTTTATGTTTTATTACAAATCTCGATTTATTTTCATGACAAAAGTTTGATAACTGGTAATAATTTGACACTCAGATCACAGGGTGGCATTAAAAATATATCTTAAATAACTTGACCTAATGGATAAGCACACATCTTGTTTTATAAATTGTTTACTCTCATTATAATACTGCAAAAAGATACTTGTTTTCTAGAAGTAGAAGCACCAGTGGCAGAAGCAGTATTAAAAATGTCTATTGTATTTATTATTTAAATTTTAGAATTAAAACAAATGATTTAAAATGGAAAATGCTACCTTGACCAGTGTTCAACTTATGAAGAGACACAAAAAAGCAAAGACAACACCAAACACAAGATTTAGACGCAACATAAACAAAGTAAACAAAAACACAATTAGTTTAATTGAAATTAATAATGACAAAGATATAACAAGAGATCGAAAGGAAACGTTATGAGTCAGTTGTAGAGTGGCTGGACGTACTGAGGAGGAAAGATGCCCACTCGGCCTCTGCAGCGTCCCCTCCAGGTCAGATGGCTGGAACAGTCCAGCAGCTGTATGACGTCACCTCTCTGGAAGCGCAGACAGGCGCTGTGCGTAGGACTGTAGTCACAGAGGGCATGGGCCACGCGCGCTTTCTGTGCACATACACAACAGACTGATTCAGACAGTAGGTCTACTATGTCGTGGTAGTCTATAGTAGGACTACAACACTTTTTCAAGGCAGTGATTGTTTGCAAGACCATGGTCTTGGGTCTGCTCTATTATTTTGTCAAAATGTAAACATGAAAGTCAACATTTCTCTTCCACCCCATTAGAGTCTGGATTGGACTACAAGTTAGTACCAACTAGTTTTAGGCCATATGGATTTAATACTCAGTGTTCGAGTATTAGACTTTACTACAATAGTTGGGTATACATCAGCATTAAACCAAGCCTATACCAGAAAAAGGTATATTATGGGAGAGGTGGGATTCATATTATATAATTCAATTTATGCACTGGCCTTATGTGGAGCACCCTCAGCACCATACGTGGCATTTATAAAGCCTGAACATGGCTTTGGATAAATCTTTGCACAAACTGAGACCTTTTGAAAGCTCTGGGCAAAGTCTGGAGACATGGAGAAAAGATGACTCCCATAAAGGGGAGCAGAAGTGAACAGAGTTTGAGGGAGTGAGAGAATTTAAAAAAATCACCATTAATAAACTTATATTAATTAATAAAAATTCATATCATGATCAGATGTTTGCTTATACGCAATTATGATATGTTTTTCGCACACACTTCAGGCCTCCTGGAGCTGATAAATCCTCCTGACCAATGGGACTCCCTCACTCTGGATATGATGTTGAATAAAGTGTCTTGTGACAAGACCAGACGGACTGCCTTATGTGTACTCATGTGTTGGTCCTTTAATATTTAGTCTAATGGTTGGTCCTGACACTCCTTGTCCAAAACCCACATCAGAGGCTTAAATAAGAGTTTCTATTCCCATTTTATCTCACTTTCACAGGGTTTTTCAAGAAAATATTGCATAACCATAGACCTATGTTTGTGTGTGAGAGTTGGCTCTGTTCTTCCAGTTAGATTCAGAGTCATGAAAAGGGAGTAGTGGTAACATGTTTGTTGATAAACGTGTTGCAAGGAGCATAACTTAAGTCTGACCCCCCGACTCCACCGGGCGCGTCTCCGTTGACGCGCGTTGGCTGCTGTCCGTCAGCCGTCCGTAAAACGGACTAGTGGTCAAACCGGCTGCAGCAGCGCGCAACTCTGGCTGTGCGTATATCAGCCTGCTTTGTTTTTGTAGGAGACATGTTTGGGCATTGTGTGAATGAATGAATGTTTGGCTGATGGAGGAGTTATGTATTGTCGGCGTGCATGTGTGCGTGAGCGTGTGCGTGAGAGCGCCCGTGTGTGTGTGTGTGTGTGTGTGTGTGGTGGGAGGCGTGTGCGTGCATGTGTGTTTGGGTCTGTGACTGCAGCGTTTATTATGATCCAGCCTCTTCGTTTGTTTTCTACTTATTTAGCGCATGATACACTTTTATCGGAGCCAACTCGCCTCTCCGCGGCTTTAGGCAACAGGCAGAGCTATAGTTTTAAATAGAAGAAGCGGTGTGTGATTTGTATGAGCTGTGGCTATGATCAGTGCAAAGCACAGCATATTGAAGCATTGAGGACGTCGCGATGGATGAGGCAAAACTTATTGAAAGCAATTGGAAAAAGGGGAGAGAGAAAAGAACTCCAACATATCCAGTGTTGTGAGATCTGTCTCTCATAAGTGCAGCTGTGTGCGTGTGTGTGTGTGTGTGTGTGTGTGTGTGTGTGTGTGTGTGTGTGTGTGTGTGTGTCTGTGTGTGTCTGTGTGTGTCTGTGTGTGTCTGTGTGGGAGCGCGCGGCGGTGAGGAGAGAGCGCCTCGCAGGTAGACGGGACAGAGCGAGAGAAAAAAGAGCGAGGTGTATGTGAAGATTAGCGTATTAACATTACGCGAAAAATAAATGGTAGATTTACGATCAGGAAACAATCATTTAAATTAATACATGAAAAACATTACACACGTTTGTTGATAATCATTGTCATTAACAAATACTTATAACCAAGGACTACAGCATATCAATACATGTTTAACAATGTTGTAAATGTATTATTCCATTGCATTTTCAATGGAAAACGGACCCGACACGCGTCGACGGACGGAACAAATAGGATTGTTTCTATTTCGTCCGTCCACGTCTTTTGCACCCTCCGTTGACGGAATAGGTCCGACGTGCGTTGGACGGACGCATGCGGAGGCAGTGGAGCCACTTCCATTCACTCTCATGGAGATAACGGAGACGGAGATGAAACGGACATGTTTGGACGGATCCGTCGTCCGTTTTACGCGCCCGGTGGAGTCGGGGCCTTAGTCTAACTTAAGATAAGTCTTCTCACAGGTGCTGAAGTGCCTGTCCCCTCTGCTCAACCGTCAAACCCACTAATTAATGTCCCCAATAATAACACTCTGGAACCCCTCTCCGTACCTCCATTAGTGGCTTGAGAGGTTGTGGTGACGCCCTGTCTGTGTGGGACAGGCGGGAGGAGGGCCGCACGGAGCACAGGGACTCCTGCGACCCGCTTCTGTAGGGGTTTGGAGGGTTTGAAGCATTCCGGAGGTTTGGAGTGCAGTAGGACTTGTGTCCAGAAGAGGGCAGTAAATGAGCAGGAGGGTCTCTGAGCAACACAGGCCTGTCCATGGAGATGCTGTGTGTCCTATAGAAGTCCAGCAGGCGGTTCAGCGAGCAAAAGGACTCGTCCCAAATGCAGTACTGACCCCCGCCCTCCAGGACGCGAAAATGCTCCACTCGCTCTCCATAGCTGGAAAACCAACAGAAAATATACTTCCTCTGCATATTCACATCTTTTTTATGGACAGGAAAAACAAAAATGCATCGGCTTGATTCTTTCAAAAAGCCGCAGCAGTCCCACTGTAATCAGGTTGTGCTAAAAGTCGATTCACACTACTAATGGAAAATTAGAAATGAAAAACTTTTCCATTTGATTATATATATTTTTTTGATAAAGACTCAATGCTTATTCTCCCTAGGCCTGTTCAGACACTTTCCCTGTTCAAACAGAGACTCACTGGTGTCTGGCACTAATTCTTTTATGTCAACATACGCAGCTCTGAGCAAACAACAGAACACAAGAGAGTTCTTCAACAACATGTGGACTATTGTTCCAGTGGACACAAGACACCGCTAAAAACAACTCCAGGTCTGTTTTTGATGAGGAAACAATGATGTATAATGATTAAAAGTACATTTTGCAAAATATGTCTCTTTTAAATAAGCTTTATCTGATGATAAACAACAAGCCTTTGAATTCAATTGTTTGATGTCAAAACTTTCCTCCAATTCAATCTATATCAAGAATCATGTCTCATCCATCTTCAGTTTGACTATGGCTAATATCAGCTCAACGAGTTTGGTCAGTGAATGTTGCAAAGGCCGCTGCTCTAAAAGGCTATAGATCATGATGTATCTGTGTTTAGACAATGTGATGGCATCACTTCAGCACCATTAGCTTTTTACATAATATTAAAGCCCAATTGTAATTACAAGTCAAAAGAGGTACCTCAATGCATGTGGTGGGGCTTATATAACAAATGTTTTTAATTAATAAGCATGTTGCGTAATGTCCCATGCTTTAGCCGCTATGATTAATATGTCACATCAGAATAGTACGACCCAAATTACTCTCTTTACACGAACCCTGGGATTTCACGACAATGGCCTCTTACGAAACACTTCCAAATAGTCCAGTCCTCCTCATTCTGCCATGACATTGACATACTTGATTAATAATAGCATTAGATGTGACAAGTCAATTAATTTGAATTGATTCATAAAAATAGGTTTTTAAATATATATTTTTTGAGTTTTTATTGTTAATATTCAGAAAATCAAAATTTGCCCACATATTAATTATTGATAACATTGGAAAGATTTCAGTTTGTCTGAAGTTTATAACTGATACAGACATTCAAAAGGTTATAAAACGGTTTCACTCTATCAAAATTAAGACAAAAAAGGAGTGTAAATACTACAAATAAGGAGTAAACTGATCAAGACAAAATGTAAATGCCTCTCAAGTATAATTATTTCCTCTCACTTTGTAAAAACAGATACCAAAATCCAAAATTCTCACAAAGATTAAATAAAGACTTCAAGTCAAGAAGTTCAAGAGAAAAAAAAAGAAAGAAAAGAAATCGAATACAATATTTTTTGGAATCCTCTTTACCATATTTCACTTCACAAAAACATGATGTAACATGTTCTGGAGAAGCTTGCCAATTATTTTGAGAAAACTCACTTATGTTTCTCAATGTACAGTTACTATAAACATTGTAGTATGTTTTATTTACAACTTACACAAAATCCCTACTTCTTCTTGTAAATCGGGGTTGTAGTGTTGGACATATAAAGATTTTGTTACTTGACATGATTGATAAATATAACAATATTTTGCAGCATGTCAAATACGAGGAGCAAATCTTGGATGGATCTGTTTGAAATGGTGTCTACAACACACAGAGTATTAGTAAAAATCTGAGTGGACATACCTGACTGACAGTGAGAACTCCCCAGGGGCAGACTCGCTCTCTCTTATAAGGAACACTCCTGTGTCCTGCCACCGGAGGCGCTGTTCTGCTTCCATACGTGTGATGCTACCTGCAAACCAGCTGTGGAGCAGAGACACAACATCAGGTGAGGTGAGGTACTACAGGTCATTAAGCAACTCAAAAATTCTAAGCTAAACAAAACACCTTCCAACAAAATATTGGAGATATCAGAGATAACGGATAAAATTCTACTATAATATACTAAAATCGATCAAATAAAAAAATACAACAAAAGGTGGATGAAACATGTAGGGGAGCATCTGTGGGAGGGAAATTCTGCTGTTTATATTGGCACTAAACGGTTAATGCATTTAGCTGAATATTAAGTATGAAATGTGCTTCTGTGCTGAATAATAATAATATCGTTAATATAATCATCATTAATATTGGTTAATAATACAACCACACTGACAATCGTAGCCACAGATTTTGTTAATCTCCCTTGTGGCCTCAAATCCTAAATATTTGGATATTGGTTCCAGTTTGCTGCCTCCCAGTTTTGCCAAAAGCCATGCAGGATTACAGGGCTAATCATAGACTCACATTTGTCAATCAGGAGACCGGAGAACTTCCACTCACTCCTGCACAGCACTTGCACTCCTACTTGCAGTGCTCCGAGGTCAGCTCAGTGGTTTTAATTCAGTAAATTTTAATAAAAGACAAACGCTTCATGCATTCAACATAGCATTATAGGTTCACAGAGGCGAGAAATAACATGGAGTTGTTTCATGACGTCTTTGGCCACACGTATCCTACGCAGTCATTTTTATTGATTTTCTCAAAGCTGTTTATAGTAGATGTGGTGCCAAAATGAGGGTGGGAAAAAACTACTAATGCTCAAGTTAGACCAAGTAAGCACTATTTCTGCATTTGTGTTCACTATGATTAACTAACTATAACTTTTCTCTCTTGTTTTTTTAATACACGTCCGCCTTAAACATTTTCTTTATTTAGAGAATTCTTGCTACTTTTGTCTGAAATTGTTAAAAAAGTGTGTAAAAGTGTGTGAAGTTGTGTGTGAACATTTCTCACGGGTGTGGTAGCAGGGAGATGTAGTTCTCGGGCACATATCCTCTCTTGCCCTGGACCTCTGCTGCGAACCATGAATCATCCTCCATATCGGTCACCTGCAACACATGCCCACAGTAGTTATGTTGTAATAATGTTTTAACAAAAGAACAAAGAGAGAATCTAAATTATACAAATGTTATCTAATGTACAGGGCTAGAATGCCTCTATATCAATCTGAACGCACTGTATACAGAAATATCAACAAATACATTGATTTTAAATACTGAGTTTATCTTGTATTAGAAAATATTGACTTATACTTATACTAAACAAAGTTTAACAACAGGAAGAAATACAGTATAATCTTTCATTCAGTTTCATAACTTTAAAACAATAACCAGTTAATTTACAGAGGTTAAAAGGACCAGATTTGATTGAGAATGATGAATTATGATCGCTATTCTAACTACTCCACAAAACAGGCAGATGTGTATTTCAGCATGGCACATCTCCACAGACATACCAACTGAATATTATGATGCAAATTGAACCAATACAAAAAATAAACAATAAATAATAAGTAAAAAGCAATCCTCACCTTGAGCATCTCCCCCTTGTTGAAACTAACCTCGTCCGACTGTGCTGCAGAGTAGGAGAAGAGCGCTACTGCTTCCATGTTGTCCCACTGTACTTTTGATGACACAAGAGATGAGATAACCAGTGTGTGTGAGTGTGTGTGCATGTGTGTGTATGTGAGTGTGTGCGCGCGTGTGTGTGCGCGCGTGTGTGTGTGTATGTGTGTGGCAGAGGGAGGTGCTGCTGCTGGGCCATTGACATTATTGCTCATTAGTTAATGAGAAGTTAACTAACCCCCGCTAGGCGCCTACATGTGACTGAGGTGGAGAGGGACACATGGGTGGCCATCTAGAGGCCGTAACGCAGTAGGATTAAGTGGAGGGAATCGCGAGGGAAATCAGAAACGGGACAGTGCAAATGGAACCCAGAATAGAGGCGAGAATAGAAGGAGAGCACTTGCTGTTTTTTATCATGTTAAAAGAAACGGTGTGGTTTTTGTTTGTATTTATCTTAAATGTAAAAAATATGAAAGTTTGAAGAGATATGCAGATTACAGTGGGAAGACTTTTTCAATTATTTAAGAACAAATACAGAAAATAAGTACCTTCTCCCATCAAAGGGACAATTTTGAGTAGAGAGAAGAAAAAAAGCTGCAAGCAGTGATTGAGGGCCTTGCCACATCCCACTCTCCCACCCAGGACTCCCAACTGCCCTTGTGTTGCTTTGTGCCTGTCAGACTATCACTGGAGCAAATTTGTTATCATTTACCATAGGTGGCGCTGTTCCGTCAGACTGTCTCAACATTATCACAGAGCTGAACTTGCAAACCCCTGGATTCACATATTTTTGAGTTGGTCTAGGGGTCAAAAGGTGTTTATTTTAGTAACAACTATTCAGTGTATTTTTTTTTTCCAGCTTAAATGAGACAATTGAAAATAAGCCCTTTCTCGATTGGTGTGGTAATCGTGTTACATAAAGATTGCATTGTGAAGCCGTTTACTTAATGAGTTTGTGTGGCTATTAATGAGAGTGCTGTTATGCAACAGTATTCAGAGGATATCTGCTTACCAGAGAGTACCGTCAACACTTTTAATTTGTTACAAATTATGGACTTTTAGTATTAACACAATATAAATACCCTCTATACGTCCTGAACTTGGATAAGCACTGGGTTCATTCAATATTTGCATAGAAGTCATAAAAACGAAATGGCCAGTTCTGGGAAAATATTTGAAATTTGAGGATCAAGTTAAAATAAAATATTTCAATTTATTGTATAGACTTCAAAATCATTTTGAAACTACTAAAACTCAATTCAAATATTATAAATTGCTGGGATTCCATCGCTCCATCATTCCCTCATACCGCCAAATCCACACTACGAATGCTACAAATGTAAAATCCCGTAAAAGAACACAAAAGGTATCATAATAATTCCAAATTTAATATGTAAAAATATAACTAACTACATACATGTTTTACTATTCGTGTCAAAACTGTATCAAACCACATGTCTTCAGTCAATAACAGTCTACGATGACCTCCTGATCCTCTGAGTGAGAGTGGACGTCCTGGGCAGTCAAAATGTCCTGCAGTAAAGACAAGGGAGAATTCTGGACATGATCACTGCTCCGACTTAAAATATCCAGCCTCTTCTCCAAATGTAAACAGTGCAAAACCTCCTGTACATTCACAGAACCTTCTGTGCCAACTGAGTTCCCAATAAGCGACCTGATCTCCTGTCCCCAACCCCAACTCAGAAGGCTGCATTTCACTTTGCATTCTGTATTCTTCAAAGTTTCTTGTAGATTCATAAGTAACAGACAAGCTTTCAGTCCCACTGGTCTATCACAATCAAAAAGTCCACTTAAGAGGGCAGTAATGACGCCTTGTTCGACTAAATGACTCAGTGAATCTTCCAATGAACAATTAGAAGTTGGTTGAGGATTTATGGCGTAAGGATGTGATGGTTGCGTGTGATCTATGAGTGAGGAGTCCATCAGAAGTTTGGCGAGCTCCAGGGTGTGGACCTTGACTTCCCAGTCCAGGTCAGAGCTTCCCCGGGAGAGGATGGAGGGAATAGAAGACATCAGGAGAGAGAACGAGGAGCAGGAGTACCAGGAAATGAAGAACTGGACCACAGCTCTCCTGGAAAAGCCTTCAGTGTCCTCACAGAGAATGGTCTGTAGTTTGGCCACTATGTCCGTCTGCAAAGACAAATGTGGATTTAGATTTGTAGTATTTTACACTGGCTTAAAGATGTGTTGGGTTTGTTAATCATGAAGTCTAATCCAAGTCCAAGTCTCGCATTTTTATAAAGTTTAAAACTATCGTGTAATACAACTTAAAAATCACTAGATTTTTTTAAATAGATCAAATAAAAAAGCGCAGTGGTCCTGTTCTGCACTGGGCATGTTCTGGCTGCACTTTCCCGCGCTTCTGTGAACGTGGCTCCACATTCTCCTCACTGGAGCAGTAACTGGCCTCGCTTTTTTTGACCAGCGATGTTTAGTTTTTACATCCAACATACAATGTACAAAATACACCTACACACAGAGAGAAAACTCCCTCAAAGCAGCTGCCTATTCTTGTCTTGATGTTGACATAACAGAAACATGTGCGGCTACAACAATGTTCAGGAGAGTGGTTTGTGATCATCTGAAATATTCAAAAATCCCACATAAAGCCTCTTTAAAAAATCTCCATGGAAAAAACACAATCCTCATTGGAGGTTGTGAACACATACTTGCTGAGCTGACACGGTGGCCCCCTGCTTCCAGCCTCTGTGCAGGACCTGCGCCAGGGCAGACACGGCGCTGGCCCTCACATAGCTCTCCTGGTCCTGCAGCGCCTCCATGAGCAGCGGGAGAGTACTGCACTCCTCCAGCAGCAAGCTCTGAGAGGCGGTGAGAGCGCTCTGCTGTCCCAAGAACTCCACAGTAGAGTCCCTGGTCTCCCAGCGCTGGTCACAAATGCGCTTCTGTACCACTCGTAGTAGATCTGGCATAGATAATAGAAATGTTAACTTCAAAAAATAAAAATAAAAAGAATTATTGGGATATAGTATAAGGCAAAATGTGACATTTGTTAGTATTAATAGTATTTGTAACATGAATACAGCAAGTATTGAGACTGGATTTTGCAATATTATGGGATTCATGTCACTCATTACAAAAAATGAGAAAAAGAAGACTGCTCAACTATCGTGTGTATTATGGTCTGCACATTAACTGAAGTGAACTTTATCCGTTAACATTAAAGACACAGGACCTTATTACAGGGAAAGACATAATTATACTCTGAAAAGGCGGCCTCTCCCATGAATGGTGAGCTCCAACAACAACATATCATTCAAATACAACAGACTAGAGTAACAAAAAGCAGACCTAAAAGAGTAACATAAATCTCTGAAGTAAATTACCAGAGCATAATCGGAGAAAACACAAACGTGAAACAGATAATTACATATTCAAATACTGAAAAACTTTGTTCTATTTGCCCTACTGTATCGATTTTAGTGTGGGCGCAAAATATCGCAACACTGAACCGAATCGTTTCTTTGCTCCCATCACTATATATTATATCACCTTGTCTGAGCTCGTCTGACATCCACGACTGATTTGTACAAACTTTGGTCCACTTGAGTACGGCTTGGTAACACTTGTGGAGCACCTGTGGAATAGATGAAACATCGTTAAATCGAAATGAAGTTTAAACAAACAGTACAATCACGGTACAAACTCACAGTGGGGTCAGAATCTGGATGATTTAGAAACATCAAGAGAATCGTGAACACCTCATGCACTTTGTCAGAAGCACCTGGAAGAAGTCACAATATGAATATTTGAAACACATGAAACATCACAATATGCAAATGTAGTATTTGTATTGAATACTTATACTTTATATAAAGTATTATTAAGAGAAGAATTTGTTTTCATGGTTAAAAGACTTGGTTCTGCGGCACAGCATATTTAACGGCCATTGTCAACCATTTTTGGTGAAGAAAATGATGCACTAAAATGTTCAGAAAGAGTCTAGTGCAATTGAGACAAAAGTATTTTATCAAGTTTAACCCCAAGTTCTAGAAGTGCTGTTTAGCAAAACTATACTCCGAAGATGATAACTGCATTACAGTTGGAGTTACCATTACCTGAACAAACGCAAACAGCAGCTAGAGCTTCCAGAGCACTTTTCTGAATTTTTCCATTTCCAATGATACATCGGTTGACCTCACCACACGTAGAGGACGCCACAGCGCCACCTATGGACATGTGTAATAAAGACACCACGCTAGAGACTATCAGAAGAGGTTTACAGGGCAGGAAGTGATCCGGCTGAAAGAGAAAGGCATAGTCAATTTCACACATCCAGACAGAATAATAATAGTTATTTGTTGATAGAGATATTGTGGTATGATTACATAAAATAGAATCATGAATTGTAGGTACTGGTAGAATAATGATATTGTAGAACAAACAGGTCACTGGTTATCATTTTAATGTAATGCAATGTAAAGTCATGCATTTCCTTTGTAATAATAGGGTTGATAAAAGTCAGTTGTAAATAATAACTATCAGTCACCAAAATAAATACACACAAATCTGAAAATTGGTGAGAAGTGTTGTCATTATTGTAAAAGTTTGCTTTGTGTAATCCATGACCAGAGTTTGACACATACCAGAAGTGTAATCTGATGAAGTTGTGTGACACATGTTAAGATGATGGAGGTGCAGGTGGTTTTGTTTTGAAGCTCCTCTTGGATTTCACCTATGGAAAAAGGGAAATAATTTCAGAATACAATAATTCAACTTAATGCATTTGAATATATATCAAAACTAAAACCTATACAAAAGTATAAACTACTGAATTAAATAAAATATATGTGAATGATTTTACCCAATCTTTGACCTACTTTTTGTGAAGTTTTAAATGTAATTACAAGGTTGAACATGGGCCGCACATGTGATATAAGCACGTGTAGAAGTAATTCTGTAACAATTACCTAGCTTAAAAACGGTTTGTCTAAACACTCTTGAACACACAACATAATGGTTTAGAATGTAAGACTGAAAATGGAACCTTTCATAACAGTGATTTTGATCGATCATACCCTCTGTATTTGAGCAGAGTCCAGGCTGTCCGGTTAAAGCGACAAGTGGTTGAAGTAGTATCTTAACAGCCTTTGGTGTATGGACAGGGTCACTAGAAGAACACATCACAACCTTTAAATAAATGTTGTACCCTGTGTATTCAGACATTAAATGTTGTAACCTGTGTATTCAGGCTTGTACCCTGTTGGCTTGTACCCTGTTGTACCCTGTGTATTCAGGCTTGTCTACACACAGAGCAAAATCTGTATTGATGTTCTTACCAAAAGCCTAGATGTATGACAGCTGCTGCAGCTCGAATCCGCTCTGTAGCCTGTCCCACCTCAAACATGGCACAAAGAAGACGACTAGCAACAGGGGATGACTGACTGAAACAAAACATACATAATTGGTAATTTATTGGTGCATTTGCCTTCCTGGTTCTTTTTTGATTAAGTTTACACAAGCACGTTACACTCATGCCCTTTGATAATAGTAAGACATGTGATGGGTTAGTTGGGGTTTTCTTTACACCCTGGCACCACTAAACATTATATGTATTGAATGAGGCAATGGTCCTAAAATGATGTATGCACCAGGATGCTGAAACCCATGAATGGTGTCACAACATTTAAAGGAGCAGTATGAAAAAATCTGGCCAAAACTGGTACTGTACTCTCCCTGACTCAGGTTGGCAGATATTCAGACGAATCCAGCAGGGACCATAATATCTGAACAAATCTATAACCAACACCTTTTTCACAAAGATAGAAATCCTGGTTTTATTCTTAGTTTTGTCAGAAATGATTTGAGAATCATAACGAGGCCACACTTAACCAGTGAGATTAGCTCGATGAGGTGAGTTCTGGCGCCCGGTTCACAGACTTTCTGGTTGGTAAAACGGTGGGGGACTGGACATCGAAATGAAAACAATAACAACATTTAAAGGCTGTAAAACTAATTTTGAAATCCAAATATCACAGCTGAACAACAGTTATCATTTAAAGAAGTATTGGAAAAGAGCATGATTTATTAATGTCTTTTTGACAGATTAGGGCCATTGAATGATAACTTGACGTGAAAATCTAACATATTGCTACTTTAAAGCGGAGAACTGATTGGCCCTTGCAGTAGTGATCCATCCTGATTCTTCAATGAGTGTGAAAAAGCTGCTATATTTATTTATCTAAGGACCATTGAGATTAATCATCTAACATAATCTGTTTGTGCTAACTTTCATACATGTGAATACTAATGATGTGAAAACAAACAAGTGGCAAATTAGAACAAGTTAAGACTAGTAATAGCGTTAATCTACTTCCTCCTCTTATCGTTTGAAAATCAGGCACCCCACGCTCAAGTTCAGCTAAATGAGAGCTGTTTCTTTCCAACATACCTGTTTGCAGCTAGAATGAGCTCCATCAGCGGCAGTGTAAGTTGGCCGTTCGCTGCTGTGACCATACCCTCCAGCGGACCATAGACCGCGTCAAATAACTTCCCCCGCAGAGGAGCATGAGCCTGGGACAAGACCTGAGCAATGAGCCTCAGTAACCTTGCCTTCTGCTGGGGATGTTCCTGTTCTTTGGGGAGCAGTGATTCCTTGAGATAGTCACAAATTCCCATCACAAGTGTATTATATTGTGAGCTTGAGGCTGATAGTATGCTGCCATTTTGTGTCATACATGTCTCTTCGGGTGTAAGGTCTTTGCCGTTTGTTATTGGCGGTTCAGGTTGATAAAATAGCAGAATGTGTGCCAACAGTTGATTGGATGAGGAGGCCACAAATAAACTTGGGTCCGTTTGGAGGCGTAAAAGATGCTCCGTTAATTCTAAAATGATAAAAAAGAATAAAAAGAGATGTTATTATATTATCAGTAGAAGTAGCAGTGGAGTAAAGCAACCTTGAAACAAAAAATTCAGTAAATACATGTAGTTACTAAATTGTATGGATGCTTAAATTGTTAATATATTTTGGTTCTATGGTTTTGGGGGTATACCTTATATTATTTACCCATAAATAAAGTATATGTGTAAGGAGCGGGTCTCTCTAATTGATAAGATAGGATAAGCCATTTTTTCATAAGATTGTTTTGGGTGGACAAATTTAATGAATACGTGCTGGTAAGTGAGATAGAGAATAGAGGATAGATGATTGATAATAATATAAACAACTCTCCACAAATTCTTACAGGTGGTTGAGTGGAATGTCATATGTCTTGCCCCCAGGGCAAGACATATGACATTCCACTCAAGCTTATATGACATTCCACTCAAGCCCCACTTAAGTGAAGACCCAGTAGACAGGTAATTTAAAAAATTTATCAATCTGTCCTTCAGGTTACCTGATTGTAGAAATAAGCTCAGAGCCTCTTGGTGCTGCATCATGCTCCTCAAGCCGTGAACCCATCCACTTCTGACAGAAGGATCCTCCCAGAGCCCGGCCTCCTGCCACTGCTTTACATCAAACACTTTAGTCAGATTTGAACGATCCTGTGAAAAACAAACAAACTACCTTGAGCCAATGTCAATCATTTACAGGAGAATACGAGAAAACAGAGAATAAGTTGCACCTGGAGTATGTGAAACCCTTTAACAGTGGCAGCCAGTAGACCAGTGAGTTTTATAGTGAAACAAATGATGGCAGGGTCTGAAGCGTTGTTCTGAGTGACTGCAGGAATGAACTCCAAAAGACATGGGAATGACTCAAGTAGAGATGTGCCTGAAAAAAACAACAATATTTAACAGTATTACACTGTTTTAAATCCTTATCACACCTAGTAATAGTAGGAATTGGTTTTATACATGTTTTTTTTTTTGTTAAACTGGCCTCGTAAACACTGAAAGGGAATCTGAAGGGTATAACGATTGTCCTGATGCACTTGCACTCAGCACTACAGGTCAGAAACATCAAATAAGACTGTTGTTAAAATAAATAATGCAATGGATGTTTTACGTCTCATATCATTACTGCATTAAATATCCAGCAGTGGTGGTCGCTGGCTCTGGTAGCAGATTTAAATGAGAACGGAGAAAAAAAATTACCAGCGTTGGAAAGTTGCGTGAACCAGTCGAGCAGTTTCTCCAGGCTGGTGTCATCGGGCAGACCGACTCCTGAAGCCGACAAGAGCTCACACACCCGGGGCAGTAGGGATAAGCACTCCTGCTCCACAGCACAGCCAGAAGAGCAGTGCATTGTGTTTTATTGAACTGTCATACACTGCACAATGACAACGCATTGACGGGTTAAGTGATGTTCAGGTTGCGGTATAGCCACATAACAAGTGTACAGCCAAGGCTATACTACGGTGATGTTCCGCAGTGCACAGCTCAGGTTATGTTGAGATAATGAAAAGCAGAGCATAGACTGTAGAGATGTGACACCGCGGGAACCGGCGCGTGGCTTCCTTCTTCTCTTCCGTGTTTGTGACCGCGCCGCGGTGTGTGTAAATCTGTAACCACCTGGATAACACCATCAGCGCTAGATCTGGTGGTAAGCGCGCATCCATACCATCTGCACAGGCCTATATTTTCCCACAGCGCCCCCTAGCGCCCGGAAGCAGTTTCCTTTCTGCGTTTCCGTCGCTTCGTCCATTTTCAGGATTTCGCACATGGTGCTGCACCGGCCGCCGCTAGCCGCCCTCTTCATCTGCACCATTGTGCTCCCTTTCAGCGAGAATCCGTGATCGCACTTGTGTTAAATGCGCAGTACGGTGGATATGGTGGACGACCCCGATTATGAAGAGGAGGAACCTTCCTTCAGCGACCCGGAGGACTTTGTGGATGACATCGAGGATGACGGTGAGCCACGGCAGGAAACAGTGCGGCTTCACGGCCTAGTGCGAGCTATGGCTAATGCTAACAGGAGCCACAGCTCTCAGATGCTATCGACTGTTCTCCTCCTGCATTTACTTACGAGTTCAAATGTAATTGCCATAAATACAGTGCCACATGATGTCGGGATTTGTCCATTGTTCTTGTCGCCAACGTTTTGCTGTAGTTTAGTTCGATAGACCTGTGTTAACAGTCAGTCCTTGGCAGACCTGGTATTATTGCCCCTGTATGAACATATGGCCCGAATGTAATGGGAAAGGACTAACTATAGCATTGACATGTCATCATCCTTTAGCTAAATAGATATAATAACAGGCTGTCTTTGTATTGAAAAGTTAGCTGACATTTTCATTCATTAAACGTAAAGACCATTGTTGTCGTTGTAGAGTGAATACATTTTAGAAAGAGATGGCAGCTGTGTAATGCAGATATTATACAGAATTGTGTATGATAATATCACAATAATGACCATATTGTGCAGCCTTTTTAGACAAAACATAAGTAATGCAACTATAACAAGACTGTCACTGATTATTTTAGCAGTAGCAGATGTCTTTGATTAGTCAAATGTTCATTGAGGTTTTTATACACATTTAACCAACTTTAAACACATTAGTGTGAAGTTAACTCATCTCATTAATTAATGCCTAAGTATTTGACAACATGTTTTGGTGTGTGTTCCATCCATCCATCCATGGATGGTTATAGTTGGTAATTCCCAGTAAACATTTGCAATGATTTATAATACAATTAATAGTAAATCACAGTCATTTTACTTGATTGATAAACCATTTTTAGTGACCTTGTTAATGAATTGTGCCACTCCAAAATAAACTTTCCTTGCTTTTACTAAAATCCATTATGGCGTTGTTTTACAGAGCTGCTGGATGACATCCTGAGGGAGAAGCCCCAGGAGGCTGATGGCATTGACTCCATGGTGGTGGTGGACAATGTGCCTCAGGTCGGCCCAGAGAGGCTGGACAAGCTTAAGAACGTCATCCACAAAATCTTCTCCAAGTTCGGCAAGATCACCACAGAGTTCTACCCCGAGGTGGAGGGCACCACTAAAGGGTAATGCTATAGAGATGCAAAAAGTCTTACCTCAAATCTTATTCAAAATGAAGTCATTAATGAAACAGAACATGGGGGATATAACATATAACAACAGTTGACAGTCAAGAAAAGGAAATTATTCAAACGCAGGCAGTTTATCCATGTTTGAGCCAGGAGGATGGAAATGGAAGCCTACAGCTCACATTCTACTGTGACTGGATTAAACCGCAGGGTGTGGAGGAGGATCATGAGAAGATATTACTGTTTTGGTTAAGTCAGGCATGTCAAACTGCTGCTTGTGGGCCAAATCCACCAAATTTTAGTGGTTTCTAAAATGATTTTTTGTTATTATTATTAACTTGCAGCATTAATGGTATGGTAATGGTAAACCGAGGCATGTTATACATCTATTTTATCAGAAAAACAAACAAATTTGAATTTTAATAAAACATTTACCCAATACAATAATATGAAATAATGTGTTTAACGTTATATATTGTTTTTCAGAAAAATCAACGAGAAAATAATAGTAAAAGTCATGTCAAAATACCTTCATAATGTAAAAAAAATGATAAGAAAAGAATAGGATATCCCTTTCTATTATTTTAGCCCCTACTTTTTTTATTCACCGACCAAAATGAGTGACACCTCTGGGTTAAGTGATTGCAACGTAAAATAAGTACTCAGCCTTTTATCTCACTGTAAACAGGCCGCATGTGTGTTGCGCTAACACATGAGCAAGCAGCCAGATCAGACGTTGGTGTGGAGGATGGTGCTTTCGTGCATCTAATTTCAATTCAAATGAACAGGCTACCTGCCATTTTGTTGTCTCCATCTAATTAAGGTTTAGGTATATTTTATTGACATATTTTTTCTCTGCATTTGATCACAGTCAGGGCCAGTGGTCCCAGTCCCCATCTCCAGATATTTATGCTCTTGGTCAAGACTTCCTTTTCCTACGGTGCATGTTCTTGGCTGTGGGAATGACATGAAACAAATCTAGACACTGGAATTGCCATGTAAACTACACACCAAAAGATCCGGTCTAACCAGGGATTGCACCAACAGTCTTCTTGCTGTGAAGTATTAGTGCTACCCTCTATTAGTGGTTAGAAGTAATTGTCATAAATTGAAAATAAAGTGAGACAGACACCATGGGAAAGTTTACTTGGTGGTCCTTATTGAAAAAATAATAATCAAGATACCAAGAAAGTATTAAGCTGTAACGAATCTGTGATTTTTATCATTTCAGGTACATCTTCCTGGAGTATGTGTCTCCCACCCAGGCCATGGAGGCCGTGAAGAACGCAGATGGATACAAACTGGACAAGCAGCATACGTTTAGAGTTAACCTGTTCACTGACTTTGACAAGTGGGTCCACACAGCATTAGAATGTGTTGTGGAGTTGTAACGCCTGGCTAATGTGAATTTACATCCAGGTACATGACTATTAGTGATGAATGGGAGACTCCAGAGAAGCAGCCGTTCAAAGACTTTGTGAGTACAATGGCATTCTTGCTATCCATGAACACATAGATCTGTATTAAAATTGGCTTCAAACTAAAAAAAGATTCACACTGTCGTCAGCTTAATTATAAATTATGCCCTACAGAACCAAAAAAATGATGCGTAACGCCATGCATATGTGAGGGAACTGGGCCCCCCCACGTGTCACGCCAGACCATTCAGTTTCCCTGTGTCTCCCTTGCTGTATTTTTGTGGAGTTTTCACATGCACTTTGATGTTTGAACTGGATTAAATATTCAATGTGATAACTTATGATATTTTGGACCATTTAAACATGCATTGCACATGCTTCTTGTTAAACTAGTGCAGGTTTATTGTGTGTACATATATATTTTTTATTGCACTTTAATGCTGAAGCATAATACTGAAAAATCTGCGCTTTTGTCTATAGGGTAACTAAGGCCTATAAAGAAAGCCTTGGTTTATTGATTTATATCCTTTAAAATCATTAAACCATTTAAAGGATATAAATATGATCAATACAAAATTGCAAATAACAAAACACAAGCAACAAGCAGTCTTCTGACGATTTCACCTGAAAGTTTCGTCTCGAGACACTCCCGCCCCTTCAAAAAACCTTACAGGAGGAATTTTAACTCTGCCACACAACAGCGTGAGACGAGGGCTCACAAAATTACCACACAATTCAGTACATTGCTGAATATATGCGGTGTGATTTGATCATTCTCTAAAGGTGCCATACTTTGCTTTTCTTCATTTTTCACAGTCCATCCTATGCACATGTGTGATAATAATTTGGGTGATGCACCATACAACACTCAAAACTTCTCAAATTATAGCCATTTCGTGCATAGAGGTGATGTCACTTCATGTAAAATGCTTGGATCTGTGCTCCTTTCCCTGTGAGCCCGCCTCCCCCCGCCCGCACGGTGATGTAGCATCATGCTAAATTCTGAGATAAACAAGAGCTTTTTAAGAGTAATTTCACACATGAGAATAAACTTTTCCTACAATGGAAACCCGTCACATAAAGCCCTATGTCGTCAATCCAGTATCAGACCCTAATTATTTAGTTCAGTGACATATGGTGAGTTAGTTGCACTGTACTCACAGACTGAGGCTCCTGTTAACGCCTTTTATGTTGGAAATAACACCAGGTTTCCAGATCAGCTTTTGAGTAGGTCCCGTTTTAAGGTAACTGTAGATCTGGAACAGTCTTTGGTGGTGTCTGTCACTCGCAAAAAATCATCTGCTAGTTTTGTCGCAAATTTCAGACTCCCGGGTACATACGAGGCAGATCCCTGTGAACAAAGTGGATCCCCATTCTTCGCCTTCTGGCCTAATACTTTCGCCACATTTTTACACCAAAAACACCTTTTATTCAAGTTGACATGAAGCTAACACAAAAAACAGTTATTTACAGTCTATGGACCACACACTGGACTCGGAGAGGCTGCATGGGCTGACCATAGACGGACCTGATTCGCTGGTTCAGTTTCTCCCCTTTGTCAATCACCACTTATGGCGCGTTCAGACCAAAAGCTTCAAAAAGCGTCTGACGCGCTTCAACTGACGCCGGGATAGTTTTGTGATTTTGGTGCTTGAAGCTTTTGACGCGAGTGACGCGCCTGACGCCGGTGGGAGGAGCTTCACTGGCTTCACTGTTGTCTGTAGTCAGGACAGCGGTGGATTTTTCAATGAGCGGCGAGCCTTTATTTGTTATATAAAGCAAAATAACGTTGTTGTAGGGCTTCAACAAAACATGTTATGGGTTCACCACAGACTTGAGAGGCTGCAGTGTTTGCAGAGTTCAGTCATTTACTCCAGGAGCTGCGTACGGAGGAGTCTCGCTTTCAGCGGTACTTCCGCATGTCACTCGCCCAGTCTGAGTTCTCAAACCCCGGAGCTCGCCTCTCCCCGGCTCTCGCTCGCCTCTCCCCGCCTCGCTCTCGCCTCTCCCCGGCTCTCGCTCGCCTCTCCCTGCCTCTCCCCGCCTCTCCCTGCCTCTCCCCGGCTCTCCCCGGCTCTCGCTCGCCCCTCGCTCGCCCGGAGCTGCCTTGCTCTGAGCCAGACTCATCGTCAGCCTGTTCTTATTTTAAATAAACTACGTTTACTACACAGCATGTGTACAATGATTTTTGTTACTCAGAACGTTACTACTCATACAAATAATATTACTAATAACAATAATGCCAATAAAACAGCAGCAGCAGATACATGACTTCTCTCCATGACAGAGACAGACCCTCTGCTGCTGCTGCTCCTCGTCTCCTGATTGGTTGAAGCCCGCGTCAAAGCTTCAAAAGCTCAGCTTTGCTCAGCTTCGGTGTCAAAGGGATTGTTTTGATACGCGAGCGTTTCGCGCGTCAAAAGCTTCAAGTGAGCGCGTATTACGCGCAACCTTTGAAGCTTTTGACGCGCGCCAAGTGACGCCGGGCCCCTCGGCTTCACCTGACGCGCTTCACCATTAACTTTCAATGCAAACCTGGCGCTTTTGACGCCGAAGTTAAGTCCGGTGTGAACGCCCCTTTAGAGGCAGGCTTTTGACGTCACAGATTGTAACATGTCACGATTTGAAACTGCTCGTTTCTGAGCCTCTCGAGAATGAAAGAGAAAAATTGCTCTAACTAATGTTTGAGAGAATCAATGAAAAAACTACTCTTGGCATGTGTAGGAAGGCCAAATAACACTATAATGTTTAAACCAGAGAAAAGAGTAGTCTAGTGTAAACAGGAAGAGAAACACGGATCTTGAGGTAGTCTCTGAAGTTAGTATTAGCGTCACCAGTTAAGGCGAGCGTTGTACTACACCGCATTTGGGCTGGCACGGTTTAAAAAAATAAACCCTTCTGACCACAGGCCATCTTCACACCCCTGTGGCGACAATCCAGGTCACTTGGCCTAATTTGTTTGTAAAAACCTATGTGACCATGCCCTAATACTATTTTATTGATCCCCCATTGGAGAAATTTAGGTGTCGACCAGCAGAATCCATTCATACAAATACATGATTCTAAAAAGTTATTTATTTAATAAATTATTTAATTATAAGATGCAAATATATGCCATTTAACATATTATTTTATACGACATAATATAATAGTAATCTTTCTCCTGTTATTATAATTGATAATATAAGAATTTTCTGTTACCAATTGCCAAATGTATCCAAACTGTTCCTGACTCGAGATATTGAGATATTTTTAATAAAATTCTATTAAAACTAAAGTACCAAGCTTTACAAACATTTAAAGTAAATTAGAGTAATGAATTCATATTTTTGTTTCTCAGGGTAACATGCGACACTGGATTGAGGACCCAGATTGTCGTGACCAGTTCAGTGTGATCTACGAAGCTGGAGAAAGAACAGCCATTTTCTCTAATGATGCCAAAGAGTCCATCCTTGTTGAAGAAAGAGCGGTACATATACAAGATCAAACTGATTTTTTTTTTTAACTCTTATATTGTGATATTGTGATTGTGTTTTCTGCTACTGCTTTAGCGCTGGACAGAGACATACGTGCGCTGGTCTCCAAAAGGCACGTACCTGGCCACATTCCATCAGCGTGGCATTGCTCTGTGGGGGGGAGAGAAGTTCAAACAGATCCAGAGGTTCAGCCACCAGGGCGTGTCCCTCATCGATTTCTCGCCTTGTGAGAGGTGAGCCTGTTTGGTCCTCAAGTTGTTTAGAATAGCTGTGAATGCTTATTGATAACTGGTATCAATATCATAATCATATTTATGGTGGTATTGTTTTATTAATCTAGTTGTTTGAACTCTGGTTTGATTGGTACTGAAGAGAAAATACGCCCTTAAACACAAAATTAAATTCAAATACAGCTACAAAATCAAGATATTTTCAAGTGTTTTTTTCTTTTTTTTAGTTTACTTTCAGACCATTTGTGGTCATAATCCATGCCACAAATAATGCAAAATAACAAGTTCAGAATGTCATTCAGACGACTTCGGCTTTGCTCATTTACGTTAACTATGTTTCTCTGAATTGGTCCGTCCTTAATGAAATGAGTCCTTGACAGCTCATTTAAAAATAATCCCACATTAACTCTAACCCTCATTAACCAGACCCCTGCATCTACGGGACTCTAAAAATCTTACCATTGGAGCTTTGACCCATTACTTCATTTACACAGTACAAGCGCCAGTGGGTTCAGCCTCTGTGTGGGTGGAGACACATACATATAAGTGCTTTTTGTGCAGGTATGTTGTGACCTTTAGCCCTCTGATGGACACAAAAGAGGACCCCCAGGCCATCATCATCTGGGACATCCTAACGGGACAGAAGAAGAGGGGCTTCCACTGTGAAAGCTCTGCACACTGGCCCATCTTCAAGTCAGTGGCACAACTCAACAACTTTACTATATATTGTTCACATGCACTTGATTTACAATTACTCTGTGATGTTTCAGATGGAGCCATGACGGAAAATTCTTTGCCAGAATGACCACAGACACACTCAGCATCTATGAAACTCCAGTGAGTGTTTGTGTGTTTTACGTGTGCATTTATTAGTAAAATGAATTGTTTGTTGTATAAGGGGAAAACATTTCTTCTTTCCAGTCAATGGGCCTGCTTGACAAGAAGAGTCTGAAGATTACTGGCATCAAGTAAGTTTGTTGTAATCAGTAGAAACTAGCTGAGTGTATTATGACTTAGAGCTAATCTGCCTTGTGGCTCCTGCAGGGACTTCTCCTGGTCCCCCGGTGACAATATCATCGCTTTCTGGGTCCCCGAGGATAAGGACATCCCAGCCAGAGTGACCCTCATGCAGCTGCCCTCGCGGCAGGAGATCCGAGTGAGGAACCTGTTCAATGTGGTAGACTGTAAGCTGCACTGGCAGAGGAATGGTGACTATCTGTGCGTCAAGGTGGACCGCACACCCAAAGGCACACAGGTCAGTGCACCTCCCCTTTATTCAGACAAACGAACACATATACTCAAATACTAATAAGTGTGGTTTTTATCCCAGGGCGTAGTCACCAACTTTGAAATCTTCCGCATGAGGGAAAAGCAGGTTCCTGTTGATGTTGTTGAGATGAAAGGTTAGTGTGTCAAAATAGGCTCAAGACAATTGTAGCTTAAAGATCTTAAAACGGGTGTGATTTTGGATGTCTGCTTTAAATTATTGTAATTGTAGTAAGTAAAGTTTTGTATCTTTTTACATTTTACATGATTAATAAAGTGAAGATGATTTGCCACCAGATACATAATCCTTAACCACTGCATGATTCATAATCTACCTCCAGTATTTCCTCTTCATTTGATCTTTTATTGTTGGCATTATTTGAGTTGAGTCACCCTTCCCTTGTCGTTTGTCCTTTGCAGAGAGTATCATAGCGTTCGCCTGGGAGCCCAACGGCAGTAAGTTTGCTGTTCTCCATGGAGAGTCTCCTCGAATCAACGCCTCGTTCTACCACGTCAAAAACAACGGCAAGATTGAGCTCACAAGTAAGAATACTCCTCTTTGACATGATGCCTGAAAGACTAGTAACTATAGTAGGATGTTTTGAAGTGAAAACTCTTCATATTGTACTAGTTTTAAATTGGATTATAGGATTACTTTAACTATATTTATGTCACTCTTCTCTCGATGTGATGGTAAGATGTATTTTCCACTCTTTTTCAGAGATGTTTGATAAACAACAGGCCAACAGCATCTTCTGGAGCCCACAAGGACAGTTCATGGTCTTGGCTGGTCTCCGAAGGTTGGTTCAATTTTCTTTGTTTTGTGCATCGCTATCATTAATCAGAAGTCCCTGATGCTCAGAAGGCTGATAAGTGGTCGTGAGCTGGATATGGGTATATGTCACATAAATATAATCTTGTCATACTTTCTGGAGTGTGCTTGCTCCCACCTCAACTGCCACTTGTTGGAGTAAATGAGAGGAATATTGGACATTATTTAGGCCAATAACTTTCCCTGGTATATGACTTTTAAAGTTTCCGATACCCAATATGAACAAAGTATTAACATTGTTATCAGGCAATTGCCGGTTGTCAAGCAGGCAGACTGTTTGAACAGTTTGAATTGTCTGACATAACATAAAATCCTATGTGATTGAAGTTACATGACTTGCATGATCATCTGGTCCTGCAGGCCACAGTTTACAATGAAGTGGTCATCAGTGTGGGTTGAATGTGGTAACTTATGTATGCAAGATGAATTCCCATTTATGTTATTATTTATTTTGTTCCTTGCAGTATGAATGGAGCCCTGGCCTTTGTGGACACGTCGGACTGCACCATGATGAACATAGCCGAGCACTACATGGCCTCAGATGTGGAGTGGGACCCAACGGGCAGATTTCTGGTCACCTCTGTGTCCTGGTGGAGCCACAAGGTATATCAGTTGCATTGAAACTAGGGGTGTCAAAGTAAATGTGTTAACTGATGTCATTTATCAAAACAATTGATGCATTAATCGCATGGTCTGATGCCTCCCAATACTTTGATAAGCTTTGACCGGAGATTTCCCTGAGCAGGAAAACCTTCAAAATCTCAATGCATAGAAAACAAAACTATTTAACCCTATGAACCTGTCTGCACCGGCGCCAATGCATGCGCACATGTTTTACAAATTATCAATTTACTTGATTTGTCTGTGCGATGCACGGAGGATAAACTACGCTTGTCTGAAAGTCCGTGTCCAAAGCGTGACCCGTGAGGTACAGACAGCTGTGAGATACAAACACACGGGGACTGCCAAAGATCGTCAGAGAGTGAGATGTCTCACTCCTCTGTGTTTACTTGTTCTCCCACAGTTGAAACTACAGCTGCGATTGCAATTACCGGCTGAAGAGTGCACATTATTGATAAAGACGATAATAAATACAGTAAAATGACATTATGTGTATATGATGTATATAAATATATGTATTATATAAATAATGTTTTTTTTTTGTCCAAGTTTCTTATGTTTTACGTTTTTTACAGCTGTGCTACAGAAGCAACCCCAGCATTATAGACAAACTGCTTCAGGAAGGAAATCAGGAGTACAGAGTTTTTTGCTTTTATAGTGGAATTTTGTAAAAAGTATAATAGTTTTAGATAAATTTTTTTCCCCCATTATCCCCAAGTCCCTAAATAACATTTATATGCAGTGTAAAAAGTTGTTTATAGCATTTCATTGTGTTTTTTCAATACATTTTTGTTAAATTGATTTTCCGTTTGATTTTTTTCTTTGTCTTCATGATTCCATAATTTTTATATAATTCATATGACAGCTTTACAATATGAATATTCTAAAACCCCAGGTTGTACTGAAAAAAACAAAGTATACTGCTTGACTCTGCATCAAAAGATGACTGTTTTATGAGCAATTTTACACACAAAAAACCAGGCGAGGAAAGTTCCCCAAAATGACCCATGTGCATAGAGGGTTAAACAAAAAAACCCACAAAATTCCGAAAGATCAATAATGTAGATATTTATCTAAAAATGTATTTAATAGTTTTAACTTGTTCGACGATATGACGATTCAAACTATGACTGGTCTCTGTTGTAGGTGGACAATGCATACTGGCTGTGGACCTTCCAGGGCCGTCTCCTTCAGAAGAACAACAAAGACCGCTTCTGTCAGCTGCTGTGGAGACCCCGACCCCCCAGTCTGCTCAGCGCCGAAGAAATCAAGGTTTGAAAGCAAAACTATAACCGGCTACAACATTTCTCCAATCTCCCAATGTCACCGACCCCCTAACATGTCTTATTCCTCCCACAGAATATTAAGAAAGATCTCAAGAAATACTCGAAGATCTTTGAACAGAAGGATCGTCTGAGCCAGTCCAAGGCCTCCAAGGTCTGTCTCAAGATTCTTGTTATGCTGACAATAGCTGTAAGCTAAAGCAACAATATGTCTGTTTTATGAGTAGGAGCTGGTGGACAAGCGCAGGTCAATGATGGAGGACTATCGAAAGTACAGAGAGGCAACACAAGCCACCTACCAGGAACAGAAGACCCTTCGCCTGGAGCTCAGAGGAGGTGATTTGGTGGAATAAATCATGCTATTCTAACCAATTATGAGTAGAAATCAGTCTAATTGTTTTGTCAAAGGATGAGATTTCAACATGGGGAATTCACCATTTCTAATTTATATTAATGAGTGACAAATTGGCAGTATTTGTACTACAATTTTCAGCCACGAGGGGGCACTGATGAATGCAAACAATTGTTTGCTTCCAATGTTGAGAAAAGATTTTTGTTTTTTTCCTTACAATTTTTCCATTGTAAGTTAGGTGGTGGTACTTGATAAAATTACTCTATTGCATGTATTTTTCGGCACATGGGAGTGTTTCAGTCTCCCAGTAAAAAAGAGGCTATTTATTTTCTGAGAAATTGTGAACCGATTTCAGATATTGTCTTTGGAATTTGAAACTGATGTATGAACATCTTAACGAAGAGGTTTAATGTGATAATTTATAGTTTGCTATAATGTTTGGTATTTAGTTTTGATTAAATTACGTTGTGAAATTGTACCTAATAGATTTAATAGATTAAACTTCTCAACCATATAAATGTCTTCTACAACTTAACGGTTACATTTACATTCATACTAACCTTTTATATTACACGGTTCTAAAATCAATAATTTTTGCTTTCAGGTGTTGATACGGATGAGCTGGATAGCAACGTGGACGACTGGGAAGAGGAGACCATTGAATTTTTTATCAACGAAGAAATCATTCCCCTCGGCGATCTGTAGTCCCATACGCAGGTGAGCCGCACTAACAAATACAATCACGTTGATGGCGCTCCACCAAGCTAACTGACCTCTTGTCTTTCAGTCCGTCCGTTGTTGTGTGGAAAAGAGGAGAGGAGTCATTGATTGGAGGGTAACGACCACCACCGTGAATTTTCAAGGTTTGCGGACTTCATCAAAGCGCGCCCGGCGGATCCACAGCCACTTGGGAGGGGCTGACCACAGTCCCTCCGCACCATCAACAGTTTATCTCCCTGAACTTTCGCAAATACTGCCTTGTTTTTCTATTGAATTGGATCCATCGCTCTCTCAATCGGACTTGTTCCCAGTGGGGTTGTCTTTGAACTAGCCCCGCCATGCCAGAGGGAGCCGTGGCTGAACCGGTAGCATTGCTAGTAAACATGCTTATGTGGCGCTATAGTGGCCTGTTTCCTCCTCCTTTCAGACTAGGCTTTCACACAGAGAGGGGGTGCGTTGTGGGAGTAACTTTAATAAGACACAATAAACATTTACAAATGTTATAATGGGCCTTGTCTTGGTGGTTTTTTTCTGTGTTTTGTGGTTGCCAGCTTGTGACTCTGTATCTGTATCTTTCAAGTAGGTCCCCAAAGGCTTTAGAAATGACACATCTAGTTATACAATGAACATTTGATTCATACACAATATGTATTTATTTCATAAGAATTTAACTACCCATCTAAGGCTTTTGCTGTTGAGCAGTACATTTTTCTTGGGGTCTTCCAATGAGACATGCTTGGACATGGCTCCAGGACTGATAGGAGGAGCAGTGACTCCATTTTAAGCTCCCTATCTCTAAGGGAGCGCATTCTCGCCTGTGCGATCAATACCCAAAGTCGATGGACCGGTAAATCCCTCTTCACCACAACGGTCCGGAGCCACCGCATCACTGCAGAAGCTTCACCGATCCGTCAGTCAATCTCACCACATCCTTCCCTCACTCGAGACCAAGACCTGAGAAACTCATCCACATGACCTCTCCTCCACCTGGAGATCAATGTAGAGGAGTTATTTTTTTCCATTTATTGGGTAGGGTCACTCTAGACATGAATCATAATGACATGGAAAATCTTAACCATTTGGAGGAGTCTTTTTTGCTAAACTGCTGTTGCTGTTATTTATGTATTTGCAGCTCACTATGTTTCATTTGTTGTTCAGCTCATAAAGTTACAGCACTGCACAACAGTTTTTTCTGCTGTATATTGTCTCCCAGGAACATGTCCAAAGGATACCTGTTCACAAGAGCTTACAAAGTGACAGTTTGAATTTCTTCTGTTTCAAAATGCTTTCAATAATATAACACTGGTACCTTTGAAAGAAGTCACAAGCGAGGGGTTCTTATTCCATCAGTTCAACTTGATTTGTTTAGACGTGTGTTACAAGTTAATATTTAGAGTCTATGATTACTACACAATTTCAATTGTTGGATATTGTTTATAAAAAAATAGGAATGCCTGTAGAGCATTTATTTTTTGCATTGTTTCCCCTGAACTATAGAGTAAATTAAGTGGTATGAATATTGTATATTGGTTCCCCGTGGTAATACGTTAACTGTATAAGATCCTTTCCTTTCTTAATTTTCTTCAGTAAATGTGGCTTTATTTCAAGGGAGTACTTTGTTTGCTTATCATTGAATTTTTTTTAACAGACCTGGGAAACCTGTTGAACTTGAATTCCGTTAAAGGCACACATCAAGTCAACAGAGCAGACACATAGCAGACATGACAACACTGAAGTAACACAGTCTGCCAGAGGTTAAACTCAAAGACGCTTAACCTATTGACTTGACCTTTTTTAAGATCAAAATGATAACTCGAAGTAAAAACAAACTGCTGTAGACCTGGTGTTGTGTAAATATTTGAATTATGAAAAGAAAGAATTCGGAAATTTCATGAATGCTAAAATATATCTCCTGTTTTTAATATTAGTCCCAGTTGTTCACCTTGTATTTAATCATGGCAATATACAATAATCACTAAAGTTGGCCCTTGAAGTTAAAAGGCTATTTCACATCCCTTTTAATTCTCCCTTCTGTTGAATAATTATGACACAGAAAAAGCCGTTTTAGCTCAAACACTGCTCCACCACTTTCTATTGCACAAAAGCATGCTATTGTTGCGTTTACAGCTGTTTTCCACGTGTTCCAGTCACTTCCAAGGTTTCCTCCCCTTTTGCGCATTCCCCTCTTACAATTGGCTTACCGCACTGTTCGTCACCCCCACGGCCCGCCCCCTCTCTGGACTACGTGACGTCACTTGGTTCCGTCCCAACACGGAAATATGAAGCCGCAACGCGAAAAGTGCCGTTATTATTGTTATGATGGATTGTACGCAGTGATTGTTTTGTTTTGAACATAACTTTTAGATAGTTTTAATGTTTACGTGAAAAACGTTTGTCTCGTTTGGACAAATGGAAACCCTGGCAGGACGAAAAGCGAAAGTTCGAGTCTTGTTGTCATTTGTTGAGTAGTTTTCACGCAGCGTCGGTAAGACCATGAAGAGAGGCGTTTTGGGGATAGTTCTGAGCCTGGCACGTCTTTTTCTGGGTTTGTCTTGGCTGTCATGCAAAGATGGACTCTTAAAAGTAAGTACGACTAACTTTTTAAGAACTTTGTGCTATAGTTACACTGGTATTACCAATGTTTATGCGCGCTCCGTCCCACAAATAGGATCCATCCGCGCGCGTGTGGCTATTTCAGGTGCCCAGTCATGTTGCCATGTTGATCTGGGCAATAATAGCGAGTGCGTGCAAAGTGTGTTGATTTATATTTTCATAATTATTATCGAATGAAATATGAAATAATAATGATGAAAATTGACGGAACCAAAAAATTACATCAATCAATGCTTTGATTTTGCCATCTCCTTTTTAAAATAAGCCTATTCATAATTTGGTTAAAAAGTTCTAACACCTTGAGTAATGACTTGCCATTAACTCATGCAGGAGAACTCAGCTGAAGCACACTGTTCAAATAAGGGAGTGGTAGGTACCTGAAGTCACAGTTTAAGTCTGATAAGGATATCCTGTTGTACACGATGATTACAGCCTAAATCCTGAAGTGAAGTGGGAGGGCTGGTCTGACACACCCACCATACTAGCAGCCAGACACATTACACAGGGTTTACATAAGTAACCATATGAAGAATGGGAGTTTGAATGGTTTCATGTATAAAATGCTTGTCCTTATAGTGTAGGAAGTTAAGCATTGCAATTAAAATGCATCTATCCAAATAATTGCATACACAAATAATGGGAAAAGGACAATAGTGACGAAACATCATGCGACACCTTCTGTCTTTACTTAACAATATGTACTTTTCAACCAGCCACCTGCATGTTCCATGGGAAAAGTATAAAACTTTTACTCTTAACTTATCCATGAAGAGGAAGACGTAGTTTGTCTGTAAAATCCAAAGTACAACATTTCCTCTTCCAGCATGTTCTAATGCATGCACAACATTTGCAACTTTTGTGTAGAGTCAATAACTCATTGAACTTGCATATTACTTTGAAAAGCACTGCGTACGTGGGCTCTGCACACACACTCTCCCCTCCTGTCTGTGTGAAGAGATATGTGATACATGACTCTGGCTGAAGTCCCGTCTCACAGCTGTCTATCCCTGTCCTCTGTCGTTTCCAGGTCAGTGCAGTTACTCTCCCAGAGTCCCTCCTGTTTGTGTCTACACTGGACGGGAACCTTCACGCTGTGTCCAAGCAATCCGGGGACATCAAGTGGACATTAAGAGAAGGTTCATATTAGGAATGTGCAATAATTTGCGTTCATGTTCTTGAATTCTTTGTCAGATAAAGGGCAAGTGAGGAACAAAAGAGTTTTGAAAATGTAAACAAATATAATATGGAAATGTTTTCCAAGACCATTATTTGATTCACAAACCTGCCACATTGTTCATATGTCTGAAATATAATTAGACCATAGTTGATATGTATGAGATAGAATATGTGAACATATATTCCATACCCCCTTCTTCAGAAAATACAGCTGGAAGATGACGTATCAATTCGGAATTACAATGGCTATGGCAAATATTATTATTAGCTTTATAATTTTATACACATTCTACACAAGCTACATTCTCTTATCAACAACAAATGTAAACAATCATGGATATTTTTTAAATAGTACTTAACCATACCATTATCAAGCAAATCTAATAGAAAATAATTATTGTTCCTAATGGACAATGATCTATGCCTATGCATGATGGCCTGAATAAAAACCATATACTGCTTTTTGTAATAAATGCATTTATTTATATCAGATATAGACATATTTTTTGACAAAAAAATATTTTCACCTTCATCTTTTGAAAAGGTTTTTATTACTGACTCACTAAGCACATTTGGACTATACAAACATTGGCTCATCTTGAAAATGGCTATTTCAAACAAAGTGATAAATATGGGGCTGATGTATTTGGTATTTGTAGATACCATGATATCATGAACATAAACATAATTACTCAATAAGATAAATTACCTAAAATGTTTTCTTGGGAAAATAAATGTACTAAATAATTCCTGACATCATTTAGTTTTGTTCAAGGTAAGTACCGTAATCAGATGATTCCTTGTATCAATAATCGTTGAGTGTCAAATATATATTTTCAGACCCTGTCATCCAGGTCCCAGTCTATCTGACCGAGTGAGTAACACACACAAATTCATTTTTGAGTGTAATAATATATTTGATGGTCATGAATATTCATTCCGTCAGTTATACTTTGTCTATAACATTTATGTCTGTCACATGTCAATAACCTCTGTCTTGATTAATTTAGGCCTGGTTTTCTCCCTGACCCGAATGATGGCAGTTTATACATTCTGGGAGGAAAGCATAAAGAAGGGCTGGTTGTGAGTAAATACAGCACACCTTTATTAACGTCTGTATCGGGGCTGGGTGTCTTTCAGAGCCTGCCGATATGAGGCGTGTCTCCACACACATGACACGATGTCATACGGATACAGGAGACGTTCAATTCCATACAATTTTTTTCTTAACAATATGATTAATTATTCAAGCCTTTTGGCCCTTTATCTCACACTCCACAACAAAAATACAACACATTTATATTTAATTTATCGAAAGTTAATTGTTATTAAAGTCAAAATATCAAAACATATATATGTATGATTAAAAAAAAAATTTATAACATGTTTTAAAGACATTTTAAATAAAAAATATTACTGAATAAAATGTGGATATTGTATAGAAATGTTAGAAGATATAGCAACAGTGGCTCAGTTGGTAGAGCATCGGCCTTTGGGCCAGAAGGGCATGGGTTCGGGCCCACCGTAAGACCTACTTCACGACTCCCACTGATGTCTGCTGTCATTGTGTCCTTGGGCAAGACACTTAACCCCACTTTGCCTGAAGCTCCCACTGAAAGATCTCAGCTCCTGTGGACTCACCAGCTGCAGGAGGATCAGTGAGGGGCTGGTGCTATGTGTACTAGGTGCAGCTCTGACTGCCACCCCCCTGACCTAGGTCCCCCCCTTGTAACCGGTTTCCTCTTTTCAGTTTAGATATTATTGTTCTGAATGGAATGTTCCTCTTTTTACTTTGTTTATCCCCAGAACTAGAGGAAGGATTTTAAATTATAACCCTATATTTGAAACAAATAAAAAAACAGTGAAGCAGTGAAATGTGCAGTCAAAAATGTATTTATTCGTGTGTCAGTCCTGATTTTTTCATAACAAAAAACTCAAAATATAACTTCAAATTTGTTATTTGAACACATACGCAAGTTTTAAAAGATGTCGTACCTTTATAAAAATGCCCCTCGTCTTGTGATTTCAGAAACTCCCCTTCACCATTCCAGAGCTGGTGCAGTCGGCTCCTTGTCGAAGTTCAGATGGAATATTATATACAGGTGAATGACAGATGCAGTAAGACAAATAGTGCTTTGATGTTCTTGGAAATATACATACAGATTTCAAGGTTGGTTATGTTAGTTGTGCTTTATCAGCGCTTCTAATCTATATAAATAAATGCTTCCTAAAACATAACACTTGTCACCTCTCCTCTTTCACTACATGACCTAGTTTGACTCCAGCGAATAGTGCCAACTCTTGATATGTTTATGTAAGTACTAGGCAGTCCAAGTTACATAGTCTCACTTTAAATACATTTTTATTAAGTGTGTCATATTTGAAAACAAAGAGCCTTGTAACTGGATCACTCTTGGAAAATATCCCTCTATGGTGTCATAACAACATCAAAATGAAGATGATTATTTACTGCACATCTAATCTGTCATCATTCTAATGGCATAATTGGTAATTCCCTAACGACTCATTGCCCTGCTTTGTTGCTTTTAGTGTTTTGCATTTATTTTGTCAGCGTGCCACCAACAAGACCAAGGTATGTGAGCCTTGGTCTATTGCATCATGACCACTGACTCACAAATTGTACTAGACCAGAGCTCAGCAAACCAGAACCCCTTGGCAGTTGTACTTGGGTTCAGAATCTTCAGTTGAGTCTCAAAAAGAATTAAGTATATGAATAATATTGTGCTGTAGAAGTTAACATGCACTACTACAGATTTTTTGGAGAAAGAATGTTACTCAGCTTGCCATTACAGTCAACTTAGTTTTCTTTTTAAAATTTAAATATGGTCTCTTTGATTCATCTGTGTTAGTGAGGTTACCAATACACACGTCTGACCTGCAACCTAGCTTGGCTGATCTGGAAAACAATAGAGTAAATCCATTATAAAAAAAACAACATTTTACCACTTCCATATCTTTCAAATTCATTATACTTTCCATAGAGTATTACTAACCTCTTTCCCCTCTTACAAAATTTGACCTATTTTCAGCTGGAGTACCTAACCTATGTTTCTTTTATAGATTTGTTTCTTTCCTTCGTCCCAACAGAAAGAGAATGAATGAATGAATGGATCTAGGAACTGGTTACATGGATTGTAATTACCTAGTTATTAGTCTGTGGTTTCAACGTTAGATTCTGCAGCTGTAATTTTGAGTTCTTGAAAAATGTGTCAAAGTGTCTGACTCACTTGACAACTACATAGCAGGGATACCAGCGTCTGAAAATGACTGCAGTAATACATGCTTTTCACATTCCCCATAGTTATAAGCTGAAAAGAAACATGTTCTGTGTTCGTACAGGTAAAAAGCAGGACGTCTGGTTTGTGGTGGATCCAGAGACGGGTGAAAAACAAACCAGCCTGACTACCGGGTCATCTGAGTCCATCTGCCCCAACTCCCCCCTGCTCTACATAGGCAGGACAGGTGCGGGTATAACTTTGTTTAATGCTCCAAAAGAAATGGCAATTGCTATTGTAAATAAAGAAAGAACAATTTTAAGCTCTGAAACTTCACCAGCATGGACCCTTCCCCTACAGTGGAAAAAGAGGAATTCAAACAGATTTTATCATTATTGCTGTAATTAACACTTATTTTGATAATTGATTAATCTAGTGGTAAAATTTAAAAAGTTAATTACATCTTCCTTATGTTTAAGGCTTATAAGGTTCTTTTAATAATGAACTTGAATGAAACTTAAGCCTTAATCTAGTGGTTATTCTTCCGATTGATCCGTTAGTTGTTTAGAACGCAGATACAATATTTTATCCCAGTTTGACTCAGGCAAGGGACAGCACTCATGTAGATTCTAATGTCTAATTTATAGATTTTTTTAACCTAAAAAAGTGCAGTTAACGATCAATTAACTATTGAAATTGTTATTGATTATTGGAAAACACATCAATCATGCATCAACATGTCTTACAAGTGTATTCTAAGAGTGTGCTATTACAGTAGAGTTAAAGATGTTATTGTCCTGTCAACACTAGTGTACATTAAACATAAACGCTGACCTAGTGTTTTTATTACAGAGTATATGGTGACCATGTTTGACACCAAGACGCAGGAGCTGCGGTGGAATGCTACCTACAACGACTACTCTGCTCCGGCTTATGATGAGAAACAGGACTATAGTACGTACACTTTTATCACCACTAATTTTATTTTTCTGGTCAGAGTCATATTTGAACACACCACTACAAATGTGTTATGTTAAGGTAAGCGTAATGTTATGTTAGGAAATAAAGAAGTTGTTTGTGTAAGAAGAAATTAAGAAATTGTTTGCGTTAAAATTGTGTTCAAGAAAACTATTTGTTACAGTATTTCTGATGACAAGAAGAAAAAAAAAGTCTGAATATTTCAAAGAACAGGCCACATATAGATAGATAGATAGATACTTTATTGATCCCCATAGGAGATGGGTGATAGTATACTGTTCAACTGTACTGTCAAATATATGTCAAAAAAGACGGTTACCCACACTAACCAATGTATAAATGCACTTAACAAGACTCCTAACCCTGGTAAAATAATTACATAGACTTAACACAGAGGTCAAACAATTACACTATTTATAACTACTTTAATCTGAATTAAAAAGGTAGATTATTCTTTCAATGTTGATGAAATTACAGTGCCACAATGTAATTGTAAATTGTACAATTGTAAATAAACCATGGGAACCAACCAATGTGAATGTAAAAAATCAGAGACCATTCATTTTGTCAAGAAGTATAAATGAGTGATAAAACTTTGATCACACACATCCATATTTGATTTGAACACGTTCTAGATATGAACAAATCTAGACATAACATTCTCCAGATCTGTATTAGACTATGGGGATTCTATGCTGCAATGTCACACAACAACATTACAACATATAGTTTATTCAAAGAAATTATTATTATTTTTCAAATTCTACATGTTTCAAGATTTACCATTACTAGATTACCATTGGTCTATTTACACTTTGATCAATGTGACCATCTTTAGCACAAGGCTTCTGCTTGGTACAGGACCCAGATAGAAGGGGAAATGTAATGCAAGATAAGGATTTTTCTCTCCTCTCAGATGAAATGAGATGATTACAGTTATTGACTTGTAGTTTGATTTCTAATACATTCGTAACAACAGACCATACTTAACTCTATACATTCTCTAGATGATTATCTGAGGGGGTAGGTAATTGTACTACTCACATAAAGCTCAAGCTAGTGGGGTAACCTTTTGATATAATGTTGCTTCTTAGACAAGGCGAGTTTATTTTTATTGGCACAGTCCATGCACAAGACAACGCAAAGTGCTTGACAAAACAAGAGAAGAAAACAGGGCATTTAAATCATAAATAATCACAGTAGTACATTAAAAAAGATACAATCCTTCAGCATAGCTAAACAAGACTGTTTTCAACCTTGATGTAGGAGACATAACCTATTCGTTAGTGGGTTGTGTTTACTATGGCAATATGTCTCAGTGGCAGGGAGAGGGCAGAAGCCAGGTAGCTGTATTTCTTTGTTGGCTGCACACTTTGTTTGGCAATTTTTGTATCGCAAATTTTGTATCGCACATTCTGGACCACAAGGTTTACATTTTCAGGAAGACTGCTCCAGGGGCCAGCAGGAAGCCAGTCCCTGTATTTTTCATAGTCGGTTCATAAGGCACTAACATGTCACATGTTCTCAGAGAAGGTTTTTGAGTAATATATTTGATAGTGTACTCATACTTGAGTCACTATTGCTACTGCTTGACTCTTTTAGACTTATTCAGAGTTACTATTCCTATCAGTTATTCTCATGTACAGGAGAATATATTATACATTAGTAATTTTAATATTATAATAATATAAGAGAAACAAATTGTGTATGCACATTAAAAAATAAGTTAGAAGCTACTTTACAAGCACAAGTACTGCTCCTCATTTTTATGATTTTTTGATCAAACCCTTTGAAATATACATTTTAAGTGATGTACAATATATGTTACATGATATATATCATGTATATGTTTAAAAAAATAAATAATAATTTGCATTGACTGCAGAATAATGTCTTTGTTGTTCCCAGAAATGGCCCACCTCGTTTCTAGTGGAGATGGACTTGTAGTGACAGTGGACAGAGAGACAGGTAAGGCGAGGTGTGTGAGGGGACAATATCCTGTCACAATCTAATACAATATTTGGGGGGGGGTTTCTTCTTTCTATCGGTCCGCTCCAAAATATAAATAATCTATTTTTTGAGGCTACAGGAGTCTGGTCATGTTCATTCCTATTTGAAAACATAACTGGGACATTTCCCCCACAGTATTTAAAAAAATGCTTCAGGATAAATCATTGACTGCATTTTTAATTTTTGCTTCAGTAGTTACAGTAGGTACAAAAACAAAACAAATGTTACTTATTATTCTTGTATAATTGTTTGTATGTGCCTAAGAAGTGCGTGTGATTTCTCCTCCCTCCAGGAGACGTGCTGTGGAGTCAGAACTACGGCTCCCCTGTGGTGGGTGTGTACCTCTATTCTGGAGACTCGCTAAGACATGCCCCTCACCTGTCCCTCGCCATGGAAACACTGCGCTTCCTAACCTTCTCTGCGAGCGAGCGAGCTGATCCTTACTCCAGCCTCAAGTGGAGCTACCAGTTTGTGAAGGAACAGGCTAGTGCGCAGACCCAGCTTGTGTAAGATCCAAAACTCTGATCTGTCTCTATCTGTTTGTTTTTACATTATAGTTGTGTCAAAGTAGACATAATTATTATCACAGACATAGTCCACTATTTTGAGCTTTTAATGTTGTTACAGCATTGTTCTCATTAAAACAGGGGTTCTTCTTTAGATCCATCCACGCCAATATCTTGAACTCCCTCTTTCCGGCTATGAGCTCCTGTCTCAGTCCTGTATTAGAATGTCACAGTACTACTATGACAACACCCTCAGAGCAGCTTTTTGTCTTTTAAAACAAAAGCATTACCCGTAATTCAGTACTTGTAATTTCTCAGGTGAATTTACGCTCTTTACAACCGCAACAATGCTATGTTTGCAGCTGGTAATTTTAAGATTGGAAAAACGAAAATCTAATTCAACTCATGGGGGCTACAGGCCGAAAGCAATTTTTACCCGTCATACATTGCGTCACATTCTAAAACATGAAACGACAAAATAGATGGTCTGATTATAATTTGAATGGCCAAAAATAAAGCACTATACAAATATTTTAGAACAACCTGTCTTTATGAAACAAATGTACTTTTCTATATTCATTGTTTCCATACTGTTTAACGCCACTTTGCATGCTTTGTGTTCACATTGTGTTCCAATGTACAATTAAACATACCATAGCCATTGTGTATTATCTTCATAACTTGAATCCATACTTTTATAACAACATGTTTTATATATTTCATGTCATGTTTTAAAACAAACCTTTCGGTCTCCAGGCCTACTCTATACGTTGGAAAAATTGACTCTCATCTCTACGCCTCCACCTCTCTTGTCCACCATGGCGTCTCATTAGTGGTGCGTCATGTGCAGGATATAAGTATGAGTATGGATGTGAATATGATTTGTGTATTTGATTTGTTTATCAGCCTCGCGGGCTGACCCTAGCCCGTATAGAGGGTCCTCTGACAGAAGAGGTGACCGTGAGAGAGAGGGGGGAGTGTGAGATAACGCCCTCCACAGATGTGCGCTACCCCCCCGGGAGCACAACCAGCCCCAAGAACCAGTGGCTGCTTATAGGTACTCACACAAACACTCATTCCGTTTTGAACTATTTTGCAACCACGCTTGTTGATCAAGAGTTAAAGTGGCTATAGTGGCTCCCCAAAATCATGTATTATTTTGCGTTCACTTCAGAGTTGTCAGTTAATTTTTGGGGTGTTTTGGTGTTTGTGGTTGTGACGTGAGACAATGCAAAAGTTAAGCTGTAGAGAGACCCTCGCATATCACTGTATATACTGAAGAAGATGACAAAGTCTGGGATCGCGTCTTACATTCAGACAGACATGTTTTATTGTCGATGGTAGAGACAGCACGAACAAAGCACACGATCACAGAAACAATAGAATGCAAGTGTATTATACAGAGCGGAGGCATGGAGTCCTCCAATCAGCAGCTGCCACGGTGCCATGTAGCTTGGCCTTCAGATAGACAAAACAAGGGAAAAGTACTGGCTTCTGCACATTGATAGAATGATGAGTTTAACTTGAACAAAAGTTGCTTAAAAGTGTTATGAAATCTCACATTCCCCCCTCTGGTCATACATTCACGTGTGACCATCAGGATCGATAAACAGCAACATAACATCATAACTCAATACTTCAAAAACTCAAACTCGGTACTTCAAAAAACTCAGAACTCGGAATACTTCAAAAACTCAGAAAACTCATAAAACATGTTCAGATCTTTCATAAAACTTGTCAACAATCTTCAGTAAAATACCAAACTTCATCAGTCGATGGTTCCAGATATTGCTTTGAAAACAGTCTCTCCCACTTCTCCGTGTTGATTTCTTCAGGCTGCATTTGTTGTGTTGAGCCATGAATTCTTCTGTGACGTGTCTTTCAAATCACACGTTTCAGCTTCAGTGTCCAGATTCAGCAATCCAATTCAGTCCAAATTATGTCCAAATTCAGAAATCCAGATTGTTCCAAATGATGTCCAAATTGTGTAATCCAATTTTTCCAAATGGTGTCCATGCAAAAGAGGACGATGGTATTGTTCATGTCTCAGCAGCTCACAGCCTGACTGGAATCAGGGGCTGTGCAGATTGTCCATGTGCTGGTCCAGATGCATTCTCTTGAGGTTTCTCAGTTTTGGCTTTAAAAAAAAAACACTTTTTGTGTAAAAAAAAAAAAGTCTTCTGTTCTCTAGATGTTACAGACAAGGCCCGCATTCTTCCACCACCTGAAGAAGGTGACATGTCTGGGATCGCGTCTTAAATTCAGACAGAAGACATTATTGTCGATGATAGAGACAGCACGAACACGAACACACGATCACAGAAACAATAGAAAAGTGGTGTATATTACAACTAAATGCCCCATTATGAACCATGATTAGGCCTGAGCCCCACTAATTGCTAACAACACCCGAACGATACAATATTTTTGTTGTAGCCACTGACTGCTGATTTTTGGGCTGATCACTGGGCATTTTGTATGCAATGGTGCCATAAATAAAGCTAGATAACTTTATTTACAACTTGACTAGATAAACGAAAAGGGAAACACAATGAAGTATTTTATTTATGTTTCTTTAAAACCCAACCTAAACCTTTGCTTTGCTTCATGCTGAACTGTATGTGTATGTTTGTGTGGCAGGTCACCATGAGCTGCCGCCGCTGGCTCACACCACCATGTTGAGGGACTTTCCCGGAGGCCTGCAGCGCTTTGGAGAGGCAGTGATCCCTCCACAAAAACCTTCCCCAGCCCCACCCTCCTCCTACTATAACCAGCACTATGTAAGTCCTGCAGTGTCAGTATTTTGTATTCACTGGGATTGGTTTGGGATTAGAATTACATTTTGACTTTGAAATATCATGCATTATTTAATTAATTCAGACTATTTACTTTATCATTTCATGTTTTTATATGTCAAATAATATCTTCATGTAATATATTACTACATGTAACTCCAGGTTAGTTTTTAGAATTGTTGGCCATTTTTAGTGAGTGGATTGATAAAAAGGACAAACAATTGATTATTGAAGTCTATCAAGCCTGTGTTGTTTTCAGTATGAGGGCTCTGCCGGCAGCTCCAGAGAGTCTCGTTCACAGAGAGGGTCCGGTCCAGAGGAGAGGCCTGAGAAGACCCCCCCACGAGTGACTGTGCTGCCCGTGTACATGACCCAGGACCACCTCACCCTGGCTGTCCTTACCCTGCTACTGGGGGGGTGGCTGGCCTTCGCCTTCTCCTACCCCATTGTGAGTATTCTTATGGAAGTCCTATTGAGAAACCAACACACACATTATAGTATACCTAGTTTATACATATTTAATCACTATATTTATACATTTTCTTTTTTTCCCTTTGATGTTTGAAAAGGAAAAAGTCTTCAAAGTATTAAACGTTTCAGTCTTTTCAGTCTTTTCAGCCTACTACGTAAATAACACACCTGTAATTAAGAAACGCAATCCTGAAAATGTAACAGAAAAATTACAGCCAACAACTGACATTTAAATTAGAAGTGACAAAATACAACACCTCTTAGACCTTAGGCAAGAGTAAAGCCGAACCAAATATGTGTTTGTCAGATAAGTTGTGTCTTCAAGGTTTCTGTTAAAAGGAAACAGGATGCGTGTTAAGATTGAAGCCTGAGATTTTCAACAGACATAAACAGTGGGCTGAAAATGCAACAAATAACAAATCTGTTTCGGCCTGTTTATTTTGTTTTAGATTAACTTGTGTGAATTCAGAAATGCATTAAAGCTGGACTACGTCACTTTATTATTGTATTATTTAGGAAAATTCAATCCATATCCATGCAGTGCATTGGTATATACGTCCTTTTGAAGAATAAGTTGCGCTGGTTTGTAATGTGTAATGTGGTGTGTAATTTTATTTTAGATCGAGTTTTTGCGCAATTCGAAAGATAATTTATTTCGGGACCAGATTGTGACCAATCACAGAGGACCACTGGCCCATACTTTCTTGAGAAAATCTACAGGTCTCTCGTTAGCGCACACAGACAGCTGAGGTGAACCAGCATCATGTCAGAGGCAAACCTAAACTTCCCGTGTCTTCGTTACTGGTTACTGTTTATACAGCGAAACATCCAAAAGAAATTCCCTACAAGAACGGAGAGAAACCCAGCGTTTGAAGGACCGGGAGAGAGGCACCCGGGAAGCGAGGCTGACGAGACTACTTTTGCACTGGGGCATGCAATCAAATGAGGAACAAAAATACCTGCGACATTTCCATTAGTTTTTTGGCCAAAACAAGAGACGTATCCACATATTATAATAGATCCATGATCCATCCCCGTAAACAACAGCACACGACACGAGTATTTACAGTCTATGCACATGAGTCTTTGCACACGAGCACGCGCATGAGTGGGAGGGGGGTAGTGGGTAGGGGAGCAGAAAGAGCGAGGGCAGCGTGAGTTAGTCCAGCTTTAATAAATGCAAAAAAACAGTTTACCATATATTGCCTGCCACTACATTCTATTACATTCAAACACACACATGTGCTATTGCAATGCAAATTTTCAAGTCAAAAAATATTTTTTCAATTTGTACAAACACTTTTGTTTGTACAAAAGGGCTTTATAAAAACTTACATTCAATACAAGCAGCATTGAACATGGCTACAGTAATACACAAATAACAATATTGTTGTACATAGTTTACAAGCAAATTGCAACAGACTATTTGTCCTTCAAGTTAGATATTATGAATCTAAAATGGACATAGACTTACTGTTAAATGGACACACCTTTCTAAATTCTTTGTCCTGTGTGCACTGTGCAGATATGTATAATATCATAATTAAAGTAGAATAGAATTGTGTTTATGCTGTGTACGTTATCTCAGCGTGCAGCCCAGCAGATGAACGCTCAGAGGCAGATGGACCAGGCCTTTGAGTCCCACCTCCAAAGGATCCAGAGCACTGTCCACACTGTTCCCCTGGGCTCCTCAGAGACAACTATCTCCCCAAAGACCAACCTCTCCACTGGTAAACTTCATTACTTTGGACATAATAGGGTGTAGTCATACCGACTGAATTTGTACAGTTTTAGAAGGATCAGAATTTGTTTCCTTCGAAGGTCCAGGTCTGTTTTAAGCTTTGAATAAAGACAAGTCGTTATGGACTAAGGCCCACCTGAAAAGGTGGTCTCGGCCCGCTTTAAACCCGACACTGCTGCCAAACGTTTCTTGTCTGAATAATCACGATTTTGAACAAACACATGAGCCCTGTCCCATGCCATGCCCCATGTCACTACAGTCTAGCAGCGTTGGAAGTAACTAGTTGCTTTTGTTAAATATTAAAGTGAAATATTTATTATAGAATACAGTAGTGTAACTCATTATCAACATGAAAAGTTGTATTATATTCCGAGTTACAATCAATAACTCAGATTATGATTCCATACTGGGTTATGCATTGTTTTCTCACCATGTGCCATTATTTGAGCCAAGGAACAGGATCATTTAATCAGTTATTTTGTCAGTTAATATCATATCACTTCATCCTCATAAAATGTAGAACTATGCTTTTAGGTCAATGATGAATTGTGGACAGACCATAATACTAAATTTGTGGACAATTATTGATAAGTGATGATAAACTGCCCTAGTAAATATGCAGTAAGGTATTTGGGTCATGGTCAGGTTAAGAGAAACATTTATAATTATTGTTTCTTTTAAACAGCTAAATAATAGGTTTTATCATTATTAAAGTCTGATTCTTTTTGTGCCTTCAGTTTCTCCCCCAGAACCGGGCCCCAGGTCTCGCCACCACTCCAGCTCCACATCAGAAACGGACACAAACACCACCAACCAGAAACCTACGACTAGCAACCACTCCAACAACTCCAACCACAGCAACCAGCTCAATAATAATAATAATGGTTTGTACCATTGTTTCAAGCAGTGTTCTTCCTAACTAGAAAGTTCTCTCTAACTAAAAAGTTATTGGACGTTTTGCAATGGTAATTATTTTGCATCTGTCAAATACATATTTCACGTCTGTCTACGGTAGTTACTTCATTTGTCACGTTCTGTTCTGAAAGACGCCTTTAAAATTAACTAGTTGACAGAGATGATTAAAAAAATGACAGATTGAAGACTGTTTAAATTCTCCGGCTAAACCCCTGTCAATCTTCGTCTTTACATGAACAAGTGCAAGCGGAACAATCTCACACTAAAGTCTGAGAAGGAAATGAAAAGTTTTCTTCTCTGGCATCTACATTTCCAGATATAATTGTGGGTACTTTTTTTGCTAAAAAAAACACAAAGGTTTGTTGTGTAGCTTTTCTGTCAGTTTCAGCTATCTGCTTATTGTGATGGAAATGTTATTGCTTTGCTATTATAAATTTTGCACATATTTTAAAATGCTCTAAAACCTGATTTGTAGTAAAACCGGAGTAATATTAAGTAAGTAATTTGGGGACAGCTAAACCTGTAGCACCAGTGAAATCACATGACATTAGAGCTGCAACTAACGATTATTTTGTAATCGATTAATCTATCGATTATTTTTACGATTAATTGAGTAATCGCTTGGCTGTGAATTGTGTAGAAAACATTTATTTTTTAAGCTAAAGTGGCAACACTCAAGGACGTATTGATGGCGTAAACTTAAAGTAAATGTTTGTAACAGGCTCTTTGTGCTAATTCTGCTATCTGATTGGATGAGACAGACAGATATTCATGAAATTATAAAAACAAAGTCGGTTTTAATCAAAAATACTACATTTTCATGTCATTTTTGCTCTGTTTGAGTCCGTGTGAACCAGAAAACGATTAATCGATTATTAAAATAGTTGTCGACTATTTCAATAATCGATTATTAAAATAGTTGTCGACTATTTCAATAATTGATTAGTCGTCGATTAATCGATTAGTTGTTTCAGCCCTACATGACATTAATAATGTAAGTAATCACAGTGCACATAAACCGCACCAGCTACATTTGTAAATAATTTCTACAAACAAGGCACTTGAATATATGTTACAGTTATATACTGGGGGGGACAGTGGCTCAGTTGGTAGAGCATTGGCCTTTGAGCCTGAAGGTTGTGGGTTCCATCCCCCCACGAGACCTTCTCCACCGACTCCCATTGATGTCTGGTGTTGTTGTGTCAAACTGTTACCGTGACAAGTAGTTAAAGACCTGGGAAAGTCTCTAAATTTAAAGTCTTCCACATACAGGGGGCGACGGTGATGAAGGGGGAGTCCAGGTGGGAAAGATCTCCTTCAGCCAGTCTGATGTCTTGGGACATGGGACAGCAGGCACTTTTGTCTTCAGGTTTGTGCTCTCACACTCTGACCTGGCAGCTCAGTTGTCCTTATTCTCTACATACACCCATTAGGTAAAGCCTACAGCCTGTGCTTCCCGTGTCTTCCTTTGTTTTTCAGAGGTCAGTTTGACGGTCGACATGTGGCCGTGAAGAGAATCCTGCCCGAGTGTCTGGAGGTGGCGGAGCGAGAAGTGCAGCTGCTCAGGGAGTCGGACACGCACCCCAACGTCATCCGCTACTTCTGCACCGAGAGGGATCGCCTCTTTACCTACATCGCCATAGAGCTGTGCACGACCACGCTGCAACAGGTCTGCAAATGCTGCTGTCCACTCAAGCAGTGACACGTTTCAGTAGTACTAAATACACCGATTGTGAATTTTTTGGCCGAGATTGATACCGATGTTTTACATAACAACTTGGCTGATGACATTATACTTCGACATTAGCTTAAAGGTATAAAGGAAGATTTTCCCCAATTTTAGGACAGAACCGCCCTCTCCCTTTTTTAAAATGATGCATATGCACAAAGCTGTACCTGCTCTCGAGAGTAAGAACCTACTAAAACGTGTGCGAGATACGTGCACAAGCCCAGTTCTTCTCGTGGACGCTGACATTGACATTTCCCCGTGATAGGGACTTTACAAGTCACTGTCAGTATTGCTCACACAAGATCACTTTACAGATTTGCAATTTTTACACTATGTCAGACAATATAGATATAGATAACTTTTACTGGAAGTGATTTGAAATGGATTTCTCCAAATAGAATCCAAAACTTTACCTGTCAAGTAGAAACTTTGTGACTGAAGCGGGAAGTCCATCTGTGGGAAGTCCAGCCTGGGCTGTCAGCGCACGCCTTCATGTGAAAGGATCTCCAAAAACACACAGATTGGTAGTTTCTGTCTAGATGATCCACCTGGAAAAAGAAAATCTTCCCATATACCTTTAACAATAGTGAATTAGCTGTGCTTACAACAAAGAACTGTAACCCTGCTAAAGTTCGCTCACCATTATAGCTCTATTTTTACCTTATTTGTCCAGAAAAAGTAGTTATCACATGCTGAGAGCAGTTTTCTGCTTTTTGAAACAAAAATCACAGAAATTTGTTTTGAGAATTTGTAAATGGAAGGACGTTTGTTCTTTTGTGCATCACGCTCTGCTCTGCGTGTTTTGCTATCAGCCTGAGTGAGGCAACGGATGACGTGATTCCTGTGTTTGTCTTTTCAGTATGTAGAAAACCCGTCTGCTTTTCCAGACCTGAGTCCTATCTCCATACTGGAACAGACCATGTGTGGACTCTCACACCTGCACTCCCTCAATATAGGTCTGAATTCTCACTCATGTGTATAATATTTATGTGTTATGTTTTATACTATCCCATGTTTGTTTAACTTACTTACTATTTACTTGTTTTACACACATTTATTTACTACTTTTCTGGTATGTCCAGTTCACCGAGACCTGAAGCCCAGAAACATCCTTTTGTCCGGCCCCAGCGCGGTGGGCCGAGTGCGGGCTCTCATCTCAGACTTTGGCCTGTGTAAGAAGATCCAGGACGGACGTTGCAGCTTCTCTCTGCGTTCGGGCATTCCAGGGACTGAAGGCTGGATCGCCCCAGAGGTCCTCAGAGACACGCCTGGAAATAAACCGGTAAAACATAGCTTGAGCTTGAGTTTCCTCTTGTTCCATTTATTCTCAGTGGTTAACACTCCACCACACGTTGCAGAGTTAAGACACAAAGTTGTGCGAGCGATTTAATGCATGCTTATTAAAGAGTCTTCCAAAAAAGATATTTTGTTGATTTTACCTTTTGTCATGGGTTTTGGACATACTGTACCTGCTTGTCTGAGGCTGCATCTCTAAAATGTGCTTGGGAAAGACACTTCACTCACACTTCCAACTTTGAGTCAGGTGCATTGGTGGTGGTTGGTGGAGGCGGTAACACAGATTGGTAGCTTCTCCTCTGTCAGTTTGTCTGTGAATGAATAATGCTTCATCTATAACAGGGGGGTCAAACTGGTCCTCAAAGGTCTGGTGTGGCTGCAGGTTTTCACTCCAACCAAGCAGGAGCACACCAGACTCCACCCATTTCCTCAAGTCCAGTCTTAACCTAAAAACCTGAGCAAATGGGTGGAGTCTGGTGTGCTCCTGCGTGGTTGAAATGAAACCTTGCGGCCACACCAGCCCTTTCTGGATCCAGTTTCCCCTGATCTATGGTTGCTCTGAGTGTCAAGAAAAGCACATTATTAGTCCTTGAAGCCTTTTAGGTTTTATTCCCTCAGTCAAATTCTCACACTGCGCATGTACAGTATGTTGTAAATGTTGTAACTTGAGCAAGTCGGCGAGAGTACACCTGTTCATGTGACTGTGGTTTAGTTGTCGGTTAAGTCCAGGCATATCTCTGCACCGTAAACACTTTAGTTCATACAATAACCACCATGTAAATTGAATCATTGATAATAATTTTTATTAAACTCCGGCTTTACAATTTATGCTACAGTTTGATATTGATGTCCCTTCATGATTTGGTGTAAGCTCTATTTACCAATGCATCTACATTATTTAACCAATTTCAAAATGTTTATTACCATTTTCAATATAAAATTTCTCATTTCAAACACAAACGTTTGCCAATGTTATAAGAAAAAATATATTTATGCATACCCAGTAATGCAAAGTAACACATCCTAATCACAAATACCTACAACTAGACTATTAACCGGAAGTCAAATAAATATAAATTGGTTTCACTATTTGAAGATTGAAAGGTTATCTGAAAAGACTAAATGTTTTGTTGGGTGCAAAGAACTGTGAGAATATTGTGATTGTATTTGGAGATAGTACTAGAAATTATAAGTCAATTTCTTTGAATCCTTTGCTCATAGACTGCAGCAGTGGATGTGTTCTCCGCGGGCTGTGTCTTCTACTACGTGGTCAGTGGGGGGCAGCACCCGTTCGGAGACGCTCTGAGGCGACAGGTCAACATCTTGTCTGGAGAATACCATCTCGCTCACTTCTCTGAGGAAAAGAACTGTAAGAGCTCACCATTCTGTCAATCAACTCTCCTCATCTCTCCCTCGCTTCCTGAATACATTTAGATCCAGTCTCAGTCCTGTAATAGACATCACACTCAGAGGAGTTTTATAAAAAAGTTTTATAAAAAAGTTATACATTTGTTTTGGTGTTTTTCACATTTGGGAAAAGACCAATTCTTAATTTTTTATTGCCTTAAAAAAGTCAAATTAAATGGTCTCTTTTCATTTTTGAAGGCTTAAAATAATGCATCATATTTCTTCATTACAGATGCAATTTTTTTTAATGAGTTAATGAGTTCCCTCCTGTGGGCCCACCACCCGCAGAGGGGTCCGTGGTGGCGAAGCGGTGCAGAGAGGACTGGGCAGCGGTCGAAGGCGGAGACCTCGGCGACCCAGTCCGCACGCGCAACATCTGGCTCTTGGGACGTGGAACGTCACCTCACTGGGGGGGAAGGAGCCCGAGCTCGTGGGGGAGGTTGAGAGATACCGACTAGAGATAGTCGGCCTCACCTCCACACACAGTTTGGGCTCTGGAACCCAACTCCTTGAGAGGGGTTGGACGCTCCACTTTTCTGGTGTTTCTCGCGGGGAGAGGCGGCGAGTGGGGGTGGCCATACTCATTGCCCCCCATCTCAGCCGCCACGTGTTGGAGTTTGAATGAGAATGAGAGGTGAATGAGAGGGTCGCGTCCCTCCGCCTTCGGGTGGGGGACAAGTCTCTCACTGTTGTGACGGCCTACGGGCCCAACGGCAGTGCAGAGTACCCGGCCTTCTTGGAGTCCTTGGGAGGGGTACTGGACGGTTAACCGACCGGGGACTCCGTTATTCTCCTGGGGGACTTCAACGCCCATGTGGGAAATGCTAGTGACACTTGGAGAGGGGTGAGCGGGAAGAGCGGCCCCCCTGATCTGAACCCGGGCGGTGTTCAGTTGTTGGACTTCTGTGCCAGTCACGGTTTGTCCATCACGAACACCATGTTCGAGCACAAGGGTGTCCACCAGTGCATGTGGCACCAGGACACCCTAGGCCGGAGGTCGATGATCGACTTTGTTGTCGTATCATCTGACCTTCGGCCGCGTGTCTCGGACACTTGGGTAAAGAGAGGGGCGGAGCTGTCAACCGATCACCACCTGGTCGTGAGTTGGATCCGCTGGCAGGGGAAGAAGCCGGTCAGACCTGGCAGACCCAAGCGTATAGTGAGGGTCTGCTGGGAACGTCTCGCTGAGCCCCCTGTCAGACGGACTTTCAACTCACACCTCCGGGAGAGCTTCTCCCAGGTCCCGGCGGAGGAGGGGGATATCAAGTCTGAGTGGACCATGTTCTCTTCCTCTATCGCCAATGCGGCGGCTCGTAGCTGTGGTCGTAAGGTCTCTGGTGCTGGTCCCGGCGGTAACCCCCGGCCCCCCGTCAGGCTGAAGGGGTCCTATCGAGCCATGATGGTTCGTGGGACTCCTGAGGCAGCTGTCCAGTATCGGCTGGCCAAGCGTGCCGCGGCCCGGGCTGTTGCAGAGGCAAAAACCTTGGACTGGGAGGAGTTCGGAGAGTCCATGGAGCATGACTATCGGTCGGCCGCGAAGAGATTCTGGCAAACCGTCCGGCGCCTCAGGAGGGGGAAGCAGTTCTTTGCCAACACCGTGTGTGGTGCGGGTGGAGAGCTGCTGACCTCGACTGGGGATATTGTCGGACGGTGGAAGGAATACTTTGAGGTTCTCCTCAATCCCCCAGTCACGTCCTCCATCCAGGAGGCAGAGGCTGAGGATGTTGGGGCGGATACTTCCATCTCCCTGGCAGAGGTCACCAAGGTGGTTGGCAGCCTCCATGGTGGCAAGGCGCCGGGAGTAGATGAGATCCGTCCTGACAATCTAAAGTCTCTGGATGTTGTGGGACTGTCTTGGCTGACACGTCTCTGCAACATCGCGTGGCGATCGGGGGCGGTGCCAATGGAGTGGCAGACCGGGGTGGTGGTCCCTCTCTACAAGAAGGGGGACCGGAGGGTGTGTTCCAATTATTGTGGGATCACACTCCTCAGCCTCCCCGGTAAGGTCTACTCCAAGGTACTCTAGAGGAGGCTACGGCCGATGGTCGAATCTCGGATTCAGGAGGAGCAGTGTGGTTTTCGTCCCGGTCGCGGAACACTGGACCAGCTCTATACTCTCCATCGGATACTTGAGGGTTCATGGGAGTTCGCCCAACCTGTCCATATGTGCTTTGTGGATTTGGAGAAGGCGTTCGACCGTGTTCCCCGGGGTGTCCTTTGGGGGGTCCTCCGGGAGTATGGGGTCCGGGGTCCTCTATTGAGGGCCGTTTGGTCCCTGTATGACCGGAGTCAGAGCTGTGTTTGCATTGCCGGCAGTAAGTCGGACCTGCTCCCGGTGCATGTTGGCCTCCGCCAGGGCTACCCTTTGTCACCGGTTCTGTTCACTGTATTCATGGACAGAATTTCTAGGCGCAGCCAGGGGCCGGAGGGGGTCCGGTTTGGCGACCACAGGATTTCATCTCTGCTGTTTGCGGACGATGTTGTCCTGTTGGCTCCAACAAACCAGGACCTGCAACATGCACTGGGACGGTTTGCAGCCGAGTGTGAAGCCGCTGGGATGAGAATCAGCACCTCCAAATCTGAGGCCATGGTGCTCGACCGGAAAAGGGTGCCTTGCCCTCTCCGGGTGGGTGGAGAGGTCCTTCCTCAAGTGGAGGAGTTCAAGTATCTCGGGGTCTTGTTCACGAGTGAGGGAAGGATAGAGCGCGAGATTGACAGGCGGATCGGTGCAGCGTGCGCAGTGATGCGGACGCGCCTGGAATGCGGACGTGCCTGGAACACCTCCCTCCCTGGGGAGGTGTTCCAGGCACGTCCCACCGGGAGGAGGCCCCGGGGAAGACCCAGGACACGCTGGAGGGACTATGTCTCTCAGCTAGCCTGGGAACGCCTTGGGGTCCCCCCGGACGAGCTGGAGGAGGTGTGTGTGGATAGGGAAGTCTGGGCGTCTCTGCTTAAACTGCTGCCCCCGGATGAAGCGGAAGAAAATGGATGGAGTTAATTAAAATTCTTATTACTGCATACAAGTTGTATTATAATCCGTAATTTGATTGAAAACTTGAGCTCATTGATTCAGCTTGTGTATGAATTCAGGCCGTAAAAAGGCTGGCTCAGTGGGATGAGAGCGTAGGGGAAATGAGAAGCCTGTGAGCGAGTTGAGGGGCGGTGCTAAACATTCAAACCTTGCAGAAACGGTTATAGCTCCTTTAAGGCACCGTCTATGTTTCCCATGAAGCAGAATGGGCTGTAACTTTGTCTTAGCCATCAAACTTTAGAATAGAATTGTAAATAAATGTAATATTATACATACTATAAGCACCAAACATATGTAATCATATGTAAACGTATTTTGAGCATTGAATTTTCACACAGGGTTATTTCACAATTTTCCTGCTTTTTCCTCACTTAACAAAACCGAAAAAAGAAAAAAAACAATAAAACAAGTGCAGGAAGGTTACTTCGTATTACTCGAGTCTCAATGGGTTCTGGTTTACGTGGTTACATAGCAAATTGCAGAAGAAATGGTTTCATCCAGTCACACCAAACAGGATGAAATTTTACACAAAAGAATTGAATGGGACTAGATGAGCGACCCGGTTTTCACTACTCACTCACTGCTTGGTACACTGCAAAAATTATAAAATATGAGTTAATAATTGCTTGGATCCAGTGGTTTTTATCTTAATTTGAGTACTTTCTGACTGTCTTAAAACACTATTTGCCAACAGGACTAGCCATTTAGTCTTATATCAAGAACTGTCCAAGGAAGACTTCACTTGTATCTTTTAAAAACAATATCATTTTGCTGTCCCATCGGCAAATCTAGTTTTAAGGCACTCAAAATGTATTTTTTCATTCCTTTTTGCAGTTTAATCTTACTCACAGATCACCTTTTTCACCTTTTTGCACCGTCACAGAATGCTATGATTACAAAGCTGTAACGTGTGTTTTCAGGTGATGTGATTGCGCGAGACCTGATTGAGCAGATGATCAGCCCGGACCCCGAGGCACGGCCCTCCACCGCCTGCGTGCTCAAACACCCCTTCTTCTGGACGCCCGAAAAACAGCTGCTTTTCTTTCAGGTATCCACAGCTCTATTCCAGTGGTGCGGGAATATGGACAACGTTGTGTTTGATTTATTTTGGCCTTTCTATATTGTACGTTCATTTTGACTTTTCATGTTTTCATAAAAAAAGATGAAAATATATGGAGTTTCAGACTTACATCAACATCAATATCCAAAAATCCAAACACAATTACAGTTTTTTTTGTTTTTTTTTCAAATGGATCCTCGAGTTCAGTGGTTCTCAAATCCAATTTAATCGATTCCAGTTGATGATTTCCAAGAAAAGAAGTCAGATAGCACAATACATGACCAGCGTGACAGTAATAATTACAGTACTCTCTGGACTAACTGCAGCAGCTACATTTCAGTAGCAGATAGTTGCCTTTGTCCACTTATTGGCCGCACTTGAATAAACAGTAAGCCGCAGGTTTTCATGTTGTAATAACACTTCCAGCAGTCAGATCACGTGACCCCAAATGTATAATAAAGAATTCACAAAAGTTGAAAAGAAGTAGCTTGTAGTGCAGCAAATACTGTTATGCTATTTTGAATGTTGCTGTAGTAGGGGTCACAAGTCAGCATTGTGCTTGTTGTTAAAACTCTCAAAAACTCACAAACCACCTAATTAGTAATCCAATGACAAAATTATAAATGTCTTGCCATGAACCTTTACCAGACTAGTAATATTGACAATAATGCATCGATTTTATATAGCGCTTTTTTGGGCACTTAGAGACGCTTCACATGTGTCATTATTCATTCACTCCATACACGGTGGTGATAAACTACTACTGTAGCCACAGCTGCCCTGGGGCACACTGACAGAAGCGGGTCAGCCAGTATGTGCCTTTGGCCCCTCTGACCACCACCAACCATTCACACACCAGACTCACAAGTGTCTTGCCTAAGGACACAACGGCAGTTTGGCACTTCACAGCCATAAAAAGGTTGATTCTAGCTAGTAAAAAGGCAAAATTCTTCTTTTCTTTTGTATACATCCAAATCATCAAATAGTATTTGCTGAATTTAGTTGATTTTGTATTATTAAGTTTAGTATTTAGAATTGAATTTAGTATTTCCTGTATGTTCAACTTAAATCCGATTGCTGTTTGTGTGCATGTGTAGGACGTAAGTGACCGAATAGAAAAAGAGCCGTCGGACAGCCCCATAGTGGTCAGACTGGAGACTGCAGGACGATCTGTAGTCCGCACCAACTGGAGGATGCACATCTCAGTGCCTCTGCAGACAGGTACACACACACGCAGACACACATACACACACACACACACACACACACATACGCGTTTGCGTGACAAATGAGGACCTATGTCTGCACTGTGACATATCAGGACGTGCCTTTCTGAAGGTCCCAGAGACCTGAGGATCACATAGGGGGGAGCAGGGTGTGATCAGTAACACAGCTAGCTGTTGATATTTTGGTTAAAAGAAACTTTTTTCCCGCATGATTTTATTGCCACATATGAGGACCTTGACAGGTCTGAGTGACATATTAGGAACTACAACAAACACATCTGGTCTGAGTGACATATTAGGACCTATAACACACACATCAGGTCTGAGTGAGATATTAGGACCTACAACACACACATCAGGTCTGAGTGATATATTAGGACCTACAACACACACATCAGGTCTGAGTGAGATATTAGGACCTACAACACACACATCAGGTCTGAGTGAGATATTAGGACCTACAACACACACATCAGGTCTGAGTGAGATATTAGGACCTACAACACACACATCAGGTCTGAGTGAGATATCAGGACCTACAACACACACATTAGGTCTGAGTGAGATATTAGGACCTACAACACACACATCAGGTCTGAGTGAGATATTAGGACCTACAACACACACATCAGGTCTGAGTGAGATATTAGGACCTACAACACACACATCAGGTCTGAGTGAGATATTAGGACCTATAACACACACATCAGGTCTGAGTGAGATATTAGGACCTACAACACACACATCAGGTCTGAGTGAGATATCAGGACCTACAACACACACATCAGGTCTGAGTGAGATATCAGGACCTACAACACACACATCAGGTCTGAGTGAGATATTAGGACCTACAACACACACATCAGGTCTGTAGTGAGATATCAGGACCTGCAACACACACATCAGGTCTGAGTGAGATATTAGGACCTACAACACACACATCAGTTCTGAGTGAGATATTAGGACCTACAACACACACATCAGGTCTGAGTGAGATATTAGGACCTACAACACACACATCAGGTCTGAGTGAGATATTAGGACCTACAACACACACATCAGGTCTGAGTGACATATTAGGACCTACAGTATAACAAGCACTTCAGGTCTGAGTGAAATATTTATCAATCGTTACTCCTTTCCGGAGAGTAACTCTGTAGGTGGACAAATACATTATAACTTTAATGTAGAATTATTTATTTTTATACATGTTTGTAATTTTTGACACCTCACTTTTATATTTGTTTTTGATGTTTTAAATTCTAATTTAAACATGATTTTCCAACTGGAGTTAAGACAATTTTTCAGGGAGATAATCTACTGACACAAGGAGAACATGCAAGCTCCACTCCAAAAGGCCCCTTCTGGCTGAAAGTTTTTTTCTTTTTTTTTTTTTTTACAAACACACACTCACTACTCAAGTATCTTTTTAAATTACCATGAGTCAATATTTTGGCTATTCTACCCACCTCTGGGAATGTATTTAAGTTTGTGACAAAATAGGTGACATATGAGGACAAGTGTGTGTGTGTTAAAAGTGTGTTAAGGTAGTACCGTGCACGACCAGAGAGGCGCTTCAAACTTTTTGGGACGGAGTGTTTTGGCCCCGACACACATTTTCACTATTTGTAGACATTTTGGGACATGCTTGATTTTTGGTGTGGAGCTTGTTCTGGGCCTCTACAACACTGTAGTATGCATGGAAAAATGGGGACCTGAAAAAAGTCCCCACATTTCCTCAGGTCCTGATATTGAAGGTGTGTTATCATACAAAAGTCCTCATATGTCCACAAAACAAACGCACACACACACACACACACACACACACACACACACACACACTTACCCATCATCAATCTGACCTTGTATGTGGTTGGAATGGCACTATGTGTGTATCATGACAAAAATCGACAAACATCTGTCATTTCCCACACACAGTTGCTTTTAACTGTGGTAAAACTCTAAGTATCGAGCAGAGCAATGTGATGACAAACTCTGTAATGCTGTCCACAGACCTGAGACGCTTCAGAACCTACAAAGGAAACTCTGTGAGGGACCTGCTCAGAGCCATGAGGAATAAGGTGAGCAAAAAGACTTTACGTTGGTGTGAATCAAAATTGCAGCTTGTATAAAAAGTGCTTATTTGTCGCACAGAGGATACATTTCAATGCCATCATATATTTTATTGCACTTGAAAAGAACAGCATTATTGTCTGCTGCAGTGTACATTATAAGACTTTTAAAAGACCTTTAAAAGACTATATTTTTAACCTTTAACATGTTTGCACACATCTGTCTTTTCTGACATATTCTGCATGTGCATGTTTTACTTTGACCGTTTTATCCTTATGCAGTTAAAGCAGAGCCGCTACTAAAGAGAACCGTGTTTGTTCCAGAAACATCATTACCACGAGCTGCCACAGGAGGTGCAGGAGACACTGGGCGAGCTGCCAGAAGGCTTTGTGTCATACTTTACCTGCCGCTTCCCACGCTTACTCATGCACACGCACACCGCCATGGGGACTTGTGCGCGAGAGAGGCTCTTCCTGCCCTACTACCTGAACCCGGAGCCATAAACCCGGGGCCCTAAACCTACTCTCTGAACCGCTAACAAAAGACTGCAGAATAGAAAAGCATAGTACAGTTAAAACATTTCACGTATTCTCCGCCAAAATCAGTATGAGGTAAAGCTACTTTCAACACAGCAACATCTACACGAGTTCAATTCTCTTCAATTACAATCATATTCCCCTGATTTGAGTCGATTGCTCTGGTCAAGAAAAATGATCATTAGTGGAACGCTGCTAAATCAGGCAAGTGTGAGCCTTAAGCCACAAGTAGACCGTCTAAAAATTAGGATTCAAAATGATCAAAATCTACCAGCCAGAGTTTGCACAAACATTGTTTTCTCTGGGTTTTAAATATTCTGCCAAACAACACATTTGTGGCAGATTCTAATTCTGAATTGTAATCAAGTCATTTGAACTCATCGAGATTTTGTTTTTTACAGTGAATACATTTTTACATTTACATTATTTCAAGAACAAGAACAATTTCACTTTAGTTTTTTTTGTACATTGCTTTGTTACTGATTCAAAATAAGTTACTGTGATTCGTCATCAGCAGAAACTCAAAAACCAAGTGTCATTTTGATGAACATAAACAGTTTTTATCTTGTGAAGAAAGAGGTTAAAGGACCTAAAATTGTGACTTCAGCTAAAACTGTCCACAGATGAATCATAGATCTTTGACTGGATGGACATCTGGAGTTAAATGAATGAATGGATGAATAATTTAATGTAATTTACAATACAATTCACCATCAAACATCAAACACAATTTTGTGTATGGGCCATTGTTTTTCTTAATAGAATATTTTACTGTTTCTAGATGCAGTATTTCTATGCCATTAACACATTATTTCTTATTTATAGTAAGAATCTATATTTAGAATAATGACCTGAATTCAAGTCAATTTGAAGCAAAGGCAATTGTTTTAAATGTGTTTTTCTCCAGTGCAACTAGTAAAATTCACTGTCATATTGAGAGATCAGCAACGTTTTTAAGAATTTGAAATCACAATTTACCACAAACATAATCTTTTGGTAATCAACGTCAAATGCATTGTATTGTGTGAATGATGTTTACTGAAGTTACTGAAGGTAGCAACACTGGCTCAACAGAAAGCACTAAAACACCGACTACTTCACATATTTTCTCATGGAGAGTTTAGAAATTGAAGGAATACTTTGAACGTTTGACCCAGTTATGTTGTTACATCCACTGCCACCAGGGGGCGCTGCTCCCAGACTTGAATTAAGATTTATTTTTAAATCTGCTGTAGACTGTAAAATACTTTTGTACTTTTTTTTTTTCAGAACGAGTGAAATAAAATAATGAAAACTGTCTAACACTGTCTGTTTCTAAATGCACATCACTACATACAAAGATGTAGTGTATGTTTTCTTGTTTGTAAAACCGCTAGAAACCACTAGAGGGAAACAAGTGTATTATCTATCATTACTGCTCAAATCAGAAAATGGACAAACTAGTTTTTACATATAGTTTATGGGTATTGTTGGGGAGAAGACTAATGTTGAATTCCGTTATTACAGAATTTTGAACTAAATCCCAATCAGAGTACAGTAAATACAATGATTTCGATGATGGGGAGCAGAGGGTTAATTTTTCATCATATGTTATATTTTTTTATTGCTATATTTAGAATTGCATAAAATATACCCGTTTACAGTCCAGTTTCACACATGTTTTTGGCAATTATATGCACTTTGGAACCTATTACTTGATAAAAAAAAAGACTCATTTTCCTGCAGTACTGTGTTGAAAACAATTATGGTTTTCAATATGTATTTTAACATTTAGTTACGTCCCAATATGTATTATAATGTTATTTTGATTCCAATTCATCATGATTGTGTTCAGATTAAACTGTGTAAGTCAGATTTGTGAATAGTTGGGTTTCAGATTACTGTTTCATTTAACATTTTGAGGAGCTCTTTCCCATTCCTAAGAAATAATAATATCTTTTAGGATAGTAGACTGTCATTTTGAACTAAAATGAACAACTATGGCAACGACCCGAATTTCTCACTATTCTGAAACCGATCAATTTTTTTCAAAGAGAAAATATGTATACCAACGTATGTCATCAACATATAGATATTGTGACAACAGCAAATAATATCATGGTAAATAAAAATAAAAACTGCATTCAAACAATCCCTATAATAATAGTCAGTATTCCTGACATGGCGGTGGGGGGTTTCACTTCCTGCTCTTTCCTTTTTGGGAGCGGGACAGGAAGTGGGCTCCAGGAGGAAACATGACCCCCCCCTCCCCCTTCCCCCCTGGTTCTGTCCCAAACTGCACTCAACAACCCAGCAAAAAGACTCAGGCGACTAACGGGAAAGATTAAAGGGACCGTTTGTAGCATAGGTACAATAGGGTTCAGAACGTGCATGTAATGTATTAAGAAAGTCATTTCAATCACACTTTTGCTGCCAGAATGTTTCTGAAAAACTGAAAAAGGATTACTGATGCAATCCACCTGCTGGAGTTCTACAAGAAACGCTGTAAATTGTGTATGACTACTTTCTTTTTTTTCTTTTTATTAAAACTGTTTTCAACTAAATATACTATATATTTGTTAGGTGCACACAGGGGTACTTTTGCACATGTATTCTAGTGTGGTTTTACTGCAAATGACAAATCATGTTAATCTGAATATGAGCTGAAAATACATGTGTGGAGCATATTTAATAGAATATTGTTATAAAAACACCAAAATAACTGGTAACCCAAATGGACATTCTGCTTTCTTATTGGGTCATCTTTTTGAAAAGCTTAAACGTAAGTTGTGCCCATTGTATTTTTTTAAATTAAGAATAACTTCTGTTTTGAAAAGGTCAAATATCGTAAAATGTGTACTTTTACCGTTTATATTTGGACACGTTTCATTGTATATATGATTCCTATCCACACTTTTTGACATGATTTGAACATTTTGAACTCATCAAAACCAAAATGTCATCAGGAATTATAAGGGTATAGATGGTTTAGCTCCTCTGCCAAAGTACACAGTTAAATCCTGTTTTCCAAATAAAACAAATCTTTAAAAATCATAAAAAATCAAGTGCACTTTCCGTGTTTTACTAATACAAATAGCTCTGACATGTTCTCATGTCAAAGCTTGGCCAGAGCCGGGAAAGTTGAGACTTCTGAACGAGTTTGACCCTGAGTAAAAGGTTGTCTAGGCCTGGTGTGTGCCGTATGTATGACTGGGTTTCAGTTTGCATGAGTGTGTATGTGTGTGTGTGTGTGTGTGTGTGTGTGTGTGTGTGTGTGTGTGTGTGTCGGCTCCTTGAACAGTGGAAGTCCTGGTTCCACACGGCCCCTGACACTGAGCACCGTCCTAATGGAGGCTCTATGTTAGCGGAGCGTCTCACAAGAAGTATGATCAATAAACAGCAGCCTCTTCAGACTCCAGACTCTAGCCCTGAAAACAACTGGGAGAGAGTGGAAGATACTTAACTTTTCATATTGTAATGGAATAGGGTTATTTTTTTTCCGAAAGTTGTCCGTGTGAAATAAAATGTCATTTGAAGTTGAAAAATCTACAACGACAAAACAAGACTCGGTACAGTATATGCATGAGTATATTACTCTATAAGGAGACTTTAGTGGGGTGAGGCCAACATTGGTTTTAAAGGTGATGTCTGCCACTTCCGTTGTCTTAAAAAAAAACACGTTTTTGACCACACGACCATATATTAGTATTATCACATAATTTTCAAAATCAATACTTTTGATAGAGTCCCTCTTCTTGGCATAACCACCACCAATAGGATTTGGTGCAGGAAAACGGGTCAATGGCCTGTGTGTCCATGGACTTTTTTTTGGGACTTGCAATTATGCTAAAACTGTGCAAGTGATTACAACAGAATGCAGAAGTTAGGAATTATCCGCTCTATGTTTGGCTTTTCTTTGTCTGATGGCGACATGGCAGATTCTCAGGGGAGCTTCCGTAAGTTGTCTGGGTGCAAAACCAGGAAACGTGTTCGCTCTGGTTGTGTACCAACATTAAAACAAGTCTTCTGCTGAGACACAATCCCAGATCTCCGGATCATCGGTCATTTCATTATATCAAGAATTTAAGTTTGTTCTGTCCAATTAAGAAGCAGATGTGGTGAGAATGGGCGGGTCTAACCAGTGCTGGCTTTGGAAATAAAATAAATATTTGTCACTTGTACCAGACATTCACTTTTGATTTGTTTTTTTATTGCTGTGCACGTGTGTTTCTCTGTGAAAAGAGCACATTGTTTGACACCGCTCATACAAAATTAACCCGAGAGGTGTAGATACAAAAAATACATACAGAAACAGTTATTGGAGAACAATTAACTGTGCCAGACGGATGCAAGAAATAGAATAGAAATAGAAAACAGATTCTCGATTGGATTCAGGTCTGGACTTTGACTTGGCCATTCTAACACCTGGATACGTCTATTTGTGAACCATTCCATTGCAGATTTGGCTTTATGTTTTGGATCATTGTCCTGTTGGAAGATAAATCTCCGTCCCAGTCTCAGGTCTTTTGTAGACTCCAACAGGTTTTCTTCCTGTTGGAGTCTGTATTTGGCTCCATCCATCTTCCCATCAATTTTAGCCATCTTCCCTGTCCCTGCTGAAGAAAAGCAGGCCCAACCCATGATGCTGCCACCACCATGTTTGACAGTGGGGATGGTGTGTTCAGGGTGATGAGCTGTGTTGCTTTTACGCCAAACATATCGTTTAGCATTGTGGCCAAAAAGTTCGATTTTGGTTTCATCTGACCAGAGCACCTTCTTCCACATGTTTGGTGTGTCTCCCAGGTGGCTTGTGGCAAACTTTAAACGAGACTTTTTATGGATATCTTTGAGAAATGGCTTTCTTCTTGCCACTCTTCCATAAAGGCCAGATTTGTGCAGTGCACGACTGATTGTTGTTCTATGGACAGACTCTCCCACCTCAGCTGTAGTTATCTGCAGTTCATCCAGAGTGATCATGGGCCTCTTGGCTGCATCTCTGATCAGTTTTCTCCTTGTTTGAGATGAAAGTTTGGAGGGACGGCCGGGTCTTGGTAGATTTGCAGTGGTCTGATACTCCTTCCATTCCAATATAATTGCTTGCACAGTGCTCCTTGAGATGTTTAAAGCTTGGGAAATCTTTTTGTATCCAAATCTGGCTTTAAACTTCTCCACAACAGTATCTCGGACCTGCCTGGTGTGTTCCTTTGTCTTCATGGTTCTCTCTGCGCTTTAAACAGAACCCTGAGACTATCAAAGAGCAGGTGCATTTATACGGAGACTTGATTACACACAGGTGCATTCTATTTATCATCATCAATCATTTAGGACAACATTGGATCATTCAAAGATCCTCACTGAACTTCTGGAGTGAGTTTGCTGCACTGAAAGTAAAGGGGCCAAATAATATTGCACGCCCCACTTTTCAGTTTTTTATTTGTTAAAAAAGTTTAAATTATCCAATAAATTTCGTTCCACTTCACGATTGTGTCCCACTTGTTGTTGATTCATGACAAAAAATTTAAATTTTATATTTTTATGTTTGAAGCCTGAAATGTGGCGAAATGTTGAAAGGTTCAAGGGGGCCGAATACTTTCGCAAGGCACTGTAAAACCAAGAATTACTGAGAAATTTGCTCCAAACTACAACCACCAGTCTTGACTTTTGACAGTTACCATAGTTACCAGGATTGTAATTCAGCTTCCCTTCACCACAATGTTAAATTATAGGCTCTTTGAAATGTCGTAATGTTGCAATGAGAAAAAAACCCATGTACTTTGTTCAAATTATGTATTCATTTGGATTTCCTGTTACATTAACTTCAATATTTTATATTTATTAGTCTGGCAGCTCTGGAGGATTTTGTGCCCAATCATTGTTCATTTATGTAGAAATGTTCCACCATCATTATAGATCTTGCTGTTTATCTTATTTCATTTGCGCATAAACATAAGTCAAGGTGTGTTGAGGTTAGTTTGACTGTGGCAGTGGCTGATCACGCAAAAAGCCGTTAGATAGAAACTGTTGGAATCCAGTGTTTGATTTGGTTTCTACATCATATGTGACATAAACATTAACTCATTGACTGCCAGCCGTTTTTGATGAATTCACTCATTTTAAAGACCCACAGAATATTATGTGCTATGACTATGTGAAATATTTTTTTCTCTTTTGTTCTCCTGTAATCGCCAGTCGAAAAGAGGGTCTCAGACAAATACGTCAATGGCAGTCAAAGAGTTAAGCAAAATCTACTATGTATTAAAATCATTAAACTTGGCATTAGCGTGATTACTTATGCACTTCTATGAGTAGTATTCTGCAATAAAATCATTTCTGTAAATTCACGGTAAATGCATTTATATCTAGTCTGGAAAATCCTTTTTGCTAATGATTGCATAATTGCTTGTCTAATGGATAATTACTCTTTGCTAATTGGCACTTGCAGCTCCCTTTGGGCCTGTTGTATCTCTGTGGGAAACTGCCATAAATATAAAAGCACAGGCACGCGCTGTCGACTCCATTTGTATCAAAAACAAAGGACTTGTTCTTAACGAAGCAGTGTTAATCTTCCAGCTCTCACTTTGTAGCTGAGGGGCTTCTGAACTTTCACTCCCAACCCCCCCCAATAGATCAGTCCCCGCACACCCAGAGAGTGTTCCGAGAAGGACTGGGCTGGTTCATGCGCTGCCTTTTTGACCTGCTGTTTGTTTACTGCTCTCCCCTGCTCCAGAGCATCCTGCCCCCTGCCCTCAGGGGGACGCCTCTCTGAAGTCTGCAGGACAATATCTGCAAACCAACGGAAAAAGGGTTATGACACAAAAGCTGAAGGGTCTCCATGACGCCGCCGGCCGATTATGTCATAAGAACTTTGGTAAGTAAGCAAGTGAGTGAGTAACAAAGAAATAAATGAAGTGAGTAAGTGAGTCAGTGAGTGAGTGAGTGAGTGAGTACCTAGGTAAGTAAGTGAGTAAGTGAGTGAGTGAGTGTGTATGTAAGTAAGCAAGTAAGTGAGAAAGTAAGTAATTAAATGAGAAAGACAGACAGAAAGAAATAAATAAAGCAAGTAAAGTAAGTAAGTATTACTACATTATCAAACAACAAATCTCTGCTGGAGCAAAGCAGCAGAAGTGACATATAGTAATGTATCAAATATTTATAATAAATATCATTCAAAGTAAAACATGTACACATATTTTATCTCACTACAGGGCAAGGGTTGGGGTTGGCTTGCTTGCTCACGGACAAAAAAAAAACAAGATTTTGGCGTGGAAAAAAGTCATGTGCATGGGTTAAACCAGAGGGATGCTAAGTTGGCTGCCCTTTTTATTTTCATTTTGCCCAATAGCAGAATAACTACAGGCTGTCTTCAACTTAGTAGAAAAAAAAACAAAAAACTATTACCATTTGGTACATGCACAGTTGGCTTAAGATTGTCTGTCAATGGGTGGTCACCATTACATTTTGTATTTTTGCTTTTTATAAGAACAGTGCACATTCATAAACATCTGCCAGATAATAACAGAATTGCTTAATGACATATCGTTCTCGTGGATATAGGAAGGCAACACAACTATACAAATAAAACTAGCCGCGAGACAGTTAAAAAAAAAGTTTCACAGGGTTTATTTCATCCACACTCACTTCTCCATATAAAACAAACTACTGGGTTAGAGAAAACAAAAGTTGAAATATAGCCCTATGAGGTACTAGTTGTCTGTTTGGGCTGAGGGTGGTCCTCTCTTTTTCACTTTAATATCTGAAGGCCAAAAAATACATGTGTGAAAACTTGCAATAGAACCATATACTGCTTTGAGACAAAAAAACTGGATGGATGCTGTTGCAAGTTAACACAACATAATAAATTCTACTTGCAGAAGTTAGCAGTTTAAAGTTTAAACAAAGTCAATGTTTGGGTCTGTTAAGGTTATTAGCATCTGTTTCTTAAACTGGACAGTTTGTTCCCACAGGTAATGTATGAGTGCTTTTACAAACATTTGGTGCGCGCATGACGAGGAGTTTTGAGGAGCGTGACTAATTAAGGAGATAAGAAAATGACTGATGACTTTTTGATTCAGTGGGGAACAGTTGCACAACCAGATCATGCCCTGCAGCATATGATCAGTGGCCAGACCCACTTCATCATGAGCGTCTGGAGCGGTCATGCTTTTTTGTACCATACAACAGCTTTTCAGGACCTTATTGGTTTGACTAAATGTAGTGCCATAGAAGCAGGGCCAAATAGAGGCTACTTTAAAGCTGGAGTTTGGCTGGTGCAAGTTCAGACTATACAAACTAGACTGGTGCACACTGGGTAGTCTTGCATAGTTTTTCCAATGTGATTTTCCTGCATATGGAAAATACATTTTTGAATCTTATAATTGTAAAAAGGTCATTCTAATGAGACAAGAGAGTAAAGAAGCTACTACCCTTACACGGGATGGTGCGATGTCTTTTCTCAGCTGTTACAGCTTTTCTCTATTGCTTAAACACATTTCACGATACTGCCCTCCCTTTTCTCAAAACTCTAAACACAAACCTCTTTTCTAAAGCTACGTACACATAACAACACAGTCTCTTTTCAAAACCAACCCATCACACCAAAATACCTCTCATGGTCTGCAAAAATGTGAACACTATGAGCATCATTAACCACTTCACCAAAACAATTGAAAACACAATTTTCAGAATGTGAGACTGTTCTTTTTATAGTATCACAACTGCCAGGATGCATTTGAGCAACACTTTTTTATTCTCAAATATATTTTTTACTCTAGATTTGTGCGTTTTATGAGAATAGTTAGAAAAAGTAGAAAATGCAGTTATATCACAACTCAATGCAAACATGAGTAACTCCATGGAGGATCCATGACACACAGTAGATACTACAGTACAGTAACAATTGAAAACACAATGTTTAGGGCAGTGCTTCTCAAAATAGTGGGGGGGGGGGGGGGGGGGGGGGGGAGGGAGGGAGTGCCAATAGTAGTGCTCCTCTCTTTGACCTGCTCCTCTCCCTCTTTGACCTGCTCCTCTCCCTCTTTGACCTGCTCCTCTCCCTCTTTGACCTGTTCCTCTCCCTCCTTGACCTGTTCCTCTCCCTCCTTGACCTGTTCCTCTCCCTCCTTGACCTGTTCCTCTCCCTCTTTGACCTGCTCCTCTCCCTCCTTGACCTGCTCCTCTCCCTCCTTGGTCTGCTCCTCTCCCTTCTTGGCCTGCTCCTCTCCTTCTTTGACCTGCTCCTCTCCCTCCTTGACCTGCTCATCTCCCTCTTTGACCTGCTCCTCTCCCTCCTTGACCTGCTCCTCTCCTTCTTTGACCTGGTCCTCTCCCTCCTTGACCTGTTCCTCTCCCTCTTTGACCTGCTCCTCTCCCTCCTTGACCTGCTCCTCTCCCTTCTTGGCCTGCTCCTCTCCCTCCTTGACCTGCTCCTCTCCCTCCTTGGCCTGCTCCTCTCCCTCCTTGACCTGCTCCTCTCCCTCCTTGATCTGTTCCTCTCCCTCCTTGACCTGCTCCTCTCCCTTCTTGGCCTGCTCCTCTCCCTTCTTGGCCTGCTCCTCTCCTTCTTTGACCTGCTCCTCTCCCTCCTTGACCTGCTCCTCTCCCTCTTTGACCAGCTCCTCTCCCTCCTTGACCTGCTCCTCTCCCTCCTTGGTCTGCTCCTCTCCCTCTTTGACCTGCTCCTCTCCCTCCTTGACCTGCTCCTCTCCCTCTTTGACCTGCTCCTCTCGCTCCTTGACCTGCTCCTCTCCCTCTTTGACCTGCTCCTCTCCCTCTTTGACCTGCTCCTCTCCCTCCTTGACCTGCTCCTCTCCCTCCTTGGTCTGCTCCTCTCCCTCCTTGACCTGCTCCTCTCACTCCTTGACCTGCTCCTCTCCCTCCTTGGCCTGCTCCTCTCCCTCCTTGGTCTGCTCCTCTCCCTCCTTGACCTGTTCCTCTCCCTCCTTGGCCTGCTCCTCTCCCTCCTTGACCTGCTAGTCTCCCTCCTTGGTCTGCTCCTCTCCCTCCTTGACCTGTTCCTCTCCCTCCTTGGCCTGCTCCTCTCCCTCCTTGACCTGCTAGTCTCCCTCCTTGGTCTGCTCCTCTCCCTCCTTGACCTGTTCCTCTCCCTCCTTGACCTGCTCCTCTCTCTCCTTGACCTGCTCCTCTCCCTCTTTGACCTGTTCATCTCCCTCCCTGGTCTGCTCCTCTCCCTCCTTGACCTGCTCCTCTCCCTCCTTGGTCTGCTCCTCTCCCTCCTTGACCTGCTCCTCTCCCTTCTTGGCCTGCTCCTCTCCTTCTTTGACCTGCTCCTCTCCCTCCTTGACCTGCTCCTCTCCCTCCTTGACCTGTTCCTCTCCCTCCTTGGCCTGCTCCTCTCCCTCCTTGACCTGCTAGTCTCCCTCCTTGGTCTGCTCCTCTCCCTCCTTGACCTGTTCCTCTCCCTCCTTGGGCTGCTCCTCTCCCTCCTTGACCTGCTAGTCTCCCTCTTTGACCTGCTCCTCTCCCTCCTCCGACACAAACTCCTCTTCTTCTGCCTTGATCATCCATTTTTGTTTGGAACCTGCACTGACTTATAAAGTTGTGGTCACATCATCTGCAGCAGGAGTTTTCAGCTCTGAGTGGTTGTGTTTTCTGAATGACACCAGGTCTGTTCATTGTGTTCAGGTTTTGCTGACAGTGGGAGACATTTTTCATCACATGAGCCTCACAATGATTATAGGAGCAGAGATACATGCAAAAAGTGTTTTAGCAAAGGAAAAATGTGTTTAGAGTTTTGAGAAAAAGGGCATGTGTTTTGTGAACAGTGTCTACAGGAGGATTGTGTTTATGGTTGTGAGAAGTGGGGGGAAGTTTTAATAAATGTGTTTAGGCAATTGGTCATTTGGTTTAGAGTAGAGTAGATGAGATCTGTCAGACTGACCACGCCTAAGTGCGAGCCAAGATGAAGGCCCCCTCGTCTCTGTTCATGGTCCGCTCGCACTGTTTCCTATAATATTTTGTTTATCAATGTCATGTATAGCTTACTTAGATGTCAATTTTTCCAGCGTCACAGAGATATGCACACAACATCAACACATTGAATTGTGTGACTTTAGAAACAACACAAGAAAGGGTGTACTCACAATTTTTATTTGACAAATAATTATATCTGTGTAAAGAGAGATTTTGTCCACTACACAATTAAAGTGTATGATAATTACAAAACAGGAAGTGACATTATGTACCAAAAATATGACAAACTCATAACTTGTACTTGTGTGTGTGTGTGTGTGTGCATTATTTCAAATTATGTTAAATCCAGTTTTAGAAAAATCATGACTTGAACCTGTCATTGGAACTTTAATATATTATTACATTATTTTGATCGCGTCATGCAATGATAAATTATATGCTTAAAAAATTATTACATAGTAGTTCAAAGTAGTGGTCAAATCTACAAGAATGGAGTGATCTCAATCCCAAATCAAGTATTCCCAAGTGTTTTAGGGCCCCAGGATTAGTGACAGTCTCGTGTCATACAGTATGTACAAAAACACAGTGCGTATTACATAAGTGGGAAAGGCAGTGTGGTCTTCTGCACACAGGACATTAGTGAGACACATTTAGGGCAGTTTCAGCTGAAGCGCCAACAATTATAGTCATGCACATTGTCATTTGATCTTTGTTTGAAAAATATTAGTCATTTGTTTATCGGACGTTACTTCCTAGAAATTTGGAGTGAAATCATTATTATAAGAATTTTGAAAACCTCTTTGAAGTTGAACCTTATTAAACTTGGAAGGATATCATACCATGGCGTTTGTCATTGAAGATTTACGACGGAATACAACCTGGTGTGATTAAAAGCATAAAATAAGTTATCATTTTCTTTTAATTTTCAGGATTTCCCCATCTGTCTGACCATCTGCTTAGTAGCATTTGAGTTTGATATTATTTGGTGTAATTTTTGATTTTACAGATTAGAGATTTATTTTACTCAATTCCAAACTGCTTAGTCCGCTATTTGTTAAATAATTGTACTTTTTGATGTTGGCTGATGGCAGACTAGCTCCATAAAATCGAAGGAGTCATAGTGTTATGTATTTGTGATACCCCTGCTTTTGCCTGTCTGTAATGCTCATGAGCAGAAGCTCCACACTTTGAAGAACATAATAAAAAACAAAATAAACACCACATTATCATCGCAGGATTTCATGCACCCACGTGTTTACCACAGCTGTCCCCACAATCTACAAGTCTCTGATATTCCACAGGTTTAGAGTTTTTATTCCACAGTGTAGTTCCTTTAAGTGTCCGCAGGCGGTGTCTGTTTGAGCACAGGGGTCCCTCAGGGCTCCGTCTCAGGACCCGTTATGAGTGGGGTCACTGGAGCATTATGTCTTTCAGGTTCTCCTGCAGGATGGTGTCTTTGACAGCGTGGAACACAAAGCGGATATTCTCCGTATCCACTGCAGTGGTGAAGTGGTGGAACAAGGGCTTCCCTCGGTTTCTCCTCTTTCGACTAAACGACTGCACCAGAAACGCCTGCGAGACACGGAGACCGAAAAAGACATTATTACTTGTAAAGAAAAATATAGAGTTGTATTAACTTAAAGCTTCAAGATTCAATATTAATCTATAGATGGCCCTGGGACCAGAGCGCGGACTGAGACCATGAGCTGATGAGAATCACTTTTAAGAAGAAATGAACCAAAGCAAAAAGAGCAAGCTGCTTTAAACTGCACAAAAGGTCAAAGCAAACCTACTGAAGTTCACGTGCCTAGACTCTTACTCTCTCTAGAATAGACACGAGGGAGTTATCTGGCTGATCAGGCTATCGTTTATTGTCATTTAAGTAACCAATTAGGTCATGGAAACAACGTGATTTCCCCCTAGAGATGACACCTGGTGTCCGTGGAGGTTACTCTAAGTTACTTACAGAGTGTGTTGCGTTAAAACAGAACTTAGATTCAACAAAATATATAAATATAACAATGACATCAAACAGATTTGTACTATATAGCAGCCGTAAGCACTGGTTTCTTCTCACCTGCACGTCCTCCAGCCGGCGCGGGTCTCCTCTGAACTCAGGAAAGTTTTTCCGCACATCCACGATGCGGATCTTGTCTGCAAGCAGGTCTGTCTTGTTGAGGAAGAGGATGATGGACACGTTGAGGAAGAGCTTGTTGTTGACAATGGTCTCGAAGATGTTCATGCTCTCCACCAGCCGGTTTGTGCGCCGGTCCTCCATCAAGACCTGCACACAAACATCCAATCATTCGATGTCAGCGGCATGTGATGGTGATTCTGGCTTCTTCAGCAACATGGTCTTTCCAGGCACGAAAAACATTGAACTGTTCACAATAATTGGAACATTTCGAGACACAGATCTTAACACGGATTTAGGAATTGTATCTTAATATCAAAACAATCTAGCTATTTTTTGTACAATTATGCATACAAGTACAGAGTCTACAAAGATGCAGATTCGTTACTCCAGTCCAGATATAACTCATTATCACATAAGGGACATATTAAAATAGATCCCACACTTTTCAAGTTGGCGCACGTAGAGATTCAAACAGTAGATGTAAAATAATCTAATATACTGTACTAGCTGACCTGATCATACTCTGACGATGAGACCATGAAGAGGATGGATGTGATGCCGTCAAAACACTGGAACCACTTCTGCCTCTGCGACCTCTGACCCCCCACATCCACCATCTTGAAGGGGATCTTCTTGATGAAGAAGTCATGCTCCACAATCCCCTTGGTGGCTTTCCTTGCAAACAGAATGTCCTGCTTATTCGGAATGTAGTTCTGAAAGGAGCACAGGAATGAGGATTAAAACACACAATAGCAAGTCGTCTTCAACAATTCATTTTTGGGATTACCCTTTTTGACAGATAAATCATGAATTCCATTGTATTTTCTTTTTGTTTAGTATTTGTTGTTTGAAATACAGGAATCGCCAGCAGACTTATTCTATGCTTTAACGCAGTGAAACCACGTTCATAACTACATTGGGCTCACATTAACAGTCTGAAAACATTTGAAATGACTTGCATTGGTCAGCGTTGCCACCAGTAAATGGCAAGGCACTATTGTATAGGGTGCTATGTTCTGCACACACGATCGGTTTCAGAATCAAGAGGGGATGAGGACTAATAAAAGATTACATTTTTTTTTTAGGGACATAAGTATTTATCAATGAATTTAAACTATTAAATAATTTTAGAGCTTTATCATAAACTGCTCAGTATACAGACTTGTATGTGTGCTGTGAAATATATCTGTGTTCTTAACGACCCATCGATTTAATCAAAACATAATCGGTAGATGTTTTTAATAATTTACTGGCAATTAATTAATCGTGAGAAAATAGTTGAGTAGTTTTGTTTCAAGGAGAGAGCAGATGACGTATGGGTCAGCCAGTATACGCAAACCCTTAGCTTCCACACAATCTTTTATCAATTCACTCAAAATACAAGAAATAAAACACCCACCAGCTGTCCAATCCGGTCCAAATTATCCAAGAAGTACTTGACTGATTCACTCTGCACAAAAACACAAAAGGGGTTCAATTTTAGACAAGACTATTATCAACACTGACCTGATCATACTCAAACATTTGGATGGAGTTTTGAATCCAAAATCACACTCAGGCAGCGGTGGACCCTCAAGCCCGACAGTGCCTTCTCTGCTGGCCTCGCATCAGGAATATGTTATTTCAATACATTTATTTTTCCACAATTATTTATTAAATGATTCCCCATAGTCTTCACTTTTCATCTCATAATTAAGTTGGTTGCACAGCTATTAGCCCCAGGCCAAGATTTTGAGGGCTGACGTTTATGTTTTTATTATTCAGCCATCATGTGTTGCCAGGGACCAAAATCTGTCTTTTGGCCTTCACAGTGCTGGCAAACGATAGCTTAAAGTGATTAGAACTAACCTGTGGCGTTAACAATCAAGTTGGCTTCCCTGAGCCAGCTAGCAGGCGTACTACATCTGTGCCTACACGTCTTTTGATTGGACGCAACATAGTTTGTTCATTGCTATTCACCCGTTGTCCCATTGTCTGTTTCATGGTACGACGACGGGACCTCTGAGCATGGCCTCCTCCATCTACACCTGCGGACTGCTCCTGCCCGACCCGCCTGGGAGCGCTTCAGTCCCGCACTGGACCTGTCCACGCTCTGCGGCCGCTGCGTGGCTCTGGTCCACGTTCTGTAGCTTAGGTCCTGGATCTATAGCCCGTCCGTCCGTGTGGAGCGGATCCCTTTCTCAATATGTGGGTCTCCCCGAGGTTTCTCACTTTTTTCCCACTGGGTTTTTCTTATGAGTTTTTCCTTGCCGATGCAGGAGGGTCTGTTGGGCAGTTAGTGTCCAACAAAAAGGATGTGGTGATGATCCGGGACACTTTAACATTCTACAACATGTATGGACATTTATCAACATGTGTTCTATATTCTTTATGGGTTTTAACTGTTGATTCTCTGATTTGTGTTGGTGATTTCAATGGTTTTGTTAAGTCCTCTGAGATGACTTCTGTTGTGATTTAGGGCAATACAAGAAAAAATATGTATTGTATTGTATTGTATAGGATAGGGAGAAGGGAGGCACACCTGGCAATATCTCACAGCACAAAGAAGCCCCAAAGGTTTAAAAATATGATTTTGGTTGTGATTATCATGTATTCCTATCATATTATGTCCTGGTGAAAAGTATGTTGGCTAACAACTACCATTGTAGGTGGATTTTTATGAATCCATTTGCAGAAATAAAAACCAGAACATTAGTTTCCTTCAATACATCCTCAGTGTTGTATTCCATGGCCTGCTCCTACACACGGCAACCCCACTCTGAATGTAACAGTTTGACAACTTACTCCAACCCCATACACACTGACATACACTCGCCATACTCCAGTAGACATCCAGTCTGCGGCCAATTTAGCGAACACTGTGCTTATACCGAGTGGTAATGTGGTTTAGGGGCAAAACGCAATTGATTACATAGCTCGGGAGGGCTTTAAGGTTGCTGGGGTAATCACATTTCATAGTTTAGGCAGTAGCGGAAACCAGCAGCGATACGCTCTTTAGCTTGTCCTGGTGACTGGGAAGGAAGAAAGTATGTGTGTGTGTTTGGTTGTGGTGAGCGTTGTGAGAGAAGCGACCGGCTCCTTGCTGTCAGCTTTGAACATGTAGAAGAGCAGATAAGGACTTCAACGAGCGGCGGCTCACGAGCAAAAGAGGGGGATTTTAGTAAACATAGTGAACCAGAGCAGGATAAGTTTTAAGACTGCTGTACAGAGATGCAAGCGTGAAACCCAGCCCGCCAGATCATTTTAGTGCCCTCTAATATACCATCTAAAATAATGATCTATTTTTCATCTAATGAGACAGTAATAAAAAGGTGATATCTGAAACTTCAATTGTATTTCTTTTTTACATAAAACCCTATGGAATATTTTTTTAAGTATTTAAAAAATATATATATTTAACCCTTTAGGCGCCAGAGTTTATTTCCAAAGAGGCTACATTATGACATCTTCATTTCACAATAACTTAAAGTATAATAGAGGCTTTACGTAAATTAGAGTAAGTATATAGATGGCCAAAAGTTTATATAGGAATTAAATGTACTCATCTAATTTGCATATTATGACATCATATGGGCGTGGCAATCGTGGATTTTCAGGAAATATATGAATTTTTTTTCTTACTGACACACACAAATCACTTAGACATGCACAAACACAACACACAAACAGAACTCACACTGTACCACACTCAAGGGTCAGGGTTATAGTAAAAGAGTGTAAATCATTGTGTGGCGGGAAATTAATTTTGACGTTGTTTTAAAAGGTACCACATAAAGTCAACTTAAGTCAACCGTGGCGCTTAGAGGGTTAAATATTCCGTCTCCTTGGAATAAGCATCACTAGTAGATTTGAAGGAGGAGAACAGTTGGACCAATGGTGAGAGACCTCTACTGCAGGTCAAGGATTTTCATCGCATCCAATCAGGAACCTTTTGGGCGCCTGCCTTTCACAATTTGAAAAGTAATTGACTTCCCATCTGTGGTCCTACTGTCAAGCCCAACGCACACCGAAACGCCTTGACGCGCGGCAAAAGAGCCGCCTCCTTTATTTTCTATGAGAGAACGCACACCAAGGTTGCAGTGACGCGCGGCGACGCTGGACCGGGCGCCACGATTCAGTTTTGTTGAATCCAGACGCGGCGCCGCGGCTGAAACTGTCCCTCCAAGCACCCGTAGTTTTCTTCTTCTGCGCTTCTTATCACGTAGCTGTGAGCGCGGTCTCAAATTTACACACTTGTCGGCGCTATTGCTCAAGTAAACCGGTCACAATGGACGAGGAAAGCTTGATAACCCAAGTACAGCGTTACCCAGAGCTAGTTATTAGCCTGTTTAAAAAATGGGTCCAAATAGTCTTTTCTTGTAATATTTGCCAGCATAATTTCACGTAAATACTTTGTTTCCTCCCCCAAAATATTAGTAGAAACTTCCAAACGTCACTCACCCATTTCATCTGCGATCAGCTGGAAAAGGACGCTAGCCAAGGCGTTCCGGTGTAATTTGACACATGTCATGAACGCGCGTCAAATGACGCGCCGCGAGGCGCTGCGTTTCGGTGTGCGGTGAGCTTTACACTGACAAAAACACCCAATCACACTGTGGCAGGGAAGACAGTAGCCCCTGGAGATGCAGACACAGGAGAATATGCAAACTCCACACAGAAAGGGCCCGTCCAATTAAACTCAGACCTGCAGCGACACCATGGTGCCCAGAGCTACGTTATTATAAGGGGTTATTATGGGCTACAGTGGCATGTTATGCATCAAAAACGCAATTAGTAATAGTTGAATGAATAAAATAATTGGCCAATCAGTCTAACTGGTGGGAGAAGAAGAGAGAATAGGACATCAGGAGCTCCAAGGGCAACATGGAGGCACAGTGGTTAGAGCTTGTGTTTCAAGAAGGTCCTGGGTTTGATTCCACCTTCAGGCCTTTCTGTGAGTAGTTTGCAATGTTCTCCCCGTGTCTGCGTAGGTTTCCTTTGGGTGCTCCGGTTTCCCTAACCACAAAAAACATGCACAATAGGTTTGAAGGTAACGATTGGGTGAAAGGATGGTGTTGGTTGGGGCTTTGATGCACCAGTGGGTTCGGCGTCTTGCTTCCGTCATCACCGTACGTGGAGTTTTTTTTGCACTCACATATAAAAAAAACATACAAAAATGTATAAAGTCTAAACATTACAACTATGTCAATGGCAAAAAACACTTTTTTAATGCATTAAAAAAGGGCATTTCATTCAATCCTACAATTATTGATTGTTCAAAGTGTTTTTTGAGAATGATTTTTTGAGGATTTTGCGAATTTATGAATTTATCAGAGTCAACTGAGGGGTGAGTTAGGATCACTCAATCTCTGTACTTTCACGTCTAAGACCTTGGGCCATGTTTGTAGATAGAAATGACAATGGATGACTATTGGAAAAATTTGACTTTTCAAATCCTTGCTGGTTCAGACAAAAGCTAAATGCAGCTGAATGAGTCTTCCTCCCAGTCTGCAGTGAAACTCCTGTTCGACAGGAAGCAGCTGTGAAGAAAAGCAGGAGGGGCAACCTGGAGAGGAGCACTCTGAGAAATGGTAGATCAGGTTTTTTTCAGCACATTCATTTTAGTGTGAACAGTCTAGCAAGGACGTAATGTAAGATCTTCTTTTTCTCCCTTCTAAGTCAAAAAAACCGAGCCCTCAATTTTGGTTAATCCTCATTATAAACACATGCATTGTAATTGAAAGATGCCAATCGTGTGACAGTAATGGCCTGTGTAAACTTGCGCGCCGCTGTGCTTGCAGTGGCCCTTGTGACATCACTTGATGTCACATGACCAACGCAAGACCGCAAGTACCCCCTGCGCTACCACCCATGCACCCTTGGACTTTTCGAACCACGTTATTTACCATTTGACATGATTGTAATATTTATGAAATATCTAACCTCATGCATGCCACTGTCAGCCTATGTCCACTCCCTCATCTCACACCTTCTGTGCTTCCCACTTCTGATCATTTTAAAGTTTAGGAAAGTGAGAACTGTTTGCATACAGTTTGAGAGAAACATAAGTAATTAAAAACATGTAATTCTCTGGGATTGTTGGTACCATAAAGGTGAAACAAAGATTAGTGTCTATAGTTTGTTGATTGAATTTCAATTTAGAATTTTAATGATTGAATTTTAAAATGATTTCCAAAAGTACTTTTGCACATTGTAATGTTTACAAACACAGACTTTAGTTTTGTTTTTCTCAAAAGACCACAACAAGGTAACAGCTGTGAAGTGAAAGCAAAATGACACGTTATTTTTGCCCAAGGGACCCACCTGTGGACACACCACCTGCAGAGGGTCAGTGAGGGGCTGGTGCTATGAGACTTGGGTGGTATCTCTGACTGTCACCCCCCTGACCCAGAAATGGATTAAAGGGTAGAAAATGGATGGATGGATAGATGGACCCACCAGAAAGGTCAGGGATGAAGTTGAGGCAAAGATTAAATTGATGTTAAGTCATACAAAAACTACCCAAGCTTTTATTCTAAAATGGAAAGTGTATGGCACCACTGCAAACTCACTCCAGAGCGAGAAAGAGCCAGCTTTGTAAAATATCTGGTACTTGGTTCAAGCAAATACTGAAAATAAAGTTTTGGTTTAGAAAAAAGGTGGTAATATCCCATTCCTAATCCAATCTATCAAACCTCAGTCTATATGACGTAAGGTACTATCAAGTGCTATTCTCACCAAAAGGAAAATTAATGAATACACGTTTTTGAATAGCTCATAACCATATACAACGTGTGGAGCGCAAACCTTCACATATGATTGAGTTGATACATTAGAAAACTTTATTTTGTCATTGTCAATAAAAAGCAAGAACCCCTTTCAGGTAGACCAAGTTTACAAAGTCTTCCCACCTGTAGCATGCAAGTTTATGACATACACTAGGGCCTTAAACAGGAGTCATGACCCTAGTTTATGTAAGAAAGGTCTCGCAAAACTCTCATGAACTCGTGATCCGAGAGGGAAGACAGGCAAAAGGGCAGCAGAAGGACGGGGGAATTCCCACAGTATACAGATGCACATGTGGGCACCCAGCCACACAGGGCATTAGGACCGGAGCTCTACGGGACAATAGGCACCGAGGCATCCTGGGAAATGTGTAGAGCAGTGTATGTGCTGTCTGAGTGTGAGTAAGGCAGGAGGAATGCATGCATTCATGAGCTGTAAAGAGCAGATTAGGGTCTTTGTGACGACAAAGAGCTCTGGTGTCACAGCGAGTGGACAGGTGCCTGACCACTGGGCAACATGCTGAACTCTACATGAACAACAACCTGAGGAATTGTGTTTTACGTGGACGCAAAGATAAGCAGATTGGACTGCCTGGTCCAACGTGTAGGAGTAGTTTAAAGTGTGTGGGAAGCCAGGCAGATAGACTTGTTGCTGCATGCTCCAATAAAGTGAAATTTCACTGTGCACAAATAGGGCTTCTGAACTCCTATGGTCCAATACAAACTCCATCAGTTTTTGTTTTGTGATTGGAAAAATTTAAAAAGAGAAAAACAAAAATCACAATGCAATACCTGCGTGTCGGATTCACTTGCAGATAAGCTTGTAAGATGCAAAGGATTTCTATTTAAGGAATATTTACTGTCTCAAGGAACAAGGTGGCAAGGGTTTAGTTGTAATACACATGCTTCAATCACACAGCAACAAGAAAATCAGCCTAAGAAAGGGTAAACAACATAAGAGTTGTCATATAACAGGGGTGTCCAAACTTTGTATTAAGAGGGCTACTTTAGTTCATCAGACTTGACCTGTGGCCGAACACATGGATTTAAAAAAACGGGATTGGAGCTGGATTGACTAGATTTTGGTAATTTAAAATGGGTTATGATACGTCCTTATAGATTCACACCACTGCTGCATTTTATTTGAAATGTTGGGACACAATCATAAAACAAATATTAAGTATATAACAATAGTCAACAACTGAGTTGCACAGGCTCTGAGCTTTACAACAAGGTATAGCACGACTCTATTGGTGGAGCTGAAGTTGGTTGGATGACACAATGGTGACTTTGTATAAGCATTTAAAATGGCACAAAGGGCCGCAATTGGCCCGCGGGCCTGAGTTTGGACATGCCTATCATATTTGATAAATACAAAAATCATATGTAATGATGAGTAATTTCCTAACTTGCTAATGTCTTTGAGAGAGGGTAAAATCAAGACTGCACTGCCGGGGTGCATGACCTGGATTCTCCTAAAAACAGATAAGGGACTGGAGTGCAGGAGTCCACTTATCTCCAAAGCATGTGAGTCCAAGGTTATTGAAGCTTTCTGGACTTTTGAAAGAGAATCATGTGGTTATAATGATTTGGTGTGCATGTGATTGAAATCTGAATATAATCAATAACAATAATAAGGGTTAGATTCTCTTTGATGCAGTCATTACTCAACAAAGTGTGAAGATAAAATATTATCAACCTTTTAGCTTTGATAAATACCATTAAGACTTTTGTGGACTTTGTTCACTCTATTACTGTTTTCACACACAAAGCCAAAAACAATGTGGAATATTATTTGCCTGATATATTTTTCAGATGGAAGTTGTTTGGGGGATGCACTATGGATTCAGCAGAGGTTGTCAAACACAACATGTGGATGGAGTATGATCTGGACAGACAGCACCACGCAGCTGCTGTGTGTGTGCGTGTGCACGTGTGAAAATCCCTGAGACAGCAGCATTCCTTTGCTACAAGAGCTAGCCTTCCAAAAGCATGTGACAATGTAAAACAATATATCATGCATCAAATTTAGAGCACGTGTCTGTCTTCATTTTTGGCCATTTCAATCAAAAGTCAGTTTATGATCGAATAGAAGCAATATTGTATTATTACTGTATTACATTAAATTATAGTATTGTATAAAACCCATGCTTTATGCAATAATATTTAGTCCCTAAGGTGACACCATGGGACTACAGTAAGGGCATGGACATGGGTAAGGCTGTGATGACGTGTGAATCACACACATACACAAAACACCCCCAGTAATAGACCCTGTCTACTGCCCAGAGGCCACAGCTTCGTCAATATCTCTAATAGCAAGACCTTTATTATTTACAACAGGATATCTGAAAACTTAGAACCATGTTTCCTGTGTGCAATTTACTGTAATCACTATTCTACTGATGGCCTTAAGTACATTGCCTGTTGTGTTTACCATTAGCAGATGACGGCCAATGGTTACGCCTTAGCACTTTATTCTGCATTCTGCTTGAGTCGGAACTTTATCTGTAAATATTACATTCAGTAATTAGCATGTATTGCTATGTATTTTGTTTGTTTAATCATCTTTCCAAATTATGAATGAAATAACCTCACTAATAGCGTGGCAATAATTGAAGCCTTTATATTTAATCACAGTTAGTTCATAAGCCAAGGAACTACAAGCAGGAGGATAATCGCAATATAAACAACTACTGCACATGGAGAGGGTGTTTTACTTTTGATATTTAAACAGCTAATACACAGAAATGCTTCTGATTGATAAGTATTGATATTTGAAGCATACATATTGTCAGAACCACTTAAGCCAAACTCGGGCTGCTCTTCTGTGTCCTGTGCAGCGGCAGCCCACAGCCTTTATCACAGCGATAGGCCCAGGCAGTCCCCCTGCACTCACTCTGAAGGGCCTTGTATCTGCGCACACACGTCACAGAAACACAGCCAGGGCCAGGGGTCAGGCTTAAACTCTGCACACACTCCCACTGCTGTCTCACTTCCTCTAATGGCCAAATGAAACAGCTGCCTCAGCCAATATACAGCCAGCGGACACAGCATTGCGGCTAATGCCAATGGACTGGAGGCTTAAACCAAAGCAAATGTCTGCTGACCACGTCGCCTCACAGCCAGAAACAGTTAGCGCTAAACATGTCTGAAGTGAAAAGGCAGATGTTTAGAGGACTACTACTACAACAGTAAAGGTGATCAGATTACAGCTCTGACTCCGACTCAAATCCCACTGAAGGAAAGGAGAACCAGATTGAGATGAACAGTGTTTAAATACAGATATCATTCTGGACTTTCGTGGCAAATAAATTATAATCTGGTGTAGCAAAATATTATGCAGTTTAAAATCACATTTTGCTAGTTTAATTACTGGTCAACCGCCCCAAACATCTGCAGCGTTCTGCCAAAATTAACGTTATGGGGAAACCTTCTGCCCAATTTTCCGCATGGAAGTTGAAGTTGGCTTATGTCAGGTTTAACTACAACGACCACCTGGCAACTGCACAAGTAAGTAAGGCACAAACTGGTGTTATCCCCAAAAATAAAGCCTGGTATTATTATTAGTATTATTAGTTCTTGGTATTGAAAAAGGTGCATGTAACAGACAGCATAAACAGTGAAGGATGAAGTGTGTGTGTGTGTGTGTGTGTGTGTGTGTGTGTGCAGTCCTCACCAGTTGGAACTCAGAGCGTCTGCAGTAGGCCTCTTGTATCCCGGTGTCAGCCCATAGCGCGCTCAGAGCCATCACGTACAGCTGGAACTCTCCAGGCTCCACCCCTGTGGTGCCCACGCGGCCTTCCCACGACATCACAAGCATGCCCTGCTTCTCATTCTCACACCTCTGCCAACTGATGCCCAGCTTGTCCCTGGCGTCCACCAGCACCCGCATGCCCTGAGGCGGAAGAGAGGGAGAGGAATGTTAGCGCTCGTTTCAAATTTCACCCTTTGTTTTGCCATAACAAAGTCGAATGGAGTCTCTGGATTTGTCACAAATGAGAGTCCTCAGATTGGAGGATGCACATCAGTTTGGGCCAAGATACTGGGGATGTAGGTCAATTCGTTGATTAATCCATTGATAAGTGTCCATCGCACTAGAGCAACTAGTTTTCTTTTGTCAGACATGGCCTGTCAATGTCTGACAATATCACTTCTATAAGTTATTGCAATGAACAATATTAGAACTACTAAATGCCATAATGATGCAAAAATATCAAAGCAGGATTATTGTTAAAAAGCATGCAATAAAAAATAAAAGGAAGTATTATTAAGGTACAAATCCTCTCCCTTACTGCAAAGAAAATGTACAGGAGATAAATATTGAGGCTCATAACATATTGTTGACAGGCATATGTCAGACCACCGTCTGGTTGATTGTCACAACATTACATGACTGAGGATGACTGCAGCAGCAGTCCAAACATGTCATACTATGACAACAAACAAACACCGGTTTGATCGATTGAGGTGAAAGATCACTCTTTCTGTTACTTTTCCTAAATTAATTATTAGGTATAACGGCATAGTGCTTACATTTAGTGTGGGCAGTGGGCACCATTTATTTTAAGGCAAAAATGTCCATACAAAGCTTATTACTATTTCAGCTCCAACCCCTCATGTCAGGTACCGACACCCTCATCTATCCAAACGCTTCTTTTTCAGACTGATTTAGATGATTCCTCAAACTACAGTGATAGGACAATCCATTTTATACCTTTTTAAAATGTACTTGGGAACTTTTCCAGTCAAACAACAGTCCCTACAACTACATGTCCTAAATTAAACAGTGCAAAAAAGTTAGCTGATTAATTAAAAAAGCAGAATACAATTTCTCACTTATACCTGTAGAGGTAAAAGTGGCAACAGTGGCTCAGTTGGTTGAGTATTGGCCTTTGGACCTAAAGATCATGGGTTCGAGCCCACTGTAAGACCTACTTTACAACTCCCACTGATGTCTGCTGTCGTTGTGTCCTTGGGCAAGACAATTAACCTCCCTTTGCCTGAAGCCCCCGCTGAAAAGATCTCAGCTCCTGTGGACTCACCCCCTGCAGGAGGATCAGTGAGGGGCTGGTGCTTAGTGTACTGGGTGCAGCTCTGACTGCCATCCCCCGACCCAGAAATGGATTAAGGGGAAGAAAATGGATGGATGGACCTCTATGGTAGAAGACCAATATTGTTCATATTGTTCATCTGCTGAACATAAATTCTTTTGCATTTTAAAATATCATGTTTGGGCACAGTGGCTGAGTGAATAGCACTCTTGCTTCTCAGAAAGAAGGTGCTGGGTTCGAATCCCAGTCGGAACAGGGCCTTTTTGAGTGGATTTTGCATGTTCTCCCCGTGTCTGCGCAAGTTTCCTCCGGGTACTCCGGTTTACCATACCACTAAAACATGTACAATAGGTCTGCACCTCCTGTACTGGCAACCCCGCTCCCATCTCTGTGTGGAGTGAGAGGACAAATGCCCACAACAATTGTAAACCACTTTGTGATTCCGGTCTGAGAAAGTAATCTTTATTTATATACCACCTTACCTACTTAAAAACTAGCTAGCATGTCTGTCACGCAATAACTTCACTGACTTCCTCCACCAACACCTGCGTTCCCAACAAGGGTTGATACACTCCAAGGCATTGACAAAAATATTATTTTTTTCAAATCTATTAGCTTTTAAGCATCCAACAACCCTTGAGTTGTCTTTAGACCCATCCACGCTAATATCAGGAACTACAACATCAATATCAGGAACTAAAAGCTCGTGTCTATCTTTTTGTACCACAATGACATCACACTCACAGTATTGCCAGTGAGGTTTTTTTTGGTCCATTTTCTAGGTGAATTTATATACTTAATACTCACATGGATGTGTTTGCAGCCAGTAATTTTAAAATGTTTAAAATGAAACAAAATATTAATAATAACAGAAAATAGTCAAATTGTAATTTTTAAAGGCAAAAATAATGTGCAATATTTCCTCTTTAAGTACGACAATTCACCGACTTTTTAACTACAGTATTCAAAGCTTCAATCACGGGTCCATCTGTAAGAAGTTGAAATTAAAGCTTGTTGAGAACAGTGTAATGGGTGTTGATAATAGCCTTGAAATCCATTAACATGCATAATTCATAGACTATATGTGAGGTAACTGGTATTTCAGGTCAATCTTTAGTGTATCATGTTATGCGACACATGAACCGCTGTGAGCTCTAGTAAACACAGCTCTGGCGCGGAGCTTATGGGCCTGTTTGAAGAGAAACATGTGCAGTGATCTCTCTGGGAGGTCGGATTCTCACTGATTAGACAAACCAACACCGCGCACAGCTGTCAGTCTACATTTTATTATTTCTTCTTATTAACTCTAACATCTGGGGCACAGTGGAGTAACTGAAGTTGTTTACATGTGAAGTTTTACTGTTTTGCTCGATGTAGTTTTATATATTGCAGATACAGAAGCCAAAATGTGCCAATGCTGGCTGACGGATGCAACTGGGCATTGAATTAGAGCAATTCAAGGTTAACTGTTCAACTAATATACAGTGCTCGAGGTAAAAAAAAAAAAGTGCACAGCAAATGTAGAATGCTATATGACGATCCCACCTTTAGGTAAATCTTGATATTGACACTCAGAATAATAGGCCTACTTTATATGGATAGAGCATATATGAATGTATGAGATATAGATAACTTTATTTGCAGACTCAAAGTCCAGATCAACACAGACAAAAAAAACCCCCACAAAATAAAATAACAGACAATAAGAACCTCTAAACTTTCAAGAGGCAGTCATACCAATGTTTCCAAAGCAGCGACGTGTAAAAAGCTGCACACAACACGGGACAATAAAATAATCACTGCATTTTTTGAATTGTTCAAGCGACACATTACTACCTTGCTTCCCTTCGTAACCACATTTTAGTTACACGGATACTTTTGACCAATATGGACATGCTATCTGCCATCTACTCGCCAATTGAAATCGATTCCATGAGGTTGCAATATTGATTCTGGCCCAATGATTTGGCAACTCAATTTAGGCCTTAACTGCTTGACTTGACTATACATTACAAATAGAAATTTTAGTTTGCATTCCTGCGTCTACCTGTGTCACAGGTATGCAAACTAGGGGTGGGAACCTAAGGGTACCTCACGATACGATACGATACAAAGCTCACGATAACGATAATATCACGATACCGATATTATCAAGATATGACGATTATCGATATATTGGTCAGAAATATACAATATGCCAATTTATGGCATAAATAAAAGAAAAAACTACTCTTTATTTCATGATAAATAGAATGGAGATGCGTAATGTAGCCATATATTAAGTATTGATACCAATTCAAAAAAAAAAAAACAAGTTTTTTTTTTTCAAAATTGATATCCATACTTGGCAAATGCATATCGATAATCGAATCGCGGGAGAAAGTATCGCTTTTCGATATATCGTCACACCCCTAATACAAACTGGGACACAAATAAGAAGGGAAAATAGGAGCAATGAGGGTGAGGGTGGATGCACAAAATTGCAAAAATAGGAGCTTGCACCCATACACACCCACACACCACTGTACACGCACACACATGTAAATATCCACACCGTTATCGGTCTTGTTGTATTCGTCCATACGTCTGCACTTGTATTGTATGTCTATTTTTGTTTTTTATAAAAAAAACAAATAAACATTTTAAACCGTCATTTGACTCATGAATTGTACATGTACACCAGCAAATTTTTCTAGATTATTTTTTGCGCATTTTTCTCTGCCAAAAAATGGTCTTTTATTATCAAAATATACACAGGCAGTGTTTAAATGTGCTATCCTATTTTAATTAGTTTATTCCTCTATGGTGTGATTTTTTGTCAAAATGTTACGAATGGAAACAAAATCTCAAGATCATTCTTCAGTTGGGTGCATAGTCTTGTCATCAGCATTCCTGTGTGCTTCATTCACATTTTCTTTCACGTCAGTTTACAAATATGGTTCAGTCTAGTGTGTTTGGACAACATCATATATGAATCAGGTGTCGTCATACACGACACACAGAATCAGACAGTAAAACAACTTTCTGTGCCCATAATCAAGGATCTAGGAAGTTTAGATGGAGTATAAGTGCAGACTCTGACTCAGAGCAAATCAAAACACTTTTTAATGAGAATGTGTCACTATGCGCGCCTCCTAATCCTCCACACTGTCTGCTCGTCTTCCTGTATGTGGTCTGCATAGCATTGGGAGTTATCAGAAAATATTTGAAAGAACATGTATTCTGCTTTGCTAGTTTATCTATTTGCCCGTAAAGTCCAGAATGATATCTCTATTTATACACAGCTCAATCTCGTCCTCCTTTCTTCCTGTGGACTTTGAGTCAAAGTCAAACAAAGTCAAAATCTGATTCTTCTATTTCAGTGACGCAAGTAATACAAAGTGGATTATTTGTCATGTTTTTTGATCTGCGAAGCCATGGATCTATGGTATGTTAGGAGTCAATAACCCAGTGCCGACATCACAAATAGTCTAGAAGCTGGTTTGAACATCCTTATGTGGGCAGATGCAAACTAATGCATTGCAAACATGGTTGCTAGAGCAAGCTGAAGATAATGTACAGGGAGTTTGAGCTCGGTGGGAGAATAACATACAATCTTGTAAATTGGTAATGATTAAAAAAATTATTCCTTTATAAATCATTGGTTGTTTGGATAAAGAATTTCCGTTAAATATATCATATAGGAGACAAACACAGTGATATTGGAGAAGTGAAATACACGGAAGAAAAAGGACACATAAATCCAAGAAAAAACACGATGTGGTGGTGGTTCCATCATGCTGTGGGGTTGTGTGTCCAGTGCAGGCACAGGATCTTGCAATAAGACAACAACCCCAAACACAGC